CTGGTATTCCTGTGGTAAACTTTTTTAACATGCTAGTGCCAAAGTAAGTCTAATTACATGTTAATGAGGATAAACAAACTTATAACAAAAACTTTTGAGCCAACATCCGGGAAAACGCGGGCGACAAAGTCGTGATTGGTTTTAGGAGTGCATCTGATTGGTTGACACGGTGGCGTTAGTTTTCTAGACCAGTCACAGAGCGAAATATAGAAAAAACAATGCAATCTCAGATTACTTTCAACACTTGATTTAACAATGCTCTAAACAATGTTAAAAAATCTTAGTTTTTTGCAAATTACCTCTTGAATAACTTCTGAACCATCACTAGCAAATGTGCGAACGACAAATGATGGAGAAATAAGATCTCTATGAGATGAACAAAGAAAAACAAAACGACTGGTTATCTCTCTCTATTAAAGAATAAGAAGAAAAATGCATGAATCATAACCCAAAAATTGACGGATTTTAGAGACCAGTGTCACTTTTTGTAACGTTTCATTCTGCATCCCTTATCAAGAAAGAGGGAAAAACCTGCCCATGTTACTGGTTAGCATTTCTCACTAATATCCCATTGGTGGTTTACAATCTTTTCAAGAAAAGAAAAGCTCACCAGAACTGTGAATATCCTAAAATTTCCCCCTTATTCCTAATCTTTGAAATTGAATTCTAGTTTGATGACAAGATTGATTTTTTCAAAAATTTGAAGTCACGAAGTCTCTCTACCGGGTAAAAGAGATAACCAGAACACTTACAAGACGAAAATGATCAGGTTTTTCTTATCAATGCTTAGGTGAACCTACAACATGCAAACAACTTTCCACTAAACAGAGACATCTTGAAAATTAGTAGACCTTGGTCAAAAGTCAGTCGTATGATGAAACCAAACATACTTATTTCGTTTTATATCTAGGGTCCAGTCCTTGTCAGGGGTATTCAGTCGATAGGAGGCGTCATCCACGTGAACTCCTTGAAACAAAGTAACATCATCATCCAGGTCTACCGAGCTGGCATAATTAACAGTTAATCTTGGTTGACGAAAGTGATTTATAGGAGCCAAAAGTGGTTTTCTATGAAATTAATTCCCAGAAGAATGTTTTAAATAAAAAATTGTTCCGTTCTGCGTTAAAAACGCATTTAAAAATAAATCAATATGTATATATATAAAAAATTTAAATCCTGCTTTTCTGCAAGTTGCTTGGCTTCGCCATAAGCACAAAAATTAGTTTGAAAAAACTGATTCCGTTTTATCCCAATTGAATGCCAGGTTATCCATTCTTTTTCCCCGTCCATTTTTCAACAGGTTTGCATTACACCAATGGTTTTAATTCAACCCTCTAGCGGAGAATTCAAAAGCTTACGTTCAGAAAAACGTTTCAGCGACTGTAAAAGCGTTTGTCTTAAAAAAAACCTTTTCAGATGTTGACAAATCCCTTTTTCCTCGCCTGCCATCCACGCGTTCCGGGAATGTGATGTGATAGTCGCTTTGATAGGCCATGTCTGCAATTCCAAATTTTCTTTGTTAGAGAATTAAAAAAAAAAAGGGAAAAGAAAGTCATACATACAGCATTTATAAACCGCATAACGCTTCGATATCATCATTATATCTCTTTCAAGTAAAAAAAATAGGAAACTTACTTGCAAACTGGGAGCTTGCGAATTGCAAAAGCAACCACAATGTGCTGATGATCAACCAGACGCCAACTTTCATCTTCCTCTAGTTAAGGTTAGAAATTACATATCACAGAATTAAATATGTTTTGTCAAGTTTTTAACCATGGCCGTCTCTTAGCATAGCTAATTAAAAGTTCTTAGTGCTTTTAAAGTCGGTATTTACAAAAAATATAAAAGGCTTTTGCCGTGTCATTGTTCTATTGTCGACGTTTCACTGCTGAGTTTGTTTATAGGGTTAACAAGAAAATGATTTTCGCTCAGGTGATATTCGTTTTTAAAGATAAATGAAAATATCTTTAATTCCTTTTGATAAAGTTGGCAGTTTTCCTAAATAAAATGTTCTTTTATTAATTCAATTGAAATTTTGCTCCATCACATTAACACTCATCTATCGGTTATTAAATTAAAGATTATAAATTAAATATTATATTTTTTTCTTAATTCTCAGGATCCTCGATGTAACCTTTAATTATTAATTTTAAGAATAGCAGTAATCGCTATCAAGTCGTGATTTGATGAAAACCATAGTTTGCGACTCATCTAAATTTAATTAAAAATTTACACAAGATTTTTTAACCATCCAATGAACAAACCCCTTCAGTTTCAATGCTGATAGTAGTTTTAATCGTAAAACCGATAAAAACCGGAAAGTTACATCCTTTTTCCTTTAATTGTAAATATGGCCTCAAGGGACATTTAATGAAGGCTTTCGCAGCTGAAATATTACGTTTACTTTTAAAACATTAGAGGTTAAAAAAAAAAGATATTGTTGACATTAAAAGACATCCAAAACATTTATTAAGAAAAAAAAAATCAACATTTGTTTAAATAATACCAGGTAACTTTTAAAAAGGCTCTGGTAACTTTTCGTTTCACTATTTCTATGACCACCATTGAGCCGAAGAATTTGGTCGTGATCATGAGATGAAGGAATTGTTGAACTTCATAGAAAACAGAAAAGGTATTCAAATTAAACTATAGGTTTTTGCACGGCGGGCCATGTTGTTAAACATTTAGAAACTTTCACGACCTCTGAGCTTAACTGACGCTAGAATTATTAAAAACGAACTAACCAGTAAGAACTGGGTATCATGCACATCTACGCACTGTAGTGTATTGCTTAGTTGGTTAATGAAGTAATGCAAGTCAAGCATGTTCCTGCTCTAATGAGACACCTCACTTATCTTCTCGAAGCCGCTTGATTTTCAAAATTAGCAGGTAATCTGTCACACAAAAGTGCTACCTTTTAAAATTAAGAGTGACCTACAAGGAGCCATTCAATTAACTTTGCGATGCCAACCTACATAACCAGAATGTGCAAGGTTTGATTAAAAGACATAAGTTATGCCCTACCTGCAAACTTCTTTCTTTCAGAGCCTAACTACACTTTGCTGGTCCAGCCTTGTGTCATAGCTGTCTTTCAGCCATTAATGACGCCAGAATAAGACACAATGAAAACTAATGTTAGCAGGGCGGTCAAAAGATGTGTTTTTGTTGATTTAGCTGTTCGAGTTCAAAGTGTGAAACAAAGACATCTTACAAAGCCGGATGTTATTTTTCCATCGCTGTATACATTTAGCTAACAATCGCAACAGACATTTTTTGAAAAACACGGGCTTGATTTATTTCCGCGTCGGTGCAATTTTGACAAATACCTTGTAAGAAAAGCTCATTTTTATCATTCTTACGCTCCTTTCGAAAAACTTTCACATTTACTTTAACTTAATCTGATGAACCAACAAAAACTTGCGAACCTCTCGATAATTCTAACAAAGATATGATCCCAATAGCACGCTGAGATGTTACTTCTCAGCTTTATATTTAAACAAACTCCTAGCAAACCAAAGTCTCTTCCCGTGTGGCCCCAAAAATGGTCTTGTACATCATTATATGAACAGAACCTAGTCATAAAGCCAGGTTATAGACGAGCAAAGTGTTTTTGACTCATTTGCAAAGAGTTCTCTCTATTTCAAAACTGGTCAATGTTTGGTTCTCCATTATTTTCATTTTTTTAAATATTATGTATTTATTTTGTATTTCAGAGTTTTCCCCATAATGCAATGAAGAATTGGAAAACTAACTTTTGTTTTCATCCCAAAGGAGGATGGCCAAACGAGGGTGTCTACCTCGTTTACTACAAGGGATGGCGATCGGCTGAGGTTCAACTTCTTTAATCTCGGTTGGCAGATTTATCACATAAAAGCGATTTTTTGCGGATTCAGATATCTTTTTGTACTATCAATTTAAGGGCGTAGTTCGGATTTTTTAAAGGGTGTGACAGGGAAGAAAGAGAGAGGGGGAGGGGGGGCGGGGGGGTAACACTTTCGAATTTTCGCGGCCATACGTAATGTGGACCATACCGCTTACTTACCACGTGTATCAGCGGGCTCGTATTCACGCAAACAGAGGCAGCTGCAAATTAAGTATGCAGCGCTGCGCCACCTGAAAAAAAAGCTTTTTTGATTTGATGAACTTAAAAAAGTGATGAATAACGGCACCTACCCCTTCACTTACATGGCCAATAAGATTGGAGATTTTTACAAAAAGGGATGATAAGCATCGGCCGAAACAAAAGGCTAGGGTGCAAAACTTCTTCGTGATTTCACATCGGAAATGAAAGGAACTGTAGCTTTTTGAAACGATACAGTAGGACTGCCTTCGAATAGCGAACTGTTTTCGCTGTGGTAAGTTCCCCTTCCGCACATTCATACAGACACGCACGCATCCATACACGCGGTTAAGATTAGGGGGGGGGGGAGAAGAGTTCAGCCGTTATCGCCTAAAGGTGGCTGGAAACAGCTTTCCCATGCTCTGGCCACCAGCTAATTTTTTAAAATTCGCTCCAAGGCGAGGCCTCTTCTCAAGAAAGAAAATCCTGAAGTTGTGAGAAAGTCTATCAAGGATTTTCTGAGACAGTCCTTAAGAGCTCTTTAAAATTATTCCCCATAACATTAGCACAATAGTGGCGCCCACTATGTCAAACTTCAATCCTTTAGTCAACACAAGGGTGAAATTGGTTTAACAGCGAATAGGGATAGTTTGAGGTTTTTGAGCGCTTTAAATGTAGCTGGTAGGACTCAAAAATTGTTTCCAGCCACCTTGCGTATCCCGTGACCTTTCATGTCGCAGTCACGTTCCACAGTAAAGTCTCCCACACGGTCGTTATTTTCAATGCCACGCACCAGTCCCCCTTAAAAATTACTCTTAGCATTGCCTTTGAGTGTTAAAAGTATTCAAGGATAAGATTTAGACATTTTAAAGTGTACTATCGGTTTATAACTCACAGAAAAACTTTATTTTTTGGTTTGGTCAAACCTTTATTTTTTGGTTTCCATTCTACTATTCAGCTTTACATTTCTGTGACAAGCCCTCTACAACTCTTTAGCAAATTTAACTTCGCTTGACATCGTTTTATTCATTCAAAGAGTTTTATTATCAATCTAAAGGAGGAAAATGCATATGCCGTCAAGGCCATCATCGAGTAAGTGTGACTTCTGTGGTGAACCCCATGGACAGCTGTTTGAACACGATGGCATGCCCTATAACTGCGCCGTCAGATATTGGTATCACCATCACGTGATTTGTTTTATCGGCGTCTGGGACAACCTCTCCGTTTACTCTCACATCTCCAGTTGCTACATTCACCGCACCGCTGACTCCCACCTGAGATAAATTATTCATATTGGGAGTTAAGATCTAGAGCCGTTCTTTTGGAGAGCTTTTGGATTGAGCGTTGTTGAACCAAAGTACAGCGGACAATCGGAAGAAAGAAAAATATCCTAGAGTGCCAATCAGAACTCAAAGTAAAATACAAGCAAACCGCCAAAAGCGCGGGAAAACACGGCGACCGAATCGTTTTGTATCTGATTGGTTGAGAGAGTGGCGCGAGTTTTCTGAACCAATCACAAATCAAAGTAAAGCAAACCCAATGCAATTCCAGGTTACTTTCAAAACTCAATTGAAAATTGTTCTGAGTGACGAGTGTAATTATGAATTGCTTTGCTACTATTTTATTGTTCTGTGAAGGTCCCGAAAACTCATGCCTCCTTCTAAATCACTCAGATCAAAAAGAAAATCAATCCCAATCTCAATCTAAGTGGTCGCAGTTAGGTTCGTTTACTTCGGTTTCTTTTGACTTTTCACCGGTTTCGAGTGACAAACACATTCTTTCTAATTGGTCATTATAATTACCCTAGGGTAATAAACTGAAGCTTAGGGCCGGTTTCGCTACTCGTCGAGTTCTCTTCGCTCGAGTTCTTTACATGTCCGCTTCTAACATGCCGAATTCGCTGCCTCTATTAATTCACAGTTTTAATTTCTCTTTTAATCATAAACCACAAGCAATATCTGTAATTTATACTCCATCTACGCGATTGCCGTTTTTAGGAGTCAGTTAAACTGATCATATGCAAATTGCCTTCTAGTTTGCTTTTAACCGCCTCGTTGATTTTTGTGATTGTTGCGAGGTTACGTTTTCACAAGTAAACCTGTTTGTGAGGTGGAACGCATTGGCGAAGTCAACAAAATTGTAAGCTTCTTACATAGAAATGTCCCTCGGTGAAAAGATGTCATCAATAAATCTCTTCCAGACCAGAGGTTGGAGGAGCTAGCCATTAATTTCTAAAACATAAATTCTTAATTTTTTCCGCGTAAAATGTCGGGTTAAGATATTCATTACGCTAGAAATCATTTAGGAATTCGGTTCAATGTTATTTTATAGTAAATAAAGCTTCATCCGAAAAATATCAGTCTTTAACTAAATTACTTCATACATCATCTCATATTATCAAGAATTTAGAAAAATGATCCTCTTTTATCAAATATCAATTAACTTATTTATCTTTATCATACATCATCAGGTATTACACGAACCACTTTGTATCCTAAACATAATTTATAATAATAATAACAATTATAATAATAATGATAACTTATAATAATAATAACTTATTTATCTTTATCATACATCATCAGGAATTACATGAACCACTTCATATCCTAAACATAATTCTAGTGTTTTTGTGTATAGTGTACGGAATGCTGCCCTTTGCGTGCATTTGGTCGACATTAAGGATGAAAGTCACTACCAAACAAAGTTCTACATTTCCATTTCGTTATCTCACAATTTAACTGTCCCAATACTGATCTTTTTTGGTACCAATAATTTACTTATCCTCTAGACGTTAGAAAAAAAGCAAGAATCGGCGATAAAGTTACAAAATTCCCAAAAATGGCTTTTTTTCATTTTCAATTTTCTCTGAAGTGATCGTTGTCTCAAAAAACCTTAAAATCTATTTAGCTTTTTTGATTTAGAGTTCCATCCCCACTGGCGGTGAAAAAGGTACAATCTTGAGCAAAAAAAGTTGTCATTTGTAGATAATCAAACAACTAACAGCCAATCAGACTGCAAGGACCAACAGTATTCTCAAAAAAGAGGTAAAAAAAAAGGAATATTAGTTTTCCGATTACCTCTATGTCAACTGGCGTGCTAACAGAATAAAACCTTTCTTGCGCAGTGATCTGAGAGGCAGAATCTAAAGTGGTGATGTTGAAATTTAGATTTGGATAAGAGACTGCTATGTGCAAGGTATTATCATCCGCTTCTTCCACCATCACAATACAAGGATCCTGTGAAATAAAATATCAGAAGAAACCTCAGATCAATCGATATTTATACAAAAACCATTTCACGTCCAGAAATCATCAAAAGGAATTTCCTTTACATAAACTGAAGACAAATATATTAATGCACCGAAATGGAGGTGGTTAGTGGTGGATATTTACCGAGCCGGGAAGCGGCGAGGTAAACATCCACTGCTAACCACCGACACTGAAGCAAAATCGCAGAAAAAATATACTTTTAAATAATTTATTCAAGAAACGATTACAATTATTTCTGTCGCAAATCCGGCGAGAAGGGTGAAACAAGGTTGAAACCGAACATTATGCGCCTTTTGCTCAAAAAAATGCTTCTAGACATAATTTTTTCTATGCCATAAAGTTTCAAAAGGGATTTGGAAACCCTATAGTAAAAGAACCTTAATGAAAAGCCGGAAATAAACGATAAATAATAATAACAATAAAAAGTAATAAATTAGTAATAAAAAGAATCATAAATAATACTTCTATAAAAATTTTTAATTGCGACCTACAATGCCTTGTAAAATTTAAATTCAAAACTTCTAAAAACAGTTCTACAAACAATTAGTTTATAACAATTAAGGCACATTAAGATTTGAGATCAGGACTAAATAACTAGCTGTAAGAAAAAAAAACATCAATGAAATGCCTTTCTAAAAAGAAAAGCTTGATCTTACATGCCTTTTTCTCAAAAAAATGTTTCTACGCGTAATTTGTTCAAAGGTCTAGAGCTTCAACAGGGATTTGAAAATCCTATAGTAAAATTACCTTACTGAACAGCAGTAGACAAATGATAAATAATAATAATAATATTAATTTTATATGAATCAATAATAAAAAATTAAACAATAAATAATATTAATAAATAAGTCATAAATAATGATAATTAATAGTTCTAGAATAATCAACTGCGACTTGCAATGCTTCTGAAAATTCAAAATTTGTAAAACAGTTAGACAATGCATAACAGTTAATGCATATTAAAAATTTAAAATCAGAACTAACTAACAAGCTTTACGAAAAAAACACAAATGAAATCTCTTTCTGAAGAGGAACGTTTTACGTCTTTCTTTTCTTTTAGCAAAAGGAGACGCTCCACATATTCGCGAATTTCGTCCTCTCTGTTAGTCTCGTTAAACCAACTCCGTTTTTACTCCTATCTAAGCTAGACCACACTATAACAAGTTTTACCTTTTCGACGCGCCTTACTGGACCCAAGGTACGAGCAGATTTGTCAAAAAAAACGTATCCATACTGAGTCTCACCCTGCCTCGGGCTGTTATTGATCTTCACCACGTGAGCCGTATTATCTTTCTGAAGTACTTCATACAAGTAGCTGCCATCCGCTTGATTTTCGGCCAAAGTCTTTCAAATTATGAACAGCAAAATGTTAGTGCGAGATCGAAAAGAAGAAAACTTGTAATATTGCCGAAGGCTACATGAGCCCTATTAAATTAAAAAGGCTAGGAATGCGACTTTCCATGCTAGACTGGATCATTTGGTCCAAAAAAAGATTGTAGATAAGAATGTTTAACGTGTCTGCTTATCTATCCCACAATTTCCTATTCCGCCAGATTTTCGGTAAAAATCCATTGGCTTAGAAGCGTAGAAGGATTGCTTCTTGAAAAGCGACCACTGAGATACAATTTTTTCGTTCCAAGTCCGCTTGTCAACAATACTTGCTGATAAAAGCAACTTAACTTCCAAGAACCTGTACGAAATTCTCAATACTGACTGCCATACATTTCAAGGTAAAGAATTAGGTGTCATGGCAAAATAGCAGTCGACAGTATAGCTGATGACCCAGTGTATTCTTATCACCTGTTTGCAATCTAACAACTGAAATTGCAAGAGGTTACACATGCAACATTTCTGAGAGCTAATTGTTTAAATGCGCATGGCTAAAGGAATCGTCAAATAAACTTTGAAATTGCCAAAAGGTCTGGGTAGCAGCAGATGTGTCACGAATTTGAGAAAACATACGACATTTTGTTAATCATTCAATGGGAGCAACCTACAGTTAAACTTCAACTATATCATGTTGATTTAAAACTTTCCTTGTAACTGCATACATTGTTCTGTTTCTATTGTTTGTTTTGTCCAATCAGCACTTTGTTACACACTTTAAATTCAACTTTGTACTTTGCATAAATCAGAACTGAAGATGACTGAAGAACTGTCGAAACATGTTTTCAAAAAGTGTCGTATATTTTCTTAAACTCGAAAAATTCCTACATGGATTTCTTCTGAGGGTCCTTCAACCAATATGGTGTATTCATAACCCTTGTCCGTTGGGTCCACTCCATGGTCGAGCCATGCGGTCGCATACCGAGCCGATGTAGCATTTAAATCATCTTGAGTTCTGGAATGTTGCAAGCCAATCTTCACATTAAGTCCCTGGTTATACGCATTGGGAATGTAGTAGGTGTTTCCTTAAATTTTTAAGAATGAGAGAATAATGAAACTTTTAATACTATTAGTAAAATTTTAGTGCCATAAACGCAAGCATAATAACCAAATAGGAGAAGTCACTTTTGACCTCAAAACAAGATTTATATATATATAATTCCAATCCTAAACTCATATTCATAACAGAAGTGCAAAATGGTAGTTATGATGTCACCGTCACCAACATTAGACATTGAACGATCACAACCCAAAGAGCTACTTGAGTCTTGCAGCCAATAGTATCACAGCAAAACTGACCAATCAGTCTGCACAAACCAGATTTAAAACACAAACCAAATTTTCCCATAACTCTTTAAAGGAACCAATCATTATCTTTCACTTAAGGGTTGGGGGAAGAGGCCTTTTGGGGGAACACATGGTTTTCAGGGGGAACGGAGCGGAAATCAGTCGTCGCCAACAGAGTATAAAGAGGGACTATGCAAATCAACAACCAGTGAGGGGGGGGGGGGGGTTGTAGATAAGAATATTACAGATCCCTATGAGGGGGATCAGGTAAATTACATATCGAAGCTACCAATTTGATTTTATAATTCTTTTGAAGTTGTCCTTCAGTAGCATGTTGATTAAATGGACGATACATCATTTTCATATCATGCAAAGTGAAATATTTTCTTTATATTCCCTAACGATGCCCTAGATCGGCGAAAGTTTGGTACAAAAAAAAATACAGTTGCTGAATGCCTAAATCGAATCGTCCATATTATCTATTTACCATTGACATCTACAAGTGTAGCTGCATGGTTGCCTGTGTTAAAGAACGACGGCGTCTTTATCAAGTCGGTGTCGAGTGAGTAACTTTCTCCGTTTATCAGAATTGATGATGGATTGCTTGCGTCAAGAAGCTTCGTCTGGAACAGCGTGGTCTGAAACCAATTTCAAGCGTGCATTCCTTAGTTTTCTCATAAGAAAGATTAAGAAAATATCGTCGCGTGAGAAAGAATATAGCATGATTAATGCGACTGAATGTATCACCATTTCCAAACACAGCCTGGGGCTCTTTTCTCAAAGGTCCCCGTAACTAAACGCGCCCGAAGCCATATTTTAAAATCAAAATTTAAGGAATAGAGAAGCAGTCCATTTTAAGTCCACAAGTGCATTTTTCCCTTATCTTATAGTTTTATTGTATAATTTTCAAAACTTTTAAAACCCCCATCGGGCCGTTAAGTTACCGGAACATTCGAGAAACAGGCCTCTAGTTTCTGAGGCGTGAAGTGACTAGGAATAATGTTGGCATCCAATCCATAATAAACAGCCGTTTACAGGGCCGTGCACTAATAAATAGAGGTGATTTAACGAAATTAAGTAAAGACAAGTATAATTTAGGAGGCCACGATAAACTTACGTAACCGAAGTATGGTTCAAGTTGCGGCTAAGAAAAGGAACTCGCTTCCGGATAACATACAGTAGCCAGCAATTTCTTAAGCACGTCATGGAACGATAAGTATTTAGGTTTTTTCTTTGTTGTTAAGCTCAAATTTGATACTTTTAGTCAAGGACAATTATTGCACGTTTCGTGGGGAGAGAGGGGGTGGGTAATAAATGCCATTATTGTATTATTTCATGATCTTTTAATTTTGTGGAAAACCTCTAACTTGGCCCAGTGGCCATGTGTTTCGAGCGTTAACCCTTCGTTAGCCCTTCGCTCTGACGAAGGGCTAACGCTAGAAAAGTCAGCTTTGAAACTCTTAACGGTGGCCAATTTAATTCATCGACTCAGCTGATAAAACCAAAATGCCTTGTTATACTCTACCGACGCAGCATCACAGTTTCTGTGGAAACTTACCCCCTTCATTTACTTTAAAAAAAGTTATCTGTATAGCTATCTCTATATCAATCTATCTATGCCAGAGCATAACAGGCAACCCCTAAAATCTATCAGCAGTTCACAGGACAAAGGACAAAACAAGATGACCCTCTCGGGATTCAAAACCCGACCTCTCAAACCCTGTGGTCACCATTTCCCCCAAAACGACTCCTAAATTTCCTGATAAACTGTATTTGTTGATAGCGTTAGACAAATTGCAAATTACTTCTAGTAACAGTTCACACTATATCTGTCGCCGCCTTTTGATGATATGAAGTTTTTGATTATAGAAATAATTCTAACATATTTGAAGAAAAGTGGTTTCTAAGAGGCTTGATGCTTAATTGACTTGTTATGTAATAAACCTGATGAAAACATCTTGAGAAATTACTGGATTGTTTTAAGACAGTTGTCAATGGAACTAAAAAAGGCTGTTAAAATCAATAAATCAAATACTTGGTATAAAAAGGACGACACCATTTTCAGCCCCGTTTAGACGAAAATAAATCTTACAATCAATTTGTTTCAACTGAAAGGGAAACAAATGAATGTACCTGAGTTATGTTGGGCGAGCTCATGGTAGTTGTGATTCCAGATCCGAGACAAATCACGGCAAAATCTGCGAAAAACACGCTCTTCTTGAATTCAAAGGTGATGTCAAGTTGAAAGGACCCAGCTGGAAACTGATACTTAGGCTGTGAGAAATCCATTCCAAAGACCCCCGTAGGATAATTACCGCCACCAATCAAAGTTAATCCACCCGCCAGTTCCTTGGGTTGAAAATATCTGTGGAGCCACTTCTAATGTCAGATGATATAATTGGTTCATTTGTGCTACATTGTACGAAATACTCTTCTCTGATTGGTTGTGCACCATAAGAGCCCCCAGTACTACTATAATGATAGATATATATGTACTTCTTTAAGTAAGTTGGACTTTAAAACTAAGAGACACCTAACATGTCTCCTGTCCAGCCCTCTGGATAATTTTGGGAGCGGGAGGGTGGGGGTGGGGGGCACCTCCACTGGAGATAAAAAAAGGACACACAATTTTATTCCGACCTAAGCCTTATCTTAACATCAAATATTTAATTCATGCTTTAGTTGTGCGTATATCGAGTTATAGATGATCTTGAGAAGTTTGGAGAGCACTCAAGAAGCTTGAGTTCCTCGAGGCGCTCCCCAAACTTCCCAAGTGTATCCATAATTCGATATAGGCACGCTAAGCAAGAACCAATTCTTTAATAAGCCTAAGTTCATTGAGTAAGGACCTTACTATTTGGTCCTCGGGCCTTGCTGGTATCTTTTTCTACTAAAACGCACTTCTTTCTTTATGGCGGAGTGGGAGGAGGGAGAAGGTGAATACACAGCTCCCTGTCATTTTTAGCTCCTTAGTAATTTTAGGGTGTCGTTACCCTCTTACTATCATACTAATAATTAATTATTACTTTCTATTCAATAGATTGTTAAAACTTGATATAGGGTACATCACATTTGTTGTTATCGTTGTTGTTGTTATTGCTGTTGTTAAAAGGAACCTTAAAGGAAAAATTTTCGTTATAGAATAGTTTCACGGGATCGAAGTGGGGGGATCTACCCGCTCGCGAAGCCGGCCAAACGAAAAAGACGAATTTGGGCGAAGAAAATTTTCATTGCTTACCTACGGTTGTCGCTGATCAATTGATCAAAATCCATTTTTATTGTTGTAGTGCCCGGATGTCGTGTCCAGTCCCAACCATTATCGATATCCAGAGTTTTAAGTGACGCCTCGCTGTTTGCAACGAGAAGTGCACCATGACTTTGATAAAGACCAAAAAAATTTCGAGTGCTTGAGGCCTCGAAGTCCCAGACATACTTGTTGAAGCCTTTCATTGTTACCGCCCAGTTTTCTCTTCGGTTAATTACTAGCGAAGCATAATTTCTCGTCCAGAATCCCTGGGGCGAACTTTCGGCCAATATATCCATCGAGGCAGCTTTAGAGCTTATTTCCTCCATGATGTTGATCGAACCAATAGTATTTAAGTAAAAGATATGTGTGGATATAGTCCCATCTTCCAGGTAATTGCTAACATCCTCATTGGATGGATCGTAAAGTCGTAAAAACATCTTGACCTTATCGCTGTCGAGAATAGTAATTTCACCCAGACTTCCATCATCGTTTAAATCAGGAGCAATTGCACCGGCGTAAGCATAGGAAGGAAAAATCCTAGCCAGAATTGCATTGTAAAACCCTGGAAATCGACCCGCTACACTGTTTGGAGTTGAGTATTTAACAGCAACAATCCTCATTGTCTCAAGACCTTTCTTAATATGCTTGCTTGTGTCCTCACCTTTGAACCAAAACCACGAAAATACAACTTAACTCAAACTCTAATTACAAAATACAGTTATTCCCTTACTAAAATCAACGTATGCCCTAAATATTGAGTATACAACAGAGCTGGTTTATGACTGCGTCAGAAAAGTTTTACACGGCCGAAACATCAGAGTGCTCAGGAATCCTACGAGAAGATGCCTCTCTCCACCTGTTGCCTCACTTTTGCCTTACGAAACAAAAAGGCCAAAGAGGCGTCTCTTCTCGCAGGCAAGTAAAGAAAACAAAAGGAGCTTCAAAACAGAATTATTGATGTGATGGACGAAGAGAAAACCTAAACCAAAGAAAGCTTTATAAAAGTTAAAACAATTATCTTTGCGTAGTCGTTCGCTACCTTAGAAACCACACTTCGGGAAACAGAATCAGAGAAATCACCCGCTAGCACATTTCTTTCCTCGCCTTTTCCCCTCGATGGTGTTGTTGAAAGCCATAGCGCTCAGTATCTGGCTAACATATTTGTCAACGACAATGCTACTGACAGGAGTCCTTTCCAGGACCATCCACAACCGCACAATTAGACTTCTAGAGCATATCTCCAACCAATGGTTTCTTAATCCATTTGGATCAATGTAACTATCGGAGAACCTGCACACCTACCCTTTCCCTATAGCCCAATAACGGTCAACTAATAACAAATTAGGGGTAATTTTGGGTTTGAAGAAGGGTTGGTGCGCCGTAGCTCTTTTTTTTTTTGTCCCCACTATACTTTCCCTTGTAACAAGCTGATTCTTACCCAATTTAAATGGTGTTCCACTGAGTAGAAACTCGATGAGTGAAGCAACATGAAGAGCATGTGGGAAGTAAGCAGAGCCATAAAAACTGTTGTGATGGAATCCAAGGTAGTCTGGCTTTAAAACTCCTCCGAAAGCTTCATTAGGAGACAGTCCGTTGACGTACCATGATAAAAGTTCTTCTATGTCACGAATTTTATCAAGCTTTTCGTCATCTGTTGTATTTGGCATCATTAGAACAGTAAACAACCTGCAGAAGAAAGAGCCAACGCACATAAGGCTGAGGATTGAACGTCTTTTTTTTTTTTAAATTGACTTCAAGACAAATAAGTTTGCTGGTGAAAGGTATTTCATAAATTTCTTCGTGCACGGCGAGTGGCAGAGCAATGGTCTAAAGGGATATGATTTGACAATAATAGCAAAAACAATAAAGATAAGAAGGGAAAAAGAAGGTAAAAAAAGGGAATGGTCGAGGATTGGTAGATTAAAACGGATTGTTTAAATATAAGTTTCGTAACAGTAGAAGATGGAAGAATGTCTAAGGATGATTGATTCAAAATGATTGCAGATTACGAACTTAAACATAGGCTAAATGTTTTACGATGTTGAAGCGTAGCCCCCTAAAAACATAGCCTTAAGTATCTCTATCTTATCCGTTTTCTGAAACATGATGCTGAGTTAAACGCTAGAGCGCATTTCGAATAGATGTCATAAAAACCGTGGCCAATCTGAACACAAGGAGCAGCAAGGACTCGAACTAAAATCGAAGCTAACTGCTTGAAGCGCAGAAAGGCGCAATTGATCAGCTCCCTGTTTGCCCTGGCGTTCGTCTTAAATCTGATCGGTTGAGTGGTAGCACGAGTTATCTCGACCAATCACAGAGTGTCGTGAAGCAGAAAATAAAGAAATCCCGGATTACTTTCGACAATTATCAAAAACACAACACAATGACCCCGTCAGAATTCAAAACCAGGACCTCTCTATTTTGAGTCAGAGCGAAAAACTACAAGGCCTCTGTTGGCTCTGACGAAGGACTAACGCTCAAAACGTCAGCTCTCAGAAACTCTTTACGGTGGTCAATTTAGATTGCCAACTCAGTTGATGAAACCAAATCATCTTGTAATACCCCATCGACGCAGCACCACAGTTTTCTTTTGAAACTTACCCAAGTTTCACACCGCTATGTCTTAGTAAACAAAAGTAACGCATACCTTGAAAAAACATATGTAGCATAAGGAACTGACATGAAAACATCTTACCTGAATAATGAAATGGTTCTCATACGGTCAGCAGTTGTACCAACGTATTCAAACGGGTCTTGATAAACTTCTCCAAACTCGTTGTACCACTTCATAGTAGCCACATAATCATCGAGTTTACCTTCAGCGGTAATTTCATCCTTCAGGAGGAAGACTGCATTCATAAAACCTGCTCCGCAATTGTTCATCTCATGATCCAAAGACCCAATAGCACTACCATCGGTCCAACCTGACAAATGCAAGAGCTAAGTTATATCCCATTCTCACCAAAGCTTAAACATGTGTTAAAGCTATTTTGGTAAACACGGTTTAAAATCATTTTCTTTACAGAAGCTGTTTAAAGTAATGTTTGTCGACTTCCAATTCAACACTTTGAAAATACAAGTTTGGTATTACTTGAACGCCATGGAAAATAAGTTTTTCAGTTTTCCCTTGCTGATTTTCATTCCGTTGGACCTGGCTTGACGAAACATGGTTTGCTGGTATGAATGGGGTATAGTTGTGGTGAAAAATCAAACTTACAGCGTTTTGCTATTGGATATCAGAAATTCAAACCCAAAGAGGTGGTGACGACTATATCAGTTTTCGATTGCGCGTCGTAATAACAAAGAAAAGAAAAAACAGGAAACTAGAGCAATCCAAACAAAATTCGCACAAGGGAAAATGTCCCAAGGAGCCAATGAGAACTGAATGTGAAATTGCTAACTGCCTGAAGCGAGCGAAAAGCGTGAATAACCAAGTCATGACTTGTCTTAGTTCTGCGTTTGATTGGTTGAGAGAGCGGCACCAGTTTTCTGAACCAATTACAGAGCGCTGAAACGGATGGAAACGTCCTCAAACGCAGGTAACCAAGTCGCATTAGGTTTAAGTTTGGCAACAGATTGGTTGCGAGGGTGGCACGAGTTCGTCGTCTTCGTGGATATCCATTTTTTGTTATCTCTTAGGCGAGTTTTTGTGATGGTTCGCCGGTACCATTTGATGCTTCTGGGTGGAAAGAGGCACTGCGGGAGGAAAGTTTCTTACCCAAGAGCACAACATTATGAGGCTGACTAGGGCTAGAACCCTCTCCGTTCTATCTCATATCTAGCCTGTTGAATGATTTTGCCTATACTATTCAGTCATATATTTCATGAGCTCCCAGATTGAAATTGTATGAATCATCCCATCAATGTCAGTATCTGAGCAACTGGGCACCTACCCCTCCCCTAGCCTAAATTAATCCCAACTTGCTATTGGTACGCAGTTGCTCAGATACTGACTTTGATTCCAATAGTCTTTGGTACTAAGGGGGTAATCTTTAGCGAAGTAAGGGAACTAAGGGGGTTTGCAGTATTCCTAGTCGCTTCACGCTACGGAGACCGCGATATGCTCTGGCACCTTGTGAGCCACAATGACTCGAGTTCCATACTTTACCCTATTGTTCATAGGCTCACCTTGATCTTCAATATATTCCAAAAGGAGAAGTAATCGTTTCTTTCGCTCCGTATTCAGAATGTCTATGGCTTCCTTCACTTTCTCCAACGTGTAAGATTTTTGATTGGTACCCAGGGCGGTGGTGAATATATTTTGAATGTTTTGATTACCTCCTGCTATTTCCTATGGTTGAAATAAATATACGAAAATTTAGTAAAACTATCCTACATTCTCTGGAAAGTACTTAAATGTTCCCTCCGTAATCATGCGGCAGGTAAAATTCAGAAAAAAGAATAGGGCTTATTTGGCATAAAGTTTAAAAAAGGTAACTTCACATTTTTTAAGCTAAGATAGACAGCAAAAAAGTCAAAACAACTTATGTACCACATTTTATTAATGGCAAATTACGTCGGATGAATTCATTTGTGTTGTAATGCGTCAATCTATTGGAGGCTTCGACATCCTAACCCCCCCCCCTGGCAACCAACGGGCACTTGATTGTCGCTTGTGTTTGGGGGTGGGGAATTTGAACTTTGCCTGGGTGGAGTGGGGAATTTGAACCGGAACTGTCAAGTCTTTCCAGCAGAGAAAACGTGTTTTATCATTTAATATGGAGGTGTTTATAAGACAAAAATTCACTTTGGTGAGAAGATGACTCAGAAGAAAAGTTCTACAAGAAAGTCACGGTCACTAATCTTGCCTTTTATAAAACAATTGATGATCAAATCCGACACTTAGGTGGGGCATTTGAACAAAATTTTGGCCACGGGTGGGAGGGAGGTGGGTTTTCGAACGTACCAATCTTCAGAGGTTCAAACGCCTGGGGGGTTTGCCCCAGGGGGACGTTGAAGCTTCAAATTGATCGACGCATTGACCCGAAATGCAGTTGAGAGTTTCCATAGCAATCAAAAATTCTTCCAACCTCTCATGTGTTTGAATGAGGCTAGGAGAACACAGAAAGAGAACTCTAATTTGCTTTTTTAAATTGTATCTAAAAAATTGTGAAACTTAAGCTTTTACTAATATCAAACTTCTCCTTACAGTATCATTACTGAATAATACATAAGGATCATGAGAATAAAGAAAATGATCACCAACCGAAAAAAGCTCTTGGTTGATGTACAAATTCTCCTGTCAGTACCATGGAAAATATACAGAGAACAGTATGGAGAATACGCACACTGCTACTGGACTAAAAAGGGTTAAAAAGGCAATCAACCATACCTTTATGGCAGCCTTTTTCTGGGCCACGTCTCCATTCAAGTTGGACAGTTGATCGAAAGCCAAGGCATCTACATCAACATCACGTGACCTCACGTAATAATCCAGTGTCATTGGGAGAAGCACTTCCTGCATCACCTCCCCGAACTTTTTACCACCAGTAACTTCAGACTTGTCGCAGTAAAGAGGCAATCCTGGAGAGTAACAAAGCAAATACATAATTTTCGATGTTTATTTTTTGATAGAGCAACGAAAACAAACTGTTCTCGATCATTTCGCTGACACGTTAAATTATCAACAACCAACTCACTAACACCATTAGTCAACTCGTCGTTGTCATTATTAAACTTCTCGACACCATTAGTCAACTCCCCAACCCCCAAGTTCGCCCCCTGGCGAACTCAACAACAACTTAAACAAATTTTAATACACACTAAACTGTGTGCTTGCAGGTTGTTGCATGGACTTTCTTAAAGTGATGTCATAATTCTTAAATTATTTGCCGAATCTGATTACAACAATGTCCCCATGAGTGGTGGCCCTGATTGCTCTGATCATCCAGATCCTGAAAGTGACAACGAAGCCATTGACTCAGATGAGGTAAAAAAAACATTTATACTTATTTATGGTACATGTATACAGTAGGTATATGCAAAGAAATTGTGTATGCAACTGTAATGGTCTTTCTTCCAATAAATCTTTATTACCCAGTCCAATTTGTGAATTTCATGTGTTCTCTTTCATGAAGTTTTTGGGCCTGATCCAACACAATAGGATTGTTATGGTAAATATCCCGCAAAAAACATGCAGGTACTAGTGATGTTTAAAACAATTTTAACTCCCCTGAAATGTAATTAAATTACAAGTTTGACTTACTTACAATCAATCTGTATATCGTTTACAGGTAACTGATAGAGATACATGTAATGAAAGAGAAGATGCAAATGATGAAGAACAAGAACCTGGAGTTTGGGAAGATGTCTCTCTAGAAGATCTCCTCTGTGATGTTGAAAATAGTGAACCTTGCCCAGAACCTACTCCCAAGCTGACCGGAACGCAGAAGTTTACTGCATCAGCACAGTGGCTTGTCTATTTCATTCTTAAGTGGCAGTCTCTATGCAAGCTCAATGATAATGGTTTGAAATGCCTTCTACAGTTTCTTTTCCAGTTCTTTAAGGTACTTCCTGATTTATCTGGCTTCTGAATATCTTGAAGAGATGATTACTAACATTGTACCTTCTTCGAAAGTTTGCTCGTTTTGAGCGCGATACTTTTGTCAAATATGTTGTTTGCTCAAAGTGCTGTAAGCTATATGACTTGATAGACTGCACAGAAATTGAAATTTCAACTCCCTGACCATGAGTTTCAAGGCGCGTTAAAAAAAGGCAGTTTTAATATATTTACGAGAGCAGACATTTTAGAGCCGGTGTAAAAGACAGAATACAGATACGGAAAGAGAATTAAAAGCACGTAAAGACTGATTTTGCGTAAGGAAAGTTAAAGGTAGTTGAGGAACACTAAAAATTCCTAAAGAGAATTGAAGGCACGTAAAGGTTTATTGTACGTAAAGAATGTTAAAGGTTCGTAAAGAACAGTGAATAAAGATGCGTAAAGAATATTGAAGACGCCTTAAGTGTTAAAAGCGAAACTGATCAAAATACCTCGGTAATTCTACTGAAGATGGCTGAGCCATAATTATTTCATTTATTTGTGAATTTATCTAAATAGAAAGTGGTTAATTATATCCATCTTGATCTCTATCCTTTACGAACATTTAATATCCTTTACGCAGTCCTTACGGTTTCTCTGCATTTACGCATCTTTACGGAACGGAACTTGTCCGTAAAGAAGACGCTTTATATTTACGGTTCTTTACGCAAGAGTTAAAGATACGTAAATTTGTGATTTCATGCTGTGTTAGTTCAACACCAGTATGTCAGCGAGTCGACCAAAGATGACCCTCAACAAGTTGACCAAAGGCGAGCTACGAGTTGGCTACTTGTGTCGGTAAATTGTTTGTCCGCAATTTGACATGTCCGCGAAGTGACTGGTTTGAAGACCATATTGATCTAATTCGTGAGTAACTTACTTTGTCTCATGCATTCTTGGAGCAAAGCATTAGTGCATGGTTAGTAACATCTTCGTAAAGAAAGAAGAGTCACTTAGTGACTGAATTTTCTTGATGATACTAAAATGTTATCTATAGATACAAGTGCAACTGTTGAGTTGGAAAGGAAATAATGGCCATAGAGTACCATTTCCGTCAGTTAAATATCATAGTAAGTAAGGGGGGGGATATACGGAGAACACCTGGGTGTTCAAACAGTGGATAACATTATCCAACAGATAAACCGCTATCCAAGGGATACGCATTTACAAACTGTATTGCACCATTCACAGGATAGAGATTTAACCAGTGGATACCATTACCCATTTCAACCAACTGGGGCCCAAAAGTTTTAAAAATTAAGACCGAGTGCGCATCGAGTAAGGCTGGAAAGTTTAAAAAAATCATTACCGAAGGGATGTCATTTCCAATTTTTAAACAGTTAGTTAACTTTTAAAGCTTCACTTAAGTGGTTAAATTATTCTTTTCAACCCTAGGCCACTAAACAAAAATTCAGCATTTTCAGAATTTGACTGAAAAAGTCATAGGTTAGTTATTATCATGTGGTTACCTGTAATGACACCTTGGCTTTTATTAATATTTAGTTGTCCATACTGAATATAGGCACTGAACACTTGCTTCTGTAAAGACTGCCACCTCTTCCTTGCATTTGTCGGAAACTGGGCTATGCTCTGAGACTGATTAACGAACCAATTCTCCAGTCGCTTTTCAATGAGGGTCATATTTTCCAATTTGTCTTGACTGGGTGTGGTATTAGAAATTTCTGGTGGTGGTACCTAAAAGAGATATGTATGGAGTATTTTACTTCGCTTTACATGGATGTGAGTTTTTTCTTAGAGTGAGAGATATTTGATCATTAAAAGAAGAACATAAATTTGTTTGCAAAAGCAGACCATAGTGTAATTTCTGTTTATCAGTAGATATCAGCATCATAGCTATTTAAATCAGTGACAGCTTTAAAACACTTTATTTTTGAGAGCACCTGATGCAGAGATCACCAAAACTTGCCTAGCCCACGACTAACTAATTCAATTAAAAAGTCTTCCGGCTCCCAAAACATAATTCCAAGACCAACGCACAAAGTGATTTACAGTTCCTGCACGAATGAACCTTTTTTAGTTTGCATAAATGAATTTTGTGTAACAATATCGATATCAAGTACATCACATCTTTCAAGACAAAACTGACAGAGCATTTAAACAGATGCCTTTTCTTAAATAACATATATGTTAGCGTATAGAGAATGGTATGTTGCTTGCACCAATCAGATCGTTTAGAGTATGTATCTCGCACCAATCAGATCGCCGCATTAGGGTTTGTATCTCATACCAATCAGAGCGTCGTTTTTTGTTCTTTGGTTTGAGAGGTGCTCAAATTTCAATGAAGTAATGGGGGATTCGGAAAGAGCGGTTCGTTGAATGGAATCATCTCTTAGAATGAGAAATGTTGGCTTTTCTGTGTCTTTAACGTGTATTTCACCGCGCTTTACAAGAAATGCGATACTACTGGACAGATGAAAGATAACAGATTACCTTTAGTAAACGTGTTACTCATGCTGTGAAAATGGCGGATAGTCGTTCGAGAGGAAATGGAGTCCTGTGCACTGTAGCACGATCATGGTTATTGTTCCTTCGCGACGAGAGTGAGTGGAAAAATTTTGAATCAAATATTGCTTGAGGTGTTGATGAATTCCACCAAACATTTTGATTTGAACAGTTCTTTAACGGCAAGCTATGTTGCAAGATTCAAGATTTGTTGAGTGGGCCGATTATATATTTCTGGATTGGTTTGCTTTGTGCCATCTCTCGATGAATGTTTGATTGAAATTAACTGTGGACGATTTTGTGTATGTTTTCGATACGTGGAGAAAGTGATCTTGTGGATTCGTTTGTGTTTGGCCGAGAACGAATTCAGATACCATCGTCACCATGTTTATTTGATTTTTTTATCTGGAATGTATGATTTACGGAGGTAAGTTAATATGATGTGATCTACTAACTTCGAAAATATATCAAGTGAAAAGAACAGTTTTGGTTTCGGTCCGCATTTTTGTCAACAAAATAAACACATGCCGCTTAAAAAGATGATAATACGGGCCACGTGCAAAGCTGTCAATTGTTTCTCGACTGTTGCGCGTGTTAATTATTCAATAGTTACATCTCATTTACATCTACATCTACATCTACTTTTATTGCGTTGGTAAAATCTGTACAGATATCACACCAACCGACTCGCGAATACTATATAAAGGCTTGAAATTATATTAAGATCGATTTTGATCAAGAAATGGGCCAGGAATATTCCACCATAGTGCAAATAATCGTGAAAGCTGATCGCGGAAAAGCGATTGCGTGACGCTCGGTAAGTTGCAAGATGACATGTTATCACATACCAGACAAAAAAGCTCTTTAGATTCTCAGTCTGTATTTTGTACCCTCTCTGCAGTCTGCAGTCTACATTTTGTACCTGGTCTACATTTTTTATCCAGTCTGCAGTCTGCATTTTGTACTAACAGGTATACGTGGCACCAATACAATTTCTTTTTGGTTACAGTTATTTGCACAACACACATAATCTACCACAAAATACCTGTGTGTGAGCTAATTCGACATTTTCGTTCTTTTCCACGTTCATACTCTTCTTTCCGTTTGTAAAAATGTAGATATCACTCACAATGTTTCAAGTAATCCACCCACTCCAGTAAAATAACTCTTGTATGCACAGCATGCCTATGTTTATTATTAGAGAAGCAGGGGAGAAGGAATGGCAGAGTAGTGAGAGGGCTCACCTCTCACCACTGTGGCCTGGGTTTGATTTCAGGACCTGGTGTCACATGTGTGTTATGTTTTTTGTTGGTCCTCATCCTTGCTCCAAGGGTTTTTCTCCCAGACCTCTACTTTTCCTCCCTCCCCAAAAACCAACATTCTAAATTCCAATTCGACCTGGAAACACTTGACAAGAAAAGCCAACTCGTAGAATTTCCACTGCTAAATCCCGTTTCATTTTTATTTTATTAGATATATTTTAACACAAAACCAACAAAAACATCATGATGCTGTTCAAACCTACCTGACTCCAGCGATAGGTTTGCTGCCAGAAGTCGTTGATAGAGTAAAGGTTTGGATCCAACGTTGGTACCACTTTGTCACGACTTTGCCTTCTGACGTCACTTACAAAGCGCAAGACATCAAAATACAAATGATGTCTGGTTGTGGGAGCAGTTATGCACATAACATTAATATCTTTGTTTTCAGTCTTGATAGCTTCTTTATAGGATACCCACACACCACGCCACCCCTTCAAATGAAAAGAGTAATGTAATTATTGTGTAGTTAGCTTCAATTATAACATGACAGGACCCAGGGAGGTTAATGCCTCCTGAACATAGTAGGGGTTTCAATTAAAGCCGGCTGCCAGCAGTCTACCTCCGCTTTAGCCCTTTGATTCCCAGAAGTGATTAGCATGAAACTTCTCTCTTTAATATTCATATATTATCTAGCAAACAGGTAGTGAGAATACTCAAACTCATCAGGTGCCTTAATCGCACACCAAATTTTCATAACTAATTTACAAGGAAATGTGTTGCAGCTAGAGCGGAGAATCAACAATCAGATCTTGGGAGTTAAAGGCTTATGCACAGGCTCTCGCATTTGAGTTTTGCCTTCTAGCCCTTTTCCAGGCACAGCTGTCTATTACATCAGCATCAGCAGCTAATGGAAAAAGTTATTGAAACTTCTGTAATGCCCGTGATTTTACTCAATTTGCTCTCAATTGCGGCTTTGCTCCATTGCTTTTGTTGTTTACCTTCCTACTCCTTTTTACCCCCAATAGTTTGGATAAGTATTCATTCCATACACATGTATTTTGGTGTCGTGTTGACAGATGTTTGGGCGTGGAATGTGGTTTGGTTGCCTTAATAACCTTCTTGTTGCTAAGGAGGTTGCTGTCCTCCTCTGTCCCTTTCTTTGAAATAACCATCCCCCAAAGCTATCAATATAGTGTGCTATCTTAGCATTTTGCTATAATATTTATTTACACTGTTAACAAGTAATCCGTACATACCCCTTACTAACCAAGTCTGAGGACCGTACACTACGTTACCGATAAAATTTTTCAGCTCAGATTTATAGCCCGTACATGGCCGAAAAGATAAGGTTCCGTAACTTACAGCGCAGTCCAAGAAAATGAGGTCAGTAAGTTATTTACTATATCTCTGAGTTCAAATAGAGAGCTAAGAGATACAATAATACACGATCATATTTCAAATGTAAATAAAAATCAATGTTTTACATTGGTGCTGTAAAACATTTCCAATGCCGTGGTTATAAATGCCGCATTAATAAAAGATACCTCTACAAGACTTGAAAGCATGCTTATACATATCATCAAGGTGAACAAAGGCAATCTAATACACACTTGCAAAATTGAATTTCATCACAGGAATTTAACAGCTGTTTTGCAACGTTACCCCTCACCTTAAAATTCAGCTTAATGTTGAACTGTGATACAGTAACAGTGGTGGGCGCATTATTTTGGAAAGAGACAGTCAAGTTCTCTCCTGCAAGTGGATTAGTGTTGTAAAGCCACAACTTAATCCCTCCCTTTTTAAGCTCATTTCCTGAAATCTGAAAAGTATGTTGCAGTTAGTTTGTGATCTCCGTTATTTTTATATAACACATCAAAGAGACTCTTGAACACAAACCTGGCATACATTTGCAGCTTTAAAATGGGTTCTGTTTACTTACTATGCACCAATCTTTCACTAGGTAACAAATTACATTTTTATCACTAGTTCATTTGGGGGGCGGGGTGGGGGTTGCTAATTTACTAGGTTGACAAAACAAATTTGCAAAGATGTTAAATTATTTACTTAGTTGACGATTTAAGGCCAAATTTTATATGTACTCAAAATAGTGGAATAAATAAATAAATCTGGGAAGTTGAAAGAAAGGGCAATAAACGCTTTAAACCAGAATCTAATTCCTCCTTACAGTAATAATGCTGACTTATTTGTTAAGAACACAAGAATAAAGGAAATCATCGTAAGTTCGAGATTGTTAAACGAAATCTCCTTGACACTACCTTGGAAAATGTTAAGAGGTGATTATGAAGAAAATACATACTGATGTTAGGGTGCAAGGGGTTAAAACTTACTGCTGGGAAGAAGGTATGTTTCATTATATCTCCACTGGCCCAAGTCCACTTCATTGAATGTGATCCATCTTTATACCGTTCAGTCGATTGTTCAAGTGTTGATGTTGCTGGCACACTGAAGGCATCGACATCAGCGGCGTTCTCAAATGAATACTCTTAATTGGAAGAGACAAGTGAAAATTAGTAAACACACTAAATAATAATTTGAAGAGCAGTCCCGAGATTTTTACCTCTCATCGTTTAAGAAGATCAGTTGATCAGGGATTTTTAAATGTAATCCACCCTTTTATTTAATCAAGGATTTTTTTATGCTTTAAAATACCATGAAAATGTCTCAATGATACATCTTTTCAGGGTCATTTTCGTTAAATATAACTAGTTTCGGACTGTCATTGGTTTCGAGGCTGGATTCGTTGTTGTCATTTTGTCTGGCTTTTTAACCAAGTCTCCTAGACATCTTGTGACGATGACATGGGTGTTCTCTTGCTCGGGAAAAGTCAAAAATAGGTAAGCAAACAAATATCCCACCATTTGCGCAAATGGGGTGTTTCTGGGAAATACAAACCTAAGTTATAAGTAAATATTTAACTCTCTAAATTGCTTATCAATGAAAATTTACAGAATTATGTTAGCAGGTAGGATGGTCGTGCACGGTGGCCTATAATTAATACATAGATTTAGCCAAGCCTAAAAGCGGAGCTTTTGTTAGTTTATTTTCCAACCCCTCATTATACTGAATGAAAACTGTGATAAAACTATTCAGGAATGGTTGTAGAAGAGTTTCTTCAAGGGGATTTAGGGACCAGTCCGAGGTTGGGGGGAAAATAATGAGACGAGGTCTGGAACCTGGGGAACGATGTTCTCGCAACTTGCAAGGCGATCAACACGCATGCTAATCAGCGGTATCTTCAAAAAGCTTGGGACTTTCGTTGTAGTTCCTGATGTTTTGAGCAAGTTTTCGAAGATAGGGAATGTTTTCTTCTTCTGATGAAGTGTCTACGATGTCAGTATCAGCTGAAATTATATTCTATTAAGCGTGACTTATCATTTCGGTATGGGAAAATGAGCCAAAATTTAAAGAAACGACGGTAAACTACGCGTTGAGACATTACTGGTTGATTGAAGAGTATTCACGTGAGAACAGTGAGTCAGTAAAACAATACGCCTGAATCGTATGGGCTTCTCTTATATCTTTTCGAAGTTGCCAGGTAAGACTGCTTGCCCCACCATTTTTCCCTGACGTTTCAACCTCCTCTGTTTAGCGTAGAAAATTAAAAAGAACACTACTTTTCAATTCATGTTTTAACCTGTAATTTTTTAAACTCCTTCTCTTTTGGCTATTCCTATTTCATGATTGTCCTCTGGCTGGAAACACACGGCGTCTTTTTCAGATTTTTTTTTCAGTTATTTAGTTTGGTAACCTCTGCTGTAATGTATATAATGTGAATGTCTTAAGATAACTTGAGATAATACAAAGATTTCATTTCCACACCACAGAAATCAATTCCAAACATCAACCAAGTTTTCTCTCTAGGTTAAATGTTGAGTTGATTTTTTTGGCTTCCATTATTAAATGGGTTGAAAAGTTTTAGGTGTTTTTTTCTCATGTTTGGAAATAATTGAATTTACTGGAAGGTGGAGTTGTTGCAACATGTTAACCCTTTAACTCCTATCAGTGACCAAGACAGACTTTCCCCTTACAATATAAATCCAATATTAACCAGATAATTGATCAGAAAAAAGAAAAATGTCAACTTGGTGTTAATTAGTTGATCCAATACCAAATTCTTTGAACTAACATTCTAAGGATTGCGTGGTTGACAGTAAGGAGAATTATAAATTTGATCTGGGAGTGAAAGGGTTAGCATGAAACGCAACAAATTTTATTGATCTACTGGCAAGTCTTTGTATTGTATTTCAACCCAACCGTTTTCCACAACTTGTGAACACCACTACAAAATAATTAGTGAGGGAAATGGAAAATTTGTGGCATATACATGTTTGAAATGTTATGTCCATAATAAGTTAACAGGATTAATGAAGGTGTATGTTGGAATAGGCTCTCTTGACTGTATCATTAATTTGCTACTTGCCTGTGTTGGCAATGTTTTGATGAGGTCGGGCTATCAGGGCAATGGAACTGAGGATTTTAGTAATAAGTGACTTTTTCAAACCTGGAAACTATCATCGTGAAAGCCACACTTGTTCCTGGTTACTCATTCTTATTCTGATGAAGTAGTTTTACGAAGGATACAATATTTTATTACATAAATTTGATGCATAGGCTGTGCACAAAGCTTTAATTTGACAATAATTTTACAGCCGATACTAACCCCTACGCATAATAAAATGTTAGAAGGATCGGAGGAAAAAAATAATGTGCCATACATTTGCAATATTTCATGAAATTATTTTAAATATATGAATATTAACTGATAGTAGGAGATCTACGAATTGCCAACAGAAGATAAAATTTGGTTGAAAAATTAGAATTCAGAGATTCTTAGAAAAAGAAATGTGTACTAAAGAAAAAGCTCAGCAAACGTTTTTAAAACACCTGCCTGTACCTGTGCGGCATGTATTAAAGTCATTCGTATTAGTCATAATCTCGGTTTTACATGTTGAAAACACATGCACACGCTGATTTCCTATAAACCTGTAGTTCAAGCCTGCAATGACTTCAAAATTTTGATGCACACCTCAAAAGGAGAACAAATAAATTTCAAGTTTCTATTTATTCAGTTCACATGTAGGTTAGTGAGATAAAATTGATTCAAACGTTCATACGATGACGGGTTCAAGAAATTTTCACATTTATAAGGCTAAACTAGCTAGAACAATCACCCTCATGTACAAATTAGACCAGGTTTGTATTGATAAAGAACAAAACTATCTTTGCCAAGAAGGCAGGCTTTCCTTTCTTCATTTAAAGACATACTGACAGAGGTTATCATCTTCCAAAAGCTTAGTGGAAAGTGAGAGTGAATGAGACTGATAGTGACTATGTTATTTGAATAAATATCGAGAGGATAAAAAGTAAGATATGGCCTGCACAACTCTCTTATTTTAATTTTTAAACCTATAAAGCTAGGGCATTTTTATCTTGCTATTTTGGTGACCTCTCTGACTTTCTTGCGCGTTTTTCTCGACTTGCTTTACGCCTTTTACTTCTAGCTTTCTTTGGTCGCTCTGTCTCTTTCTTTTCAGCTTATTTTCACTCAAAACGCTCTCTCAACGAGCTTGAATTATATTAATTTCCTTCGGTTGACAAAGCTTTAGCTCTGCCGGTATTGCTGCTTTTCGAATTAATTAGAAACTGCAAAATACTGAGAATTACTGTTCAACTACAACCTCACCGGTTTGATTTCACGCTCAATACGCGGGTTGCAAATTATTTGCTTACGTGGCTTTACATATATTGGCCCATGTGAAGCCCTTGTGTACACTGAAGCTCGGCACTCAAGTATGAGCACTACATTGCCATCTGCCGGTGTCTCCTGGCGCACACTAATGGGGTATCCAAGTTACGCATGCAATCGTTTTACCTTCTCCCTCGCCCTTCAATAACGTTATGGCTCAGATAATGCCCGCAGTACAGTTGGCAGCGCATGCTAAAAGTAGCACCTTGTACGGTCCGTCGTATGGTGTCAAGTTCAAAATTTTTCGGCTTGATGAGTTACCACTATTTCGTATAATTATGAGGCTACGCTGCGCGCGCTGCGAGCTCTGCTATTATCTGTATTGCATAATCTACAAGTACAAATTATCCCCTTTAAGAATTAAATAAAAAAAAATATCAGAAAGAGAAAAACTCAAGGATGCAAACTGTGAACTTGAAAGGAACAACTCGAGGAACGTTTTGCGTGGATGTCGTTTGAAATTGCGTGATTTTCTAATAAATTATATAGTGCGCGCATGATTAGTACCAATACAGGCAAAAAAGAAGGTTGGTCCGGCGTTATATCTCATAAGAACACACGGTGATCCATCTTATATACCATAGTTCTCGAACAGAGGTTGATCGGGATAATCCAAGGAAAGTTTAAAAACACCGTTCAAAATTTTTTTTTAAGTAATCACCTTAAGTTTGCTCTTAGTATTTAAAAAATGTTTAAAAGACGTTTTTCTCCCCCTCAATCTACAACAAAGCTCTCCATAACACATTGGTGCCAATTTACGACATGGGAAATTTTCCCGCTTTAATTAAATAAAGAAGATTCCTGAAAGCAAAACCAAGAGGAAATCAACGATTGAGGTGTCTTCAAGACTTACTCAAAAAGTTGCAAATGCTGAATACTTCAATAATAATTCACGAGAAGAAAAGTGGCTCTGATCTAAGTTAAAATACACTTATGGATGAAATGAGTCGATAGATTTTTTAAACTGTTACCTCTGGCTCCCTCGATGGTTTTTAAGAGTGAAAGGACAAAGGTCACAAATAGGACAAGACGTAACATTCTCCTGTATGAAAAGAGAAAATATAAACATTGAGTAGAACAAATATATATACATAGTAAATTTTTTAAGTAAATTGGACCATCTGGCGTTGCAGTGATGATGATACGTTTCACGAGAAAAACTGAACAAAGCATCAGGTTAAAAGATTGACACGAGGAAACAAAGTACTTATGCCCGATGCATAATTCCCCTATTAAGATGACCAAATCTTACCAGTTTTATAAATATAATATCACACTTAAACAAGAATAAGGCAAGTGTTCTTTTCTGGGTCACATTTTCAGTTCTAAAACGTGAAGCTTGAGTTTTCTACGAATTTGATATAAAAGCAATGAATATCACTAGTGTAGCACTTCGCCTTCTGTACTATTTTGTATACAGTTGTTTGAACACTTTCCTTACAGGAAATAATGGTGCCAAACCTACCTTTTGTTTCTGACAATCCCTCTGTAATGTTTGATCCTCAGTTCAGTGAAGATTCATTTTCATAAAACACCCATGCTTTACACCCTTATTTATAGCAAAGTTATTTCACAATTTTTTTAATTATTTTTTTAAATAATTTAAAAATTTTTAAATTATTTTTTGTTATTTTTTAATTATTTTGTTAATTTTTTCAATTCATTTATTAAATATTTTTTAATTATTTTTTTTACAATTGTTTTAATTACTTTGTTATTTTTCAATTATTTTGATAATTTTTTCAATTCACTTATTAAATATTTTTTTGTTTTTTATCAATTTTCATCATGTTTTTAATTCTTTTTCTTTCAATTTTTTTACAACAATTTTTTAAATAATTTTTTATCAATTCTATTAATTTTTTACTCGTGAATTGCGCGCATGCGCAAGAGCGAGTTATAGATACGATCTGGGGAATGGCATTCGCTCGATTGGTCGATTCCTGTATACTTTTTTTAGATTTTATGCTTTTGAGTGCATTTGATAGTTTTTGGCGAGCAATAAACAAACGAAATGGCGACCTTTGTTGCTAAGAATAGTGGTGGGGTGAAAAAGAAGCCAATGATAATCTTAAAAGAGTTTTTTTTTATCGTTTTAGTTTCAACAAGCGGCGCCAGCGACTGGCAGGCATGCAAGGATTCACATTGAAATAACAGAAAAACCTTCGTTTTTCATAAAATTGTAATTTACAATCCTTGAACTTGAAAACAATCCGAAGATTCATTGAAAATATCACTTACTGCGAAGCGCTCGGAGTTTACAGATGTTCAAAAGCTTTTTCTGTTATGGCATGAGATTGCGGACAAAATCGATCATTACGTTTCGTCGCGTGTGTTTTTCCTGTGTGAAGCAACAGAAGATGCCGGCGACTGACGAAATAACAAGTTAACACGAAAATTAAATAACACCTAAACAAACAATTTTAGCTACCGATTTTCAGTGAATTTTTAAAGAACAATTTTCTTTTAGGTTTCAAGACAATTTGAAGATTTAACATACATACAACGTACTAAAATGCGAAAGTTACACACCACAAAATTGATAAATAGGCCTGAAATGAAATTCTATCTTGTTATTGATTATACGTTGCCTAGCACGTGACTTAAATCTAGCCAGGCGGAGAACCAAAATAACGGTGACAGGCTTGGCTTAACATTAAACATAATCTAAAAAATCATGTGTCAATTCACGAGTTTGCTCACAGAGCACTTTGATTTTAAATAATTTTTTAAATATATTTTTTTTAAACTGAATTAGCGAGCAGCACTCTGCGAACGGTAGTTGTAAAACGTCTTTATTTTCCGATGCGTTTCGTCTAACTGTCGTAGACTTCTTCAGGGAGTTTTACAAGTTAAAACTAAACGCCTGTATTTATGAGCCATAGTTAGCAGCTATACGGGGGCCAGTGACCATAAAGGCTTGGCCGGACATACGAAAAGGAACAGGCAAAGTTGTGAAAAATAAATTTATTATTATTTTTTAACAATTTGTTTAAACATTTTTTAATCATTTTTAATTCAATTTTTTAATTAATTTTTTTAACAATTTTATTAATTTTTTATAATAACTTTTTAAACTATTTTTTTAAAAACTGAACTAGTGAGCAGCACTCTGCGAACGGTAGTTGTAAAACTTCTCTATTTTCCGATGCGTTTCGTCTAACTGTCGTAGACTTCTTCAGGGAGTTTTACAAGTTAAAACTAAACGCCTGTGATTATTAGCCATAGTTGGCGGCTATACGGGGGCCAATGACCAAAAAGTTCCCCTTTCATAACCTTTTTCTTGTTGCCAGGGGGTTAAAAAGACTCGAAGGGTATGTATAAATATTTGTTAAGAGGCTTCTGAAAGGCAGAAAACTGCAGCACGCTTGAGGAATTATTCTTGTATGGACAAAGATCTAGGAAAGAAATGGAACTGTAGTTAATACAAATAGTAAGCCTAAGGTTACTTCCCACCTTCGCGGGTGTCCTTCGGGAAAAAATTCGTACACGCCCTAGTTTCGATAAAATCCTGGCAAACAAGACATAAGAGGAAAGCTTAATAACTGCAGATTACGATAAATATATAATTTAAGCGACTTTTCTTTTAAGAAGCCGATAATGCGTGAAACGACAGAAGGTTCTTTTATTAAATTTATCGAGTATCGGATGCCGCAGCACGAGCAAAATTGACCTTCAAGCGTCAATGACGATAGATCAAGATTTCCCGGGAAAAGTAACTCATTGCAGAAACGTTTTCGTTTTTTAATCTCCATCGCTCAGTGGAACGTCGAGGAGAAAGACACAACAATGAGCATAGTTGCCGATGGCAAAGGCCAAAACCGCGGCAAAAATGGAAAAAGCTGCAAAATGTGATGAGGAGCCAGACAACCAATCGACAGACAGCTTTTCAAATTACGATTCGCGGCAATTGTTGGCTGATACTTGCATAACGAAAAGGAAACCTAGTTTTCAACATGATGTATGGGAAAGTTTGGTTTGACGGCCACTTCTTTGTTCGAAATCTGCGTCAGCGTGGAGCTCCGCCAGCATTAGTCGCTTTCTCAAAGGGATTTTTTTTTCTTTTCTTGACAGAGTGGTACCTTTCTTTCTTCTTTGGGCCCATTTTTTTACTAATGACTACCTTCCACTTTTGATTTTTCCATGAGCAAAGATCTCTCCTTAAGTAAAGAGCTTGCACGTGTGAGTTTGTAAAGTGCGCGATGTTAACCAAAGAGCTAAATCCATGGTCCCCAAAATATCTTTCTCATCTTGTCCAAAAAATTTTCAAATTTTTCACAACTTTGAAAAAAAAAGTAAAAAAGTTTTACAACTACTGTTCGCAGAGTGCTGCTCAATAATTTTTTAAAAATAAATTTAAAAAATTGTTTTTAACATTTAAAAAATTATTTAAAAAAGATAATTAAAAAATAATTAAAAATTATATAAACAATTTTAAAAAAAGTTTAAAAAGATTGTTTAAAAAATAATTAAAAAATCAATTAAAAAATACAATTATTTTCAAATATTGTTTTGAAAATAATTTTTAAAAAATTATTAAATAGGTGAATAAATAAATAAATCTGAAAAATTAAAAGAAAGGGCAATAGACGCTTTAAACCAGAATCTAATTTCTTCTTATATCAATAATGCTAAATCATTTGTTAAGAACACGAGAATAAAGGAAATGATCGTAAGCTCGTGATTGTTAATGGAAATCTCCTTGACACTACCTTGGAAAATGTTAAGAGAAGAGTATGGAGAAAATACATACTGATGTTAGGGTGCAAAGGGTTAAAACTTACTGCTGGGGAGAAGGTATGTGTCATGTACCTCCACTGGCCCAAGTCCACTTCATTGAATGTGATCCATCTTTATACCGTACAGACGATTGCTTAAGTGTCGATGTTGCTGGCACACTGAAGGCATAAACATCAGAGACGGCCTCAAATGAATACTCTTGATTGGAAGGGACAAGTTGAAATTAGTAAACACACTAATTATTTCTTTGAAGAGCGGTCCCGAAATTTTTACCTCTCATCGTTCAAGAAGATCAATTGAAATATGACCCATCTTTTTCTTTGATCAAGGATTTGTTCTAGTTTAAAATTCCATGAAAATGTCTCAATGTCTCTCCATCTTTTCAGTGTCATTTTCGTTAAATATAACTGGTTTCGGGCTATCATTGGTTTCGAGGCTGGATTCGTTGGTCATATTTTGTCTGGCTTTTTCACCAAGTCTCCTAGACATCTTGTGACGTTGACATGAGTGTTCTTTGAAAATTGCTGGGGAAAAGTCAAAAATAGGTAAGCAAACAAATATCGCATCATTCGTACACATCGGCTTTTTGGTCATAAGTAAATATTTAAATCTCTAAATTGCTTATCAATGAAAATTTTACGGAAACGATGGTCCAGCTCGGTGGCCTATTCTTGGTTTTCACCCGTGTGACTTTTGTCTTAAAGACGGTTGCTATCCGCCATGTTGGTGCCTAAGAAATAGTTACAAATGCGCTTGTAGTATGGCGTGAGTAAGTAAAGTAAAGCCTTTATACAGGCCCAAGTGGCCCATGGGACCGGCGCTTAACTCCGATTTCTTTAGCATGAAGCGGCTAGGAGTATTGCTACTCCGCCCTGGATGGGATGCTAGTCCATCGCCGGGTTACCCCCAGCATATTTGCTGGTACCCATTTGTACACCTGGGTGAAGAGAAGCACTGTGAGAGTAAAGTTTCTGCCTAAGAACACAACACAATGACCCCGTCCAAGGCTCGAACCCGGAGCACTCGACCGGAGTCGAGCGCACTAACCATGAGGCCACCGCACCTCCTGTAAAAGGAGGTAAAGTGTGAGTGAGAAAGTAGAAATGGTTCTTTGTTTAGTTTTCGGCTGCGGCAGCAGAAGTGATCGGAACCAAGGGATTGGATTTCACCGAATACCATCAGTTATCAAATTCTTATTTCGAAGAAGAATTGACAACAGAGAGGAGAGAAAAGTGGATACAAGCGATAAGTCGCGGTGACACGATATGAGAATAAAGGTAAAGACAGACCGGCAAGGACTTCCCATGTGGCTTTCGTAGTCGCGTCGCAGTACCACCTTCAAATTATATTTTTGCTCTCACAAGCATGTCTTAAAGAGACTTTCGCTTTTTGTAAAAGATGATCGGAGGTTTTGGAAAATTTGTTTTCAGCAAGGGCTGATTGTGTATCAGACTCCATTGCTCCATCAATATTTGTTTTAAATTTTTAATTTCCAGGTGGTACATTGTGACAAAAGGCAATAAACGTTCTTGACCTTTCAGCTTTTGTGTATGTTTAAGGGCCGATTTTCAAGAGACAAAGTTGACCCTGACAGAGACCTTTCTTTGATGTTTTCTGGATACCCTCCTTCTTTGAGGCGTTGTTTGAATTTCAAACGGCCCCCCTCAAAATGTTTTTTTTCGAAGAGTTAGTTCTAGGAAATCTTATTGCTTGCCTTTAAGACAACCATATTTTATGCCTGGTGGGTGGCACGAGGCGAAGTGCGTAAATTGAAGGGTCTCGGTCGGCTTATAAGAGGTTGGCACAGGGAGGTTCCAATCACAAAACACACTGAATTTTTCTATTAAATCAAGCATCATGGAGAATTTCATTCACCAATCACGCGTCGCGTAAAAAGGAGTAAGTACGCTAAGCTAATACTGTAAGATTTCAACCTATCTTATGTATTATTTAAAATTACATTCCATCCAACGTTTTTTATCCGGGAATGAATTGCTTTTCACTTGTCACATTGTTTTTTGTTAGACAAATAAAGACGACTCACTTGTTGAAACTGGAAGCTCCGAGAGCGTTTACTAGGACTTCGTATCGCAATATCAAACATCGAACCATACCTGGCAATTATCGAACACAGTAAAAACAAATTAAAGAATCAGGATTTTTAACACAAGAGTTAAGCTTACGTATTTACTTTCCAAGTTGCTTCGTTGAGTATCTTCTTAACCCAATAGCTTATTGTTTGCCCCAACTTTGAAGTTCTGTTCAAGAAGATTTTTGATTTTTCCAATTCAGCATCTGAGGTGTTCGTCTGGGCATCATAGTTTTTTGTTTAATTAGTCAGTAGTCGTAATTTTGACAATACTTTCGCAGTTTGAACTCATGTAAGGCTCATTAGTTATCTCGCGAGAACTAGTGTGAACGTTGCTAATTTGACTATCATTCAATTTTCGGCCACTCGTGGCTCAAAGAGTCTTGTGTACGAATTGAGTTCAAGTCCACGCCACCTCATCTATTCTTTGATACACGGGCAATATTTTTGTCATAGCTTTGCCCAATCCCCTCCTATAAGCCATTAAAGGATATAACGTGGCTTTTGAATTCTTTTAGGTCTTTATGACAAAGGAAAGGACACACTACCTGAGTTAGTTGGCTGTCACCCATTATAAGACCTCACGGAACCTTCTGCAGAGACAACAGGAGACAATGCTGCGTAAGAAAATTAATATATTTTCAGGCGGCAGTTATACCAGAATGGTGTTTATCCTAGAGGCCTCTAATGTGTCCAACCAGGCAATATATTCAGAAGTGCCTACAAGTATGAACAACGGCACCTACCCCTTCAATTACGTAGTCAATAAGTTTGGAATTTTCACAAAAAGGGATGATAAGCAGCAGCCGAAACAAAGAGCTAGGCTGCCAAATTTCTACGTGATTTCACATCAGAAATTAAAGGAACTGTAGGTTTTGAAAAGATACAGAAGGACTGCCTTCGAATAGCGAATGATTTTTGCTGTGGTAAGCTCCCCTACCGCACACGCATACATACACGCACGCACACACGCATACACGCACTAAAGGTGGGGAGGAGGTGCAGTTTTACCGTTAAAGGTGGCTGGAAACAGTTTTCCTATGCTCTGACCACCGGCTAATTTGGTAAAATTCGCTCCAAGGCGAGGCCTTTTCTTAAAAAGAAATCCTGAGGTTGTGAGGATTTTCCGAGATCGTCCCAAAGAGCTGTTTGATAAGATTTGCCCATAACATTAGCACAATAATAGCGCCCACTAATTCAATCTATAATCCATAAGTCAACACATGGGTGAAATCGGTTTCACTGCGAAGAGGGAAAAGTCTGAGGTTTTTGAACGCTTTAAAAGTAGCTGGTAGGACTTAAAAAAATTGTTTCCGGCCACCTTGATTGTCCTGAGACTTTTCAAGTCGCAGTGACGTTCCACAGTAAAGTCTCCCACGCGGTCATTCTTTTCAATGTCACGCAACAGTCCCCCTTAAAGATTACTCTTAGCATTGGTCTTCGGTTTTAACAGTATTCAAGGCTAAGATTTAGACGTTTTAAAGTGTAGTATCGGTTTAAAACTGAGAGAACAACTTTAATTTTTGGTTTTGGTCAAACGTTTATTTTTTTATTTCCATTCTACTATTCAGCTTTACATTTACGTGACAAGCACTCTATAACGCTTTAGCAAATTTAACTTCGCTTAACATCGTTTAATTCATTCAAAGAGTCTTATTATCAATCTAAAGAGAAAAAAATGCATATGCCGTCAAGGCAACTATCGAGTAAGTTTGACTTCTGTAGTGAACCCCTTGGACAGCTGTTTAAACACGATGGCACGCCCTGTAGTTGCACCGCTTGATTTTGGTCTGACCATCACGTGATTTGTTTTATCGGTGTCTGGGACAACCTCTCCGTTTACTCTCACATCTCCAGTTGCTATATTCACCGCACTGATCACTCTCACCTGAGATAAATCATTATTGGAGGTTAAAATCTAGAGCCGTTCGTTTGGAGAGCTTTTCCAATGAGTTTTTGAACCAAAACCAAAGCAATTACAACGGACAATCGGAAGAAAGAAAAATGTCCAGGAGTGCCAATCAGAACTCAAAGTAAAAAACAAGCAAACCGCTAAAAGCGCGGGAACACGCGGCGACCGAATCGTTTTGCATCTAATTAGTTAAGAGAGTGGTGCGAGTTTTCCGGACCAATCACAAATCAAATTAAAGGAAACCCAATGCAATTCCAGGTTACTTTCAACACTCAATTGAAAATTGCTCTAAGAGACGAGTGTAATTATGAATTGTGTTGCTATTATTTTATTGAACTGTGAAGGTCCCGAAACTCACTCCTCCTTCTAAATCACTCAGATCAAAAGGAAAATCAATCTCGACTTCGTCGCACTTAGGTTCGTTTGTTTCAGTTTCTTTTGATTTTTCACAGGTTTCGAGTGACAAGCACATTCTTTCAAATCGGTCGTTATAATAACTTTAATGATGTTTTGAGGGAAATGAACTGAAAAACGCTTTCTTAATACAAAACAAGATTACCTCATTCGTTTAAGCCACACTATCATTATCAAATGTGTAAGTTCTTGATTTTTTCTGCGTAACATGTTGGGTTAAGATATTCATTAATGAGCACATGAAAATGTTTTCAAAGACCACTAATTGCACGAGCCCTACGGGCTCGTGCAATTTTGTTAGTATTTGACGAAATTTATTCCTCCCTATTTAGTCCAAATTGCACTTGAAATCATGTGACTATCTATAGAAATCATTTAACAATTGTGTCATTTGTAAATAATCAAACTACTAACAGCCAATCAGACTGCAAGAATCAACAGTATTCTCAAAAAAGAAGTAAAAGTAGAAGGAAAATCAGTTTTCAGATTACCTCTATGTCAACTGGTGTGCTAACAGAATAAAACCTTTCTTGCCCATTGACCTGACTGCCCCAATCCAAAGTCCTGGAGATGTTGAAATTTAGATTTGGATAAGAGACTGCAATGTACAAGTTTTGGGTATCCACTTCTTCCACCATCACAATGCAAGGATCCTGTGAGATAAAATATCAGAAGAACCGCAGATCAATCGATATTTATTTACACAAAAACCATAGCACGTCCAGAAATGACCAAAAAGAAATTTTACTTTACATAAACTTAAAACAAATATATTTAATAACTATGCACCTAAATGGAGGTGGCTATATACTGGTAACCGCCGAGACTGAAGCAAAATGGGACAAAAATATGATTTAAACCAATTTATTCCAGAAACGATTAAAATGTTTTCTGCCGCAAATCCAGTGCGAGTTCCTCTGAAGAATAGCGAAGGATATTTCGAGCTTGAGTAGCCAATCAGAGCGCGCCTTCAATGCTATCCACAGTTTTAGATTATACTACATACATACTACTCAAGTTTCAATAACGTGGCACTCTGCCATGTATATGAAGTAAATATGCCTTTTTTTCCCATCAAAAAGGTTACGATCGATGCATATATATTTACATCAGAGGAACAAAGAAACAAAGCCTTTAGAAATTTGGACAGCAGCTCTTAGGCTTTTTGTCCCTATCTAATTAAACTTTCTTCCTTCTTTTGTGACGGTGAATTATACTGGAAGGATGAAACAGTGTTGAAACGGAGAATTATGTGCCTTTTGGTAAAAAAAAAAACCGCTTCTAGACACAATTTTTTCCATGCTATAAAGCTTCAAAAGGGATTTGGAAACCCTATAGTAAAAGAACCTTTATGAAAATCCGGAAACAAATGATAAATATTAATAATAGTAATAATAATAATAACTTACGAATAAAAATTATTAATAATAAATATATAAGAAATGAACAATAATAGTTAATACTTGTATAAACATATTCCGCTGCGACTAACAACGCCTTTTAAAATAAAAATTCAAAACTTCTAAAAACAGTTCTGCAAACAATTAGTTTATAAAAGTTATAGTATATAGAGATTTAAGATCAGGACTAAATAACTAGCTCTAAGAAAAAAACACCAAAAAATGCCTCTCTAAAAAGAAAAGTTGAAACTTAGCATTATATTTCTACGCATAATTTTTTCCAAGGTATAGAGCTTCAACAGGAATTTGAAAATCCCATGGTAAAAATTCCTTACTGAACAGCAGGAAACCAATGATAAATAATAATAATAATAATAAATAATAAGAAAAAATAATAGTTCTATACACATAGTAAACTGCGACTTACAATGCCTTTGAAAATTCAAAACTTGTAAAAACAGTTTGACAAACAATGCATAACAATTAATGCATATTAAAATTTAAATCAGGACCAACCAACTAGCCATAAGAAAAAAACATGAACAAAATGCCTTTTTTAAAAGAAACGCTTTACGTCTTTATTTTCTTTTAGCAAAAGAAGACGCTTCATATATTCGCGAATTTCATCCTCTCTGTTAGTCTCATTAAACCAACTCTGTTTTTACTCCTATCTAAGCTAGACCATACCATGACAAGTTTTACCTTTGTGACGCGCCTTACTGGACCCGAGGTACGGACAGATCTGTCAAAAAAAACGTAACCATACTGTGTCTCACCCTGCCTCGGGCAATTATTGATCTTCACCACGTGAGCCCTATTGTCTCGCTGAAGTACTTGATACCAGTAACTGCCACTGGCTTGATTTTCGGCCAAAGTCTTTCAAATTATGAACAGAAAAATGTTAGTGCGAGATCAAAAAGAAAAAAAAACTCGTAATATTGCTGAAGGCTATTTGAGCCCTGTTAAAATAAAAAGGCTAGGAATGTGGCTTTCCATGCGAGACTGGATCATTTGGTACAAAAAACATTGTACATAAGAATGCTTAACGTGTGTGCTTATCTATCCCACAATTTCCTATTTCGCCAGATTTTCGGTAAAAATCCATTGGCTTAGAAGCGAAGAAGGAATGCTTCTTGAAAAGCGACCACTGAGATACAACTGTTTCGTTTCCAGTCCACTTGTCAACAAATACTTGCTGATAAAAGCAACATAACTTCCAGATCCTGTACGAAATTCACAATACTGAATGCCATACATTTTATGGTAATGAATTAGGTGTCATGGCAAAATAGCAGTCTACAGTATAGCTGATGACCTTGTGTATTCTTATCACCTGTTTGCAGACTATCTATTGAAATCGCAAGAAGTTACACATGCAACACTTCTGAGAGCTAATTGTTTAAATGCGCATGCTTGAAGGAATCGTTTAATGAACTCTAAAATTCCTACCCGGACTTCTTCTGAGGGTCTGTTGACCAATATGGTGTATTCATAACCCTTGTCCGTTGGGTTCACTCCATGGTTGAGCCATGCGGTCGCGTACCGAGCCGATGTAGCCCTTGAACCTCTTTGGTTTCTGGAATTTTGCAAGCCAATTTTCACATTAAGTCCCTGGTTATGCGCGTCGGGAATGTAGTAAGTGTTTCCTTAAATTTTTAAAAATGAGAGAATAATGAAACTTCTATTATTTTTAGTAAAATAATAGTGTCCTAAACACAAGCATAATAACCAAAAGGAGAGGTCACGTTAGACCTCACAGCAAGATTTAGATATATGTAATTGGAATCCTAAACTCATATTCATTACAGAAAAGCAAAATGGCAGTTATGATGTCACCGTCACCGACAGTAGACACTGAACTATCACAGCCCAAAAGAGCTACTTGAGTCTTGCAGCCTATAGTATCACGACAAAACTGACCAATCAGTCTACAAGAACCAGACTTAAAACACAAACCAAGTTTTCACATTTGTCATTTAAGGGACCAATCATTATTTATCATTTTTTGACAATCATTGGAGAGGGGGCCTTGGGCGTTAAGAATATTACAGAGCCTTAAGGCAGGACCGGGTAGATTTCAAATCGAAGCAACCAATTTGATTTATAATTCTTCGGCGTGATGTTTTGGCCGTAAGGCATTTCATTTAAAGCAATTTTCAGTTAAGTATCAAAAGGAAACCGTAACTACGTTGGCTCTGCTTCAGCGGGCTTTGTGATTGGTCTAGAAGACTCGCACCACGCTTCCCACCAATTAGATGCAAAACTGAACAATCATAACTAGTTCGCTCGCGTTTCCCCGCGCTTTGTATGTTTCGTTTTTTTTCTCTGAGTTCTGGTTGGCTCTTCGTGATTTTTTTTTTCAATTTTTCTTAGTGGTTGTTGTGGTAACTTTGGCTTGGTATTAAGATACACAATCAAAACGCAGTCTGTTGAACAAGCCTGTTGGATTAGAGATGACCAACGTTAGCCTTGATAATTTTTTTCCTGGCCTCTACATGGACCACGCCAGAATGTCTCAAGTCATGAAAACGAAAAAAAGAAGTCGGCCACAGTCGGGTCACTGTGTAATAATAAAATTTTTTTTATGTATTTAGTGAACGTTTGAGGTTGTCCTTCAGTAGCATGTTGATTAAATGGACGATTCGATTGGTTTTATATCGGAAAGTGTAAGCCCGAACTTAATTCCCGGGAAAAATGTACTGGACTCAGAGACCATCTATTTTTACCTGGGCCGCTTACATCTTTCGTTCTTCTGCTCATCAGCGATTTTCGGTGGAACTGTTTGTAACCATCACCACATTTGAACAACTCATTTTCCCTATTACATATTCTAATTATTCTTTCACTCACATTGTTTTAATATCATGCATAGTGGCCTCTAGATCGGGGAAAGTTTGGAAAAAATAAAGAAATACAGTAGCTCAATGCCTAAATCGAATCGTACATATCATGTATTTACCATTGACATCCATAAGTGTAGCTGCATGGTTTCCTGTGCCAAAGAAGGACGGCGCCTTTGTCGAGTCGGTGTTGAGTGAGTGACTTGTTTCGTTTATCAGAATTGATGATGGGTTGCTTGCGTTGAGAAGCTTCGTCTGGAACAACGTGGTCTGCAACCAATTTCAAACGTGCATTGCTCAGTTTTCTCATGAGAAAGATTGAGAAAATATTGTCGCGTAAAGAAAGGACATAGCATGATTGATGCGACTGAAAGGTTCACCATTTCAGAACACAGACCCTATTTCTACCTATCCAGGGGCCCGTTTCTCGAAGGTTCCAATAACTAAATGCGCCCAAAGCCCTATTTCAATATCAAAATTTAAAGAATACAGAAGCAGGTTCTGACATCCTAACGAGTCTATTTTGTTCCTTTATTTGATAGTTTTATTGTATAATTTTCAAAAGTTTTGAAACTCCCATCTTGAATGACAACAGACCAGCTTTAAGGGCCCGTTAAGTGATAAGGACCTTCGAGAAACAGGCCTCTAGTTTCTGAGGCATGAAGTGACTAGGAATAATTTTGGCATCCATTCAACAATAACTAGCTGTTTACAGGGCCTTGCATTAACTAGTAACCTTCCCAGGACTCAAACCCAGACTCTCGAACAGAGGTCCACCGTGCAAACCCCTTCGTCACCATACTTTCTCCGCGTTGATTGTATTAGATAAATTGCAAGTTACCACAAGTAATAGTTCTTTCTGTATCTGTTCCCGCCTTTCGATGACATTAAGTTTTTGGTTACAGAAATAATTCTAACAAATTTGAAGGAGAGCGGTCTCTAACAGGCTTGATGCTTGATTGAAAGGGAAACAATTAAATGTACCTGAGTTATATTGGGCGAGCTCATGGTTGTTGTGATTCCAGATCCAAGACAAATCACGGCAAAATCTGCGAAAAACACGCTCTTCTTAAATCCAAATGTGATGTCAAGTTGAAAGGAACCAGCTGGAAACTTATAGCTTGGCTGTGAGAAATCCATTCCAAAGCCCCCTGTAGCATAATCACCGCCACCAATCAAAGTCAATCCGCCCGCAAGTTCCCTGGGTTGAAAATATCTGTGGAGCCACTTCAAATGTCAGATGATATAATTGGTTCATTTGTGCTACGTGGTACAAAATACTCTTCTTTGATTGTTTATGTACCATATGAGCCTACAATACCACTATAATGATAAACATATATTTTTTGGAGGAAGTCAGAATTTAAAACTAAAGCAAAAACACTTAACATGTTTCCTTTCCGGCCCACTGGATACTTTGAGAGGGGTGGGGGAGGGGGGATATTTCCTATGGATAATAAAAAGCACACAATTTTATATCGACCTAAGCCTTATGATAATATTAGAGAATTGGTTCACGCTTTAACTATGCGTATATCGAGTTACGGTTGCACTTGGGAAGTTTTGAGAGGACTGAAGAAGCAAGGAGCTAGAGTTGCCAGCGGCGCTCTCCAAATTTCCCACGTGCATCCATAATTCGATACGCGCACTCTGAGTACGGACCAATTCTTTAATATTACCCATAAGGTTTCTGGAAACCTAAGTTCAGTGATTGTGGACCTTGCTATTTGGTACTCGGGCCATGTTTGTATCTTTTTCTATTAAAACGCACTTCTTTCCTTGGGAGGGGGGGGGGGTGGAGGGGAGGAATCCACAACTCCCTGTCATTTTTAGCTCCTTAGTTATTCCAGGATGCAGTTACCCTCTAACTATCATACCAATAATAAATTATTATTTTCTATTCAATACATTGTTAAAACTTGATATAGAGTACATGACATTTGTTGTTGTTGTTAAAAAGAGCCTTAAACGAAACTTCTACTAATAGAGTAGTTCCCCAAAGGTTACGAATTTAGAAAACCGGTAGCAGGGAGATTTTTCAGTCCACGGGATCGAAGAGGGCAATCACGAACGGGAAATATGAGCCTATCTTGCCCGCTAGGGTAACCAATCAGAACACGCGATTCCATTTGATCTGCCCGCTCGAGAAGCCAGCCAAACGATAAAAACGGATTTGAACGAACAGAATTTAATTACTTACCTACGCTGTTGGCTAACCATCTGTTCAAGATCCATTTTTATTGTTGTTGTGCCCGGATGTCGTGTCCAGTCCCAACCATTATCGATATCTAGAGTTTTAAGTGACGCCTCGCTGTTTGCAACGAGAAGTGCTCCATGACTCTGATAAAGACCATAAACATTTTGATTGTTTGAAGCCTCGAAGTCCCAGACATACTTGTTAAAGCCTTTCATTGTTACCGCCCAATTTTCTCTTCGTGCAATCACTAGCGAAGCATAATTTTTCGTCCAGAATCCCTGGGGCGAACTTTCGGCCGCTACACTCATCGAGGCAGCTTTAGAGCTTATTTCCTCCATGATGTTGATCGAACCAATAGTGTTTAGGTAATAGATACTTGTGAATATCGTCCCATCTTCCAAGTAATCGCTAACATCCTCATTGCCTGCATCATTAAGTCGTAAAAACATTTTGATCTTATCACTGTCGAGAGCAGCAATTTCACCCAGACTTCCATCAGCGTTCAAACTGGGAGCAGTTGCACCGGCGTAAGCATAGGCAGGAAAATTCTTGGCCAAAATTGCACGGTAAAATCCTGGAAATCGACCACATACACTGTTCGGAGTTGAGTATTTAACGGCAACAATCCTCATTGTCTCTAGACCTTTCTTAATATGCTTGCTTGTGTCTTCACCTTTGAACCAAAACCACGAAAACACAACTCAAACTCTAATTGCAAAATACAATTACTCCCTTTGTAAAATCAATGTATACCCCAAATATTAAGTACACAACAGAGCTAGTTTATTACTGCGTCAGACAATTTTACACGGCCGAAAGATGAGAGTGCTCAGGAATCCTACGAGAAGATGCCTCTCTCCACCTGTTGCCTCACATTTCCCTTGCGAAACAATATGATCACAGAGGCGTCTCCTCTTGCAGGCTAGAACAGGAAACAAAAGGAGCCTCTAAAAAGAATTATTGAGTTAATGGACGAAGAAGAAACCTAGATAAAAGAGAGCTTTATGGTAGTTCCAACCATGATCTTTGTGTAGTCGTTTCGCTACCTTGGAAACCACACTTCAGAGAAGTCATCCGCTGGCACACTTCCTTCCTAGCCTTTTCCCCTCTATAATGTTGTTCAAAGCCATAGCGCTAAGTATCTGGCTAACATATTTGTAAACGACAATTCTACTGACAGGAGTCCTTTCCAGGACTATCCACAATCGGACAATCAGACTTCTCGAGCATATCTCAAACCAACGGTTTCTTCATCCATTTGGATCAATGTTAGTATCAGAGAAACTGCACACCTACTCCTCCCCTAACCCAATAACGGTCAACTAAAACAAATTAGGGGTAATGTTGGGTTTGCAGAGGGGTAGGTACGTAGTGGCTCTTTTTTTTTGTCCCCACTTTACTTTCCCTTGTAACTAGCTCATTCTTACTCAATTTAAATGGTGTTCCACTGAGTAGAAACTCGATGAGTGCACCACAATGGATAGCATGCGGAGTGTAAGCAGAGGCATAATAGCTGTTGTGATGGAATCCAAGGTAATCAGGCTTTAAAACTCCTGCGAGACCTTCATTAGGAGACAGTGCGTTGGCGTACCATAAGACAAGTTCTTCCATGTCACGAATTTTATCAAGCTTTTTGGCATCTGTTGTAGTTGGCATCATTAGAACGGTAAACAACCTGCAAAAGAAAGAGTCAGCTCACATAAGGCTGAGGATTGAACGTCTTTATTTTTTTAACAGTTGACTTCACGATAAATGAGTTTGCTCGTGCAAGGTATTCATAAATTTCTAGCGAGTGGGAACGCAATGGTCTAAAGGGAAATGATTTGACAATAATAACAAAAACAAAAAACATAGGAAGGGAAAAAGAAGGCAAAAAAGGGAATGGTTGAGAAGGGAGAGATTAAAATGTATTTTTTAAATACAAGTTTCGTAACGGTAGAAGATGGAAGAATGTCTCAGGATGAAGTTAATTCAAAATAATTGCAGATTACGAACTTAAAAAACATAGACTGAATGTTTTAAGATGTTAAGGCGTAGCCCACGAGAAACATAGCCTTAAGTATCTCTGAAACGTGATGCTGAGTTTAACACTAGAGCGCATTTCGACTGGATGCCATAAAACCGACACCAAAGTCATAACAGTGGCCAATCAGGACACAAGGAGCAGCAAGGACTCGAACTAAAATCGAAGCTAACTTCTTGAAGCGCGGAAAGGCGCAATTGACCAGCTCCCTACAGGCCCTTGCGTTCCTCTTGCATCTGTTTGGTTGAGTGGTAGCAAGAGTTTTCTCGACCAATCACAGAGTGTCGTGAAGCAGAAAAAAAAGAAATCCCGGATTACCTTCGAAAATTAACGAAGACACAACACAATGACCCCGTCAGAATTCGAAACCAGGACCTCACTATTTGAAGTAAGAGCACAAACTACTAGGTCACTGTTGGCTCTGACGAAGGGCAAACGCTCGAAACGTCAGCTCTTAGGAACTCTTTACGGTGGTCAATTGACATTGCCAACTCGGTTAATGAAACCAAATTAACTTGGAATACCCCATCGACGCAGCGACACAGTTTTCTTTGGAAACTTACCCAATTTTCACACAGTTTTGTATTAGTAAACAAAAGTAACACATACCTAGAAAAAACATATGTCACATAAGGAACTGACATGAAAAACATCTTGCCTGAATACTGCAATGGTTCTCATACGATCAGCAGTTGTACCAGCATATTCAAACGGGTCTTGATAAACTTCTCCAAACTCGTTGTACCACTTCATAGTAGCCACATAATCATCGATTTTACCAGCGGCGGTGATTTCATTCCTCAGTAGAAAGACTGCATTCATAAAACCTGCACCGGAATTGTTCATCTCATGATCCAAAGTACCAATACCACTACCATCGTTCCAACCTGACAAATGCAAGAGCTGAGTTATATCACATTCTCACCAAAGCTTAAAACATGTTTTCAAGCTATTTTGGTAAACACGGTATAAAATTTGTAGATAGAAATAAGAGAGATGATAAGTTTTGAGCTCGGTAAAGAAATATAGAAAGATGTTTTTCGCCTTGTGACGGGCGTGGGACAAAGAAAAAATTCCGAGTCCCCATGAGGAATCGAACCTCACACCTTCGAATTCTGCGCTCCGATGCTCTACCACTGAGCCACAGAGACTCCACGGTGAGCGAGGTCTACTACGAAATTCATATGACCCGCGTCGGAGGACGGAATTCGAAGGTATGAGGTTCGGTTCTTCATGGGGACTCAGAGTTTTTTCTTTGTCCCACGCTCGTGACAAGACGAAAAACGTCTTTCTATATTTCTTTAACGAGCTCAGAACTTACCAGTTCTTAATTTCATGAGCTCCAGGAATGGAATTGTATGAATTATCGCATCAATGTCAGTATCTGAGAAACTGGGCACCTACCCCTCCCCTAACCTACATTAACCCTGACTTACTATGAGTTCATCGTTGGATCAGGGGAGGGGTTTTGCCCCAATGACTCGAGTTCCATACTTTACCCTATTATTCATAGACTCACCTTGATCTTCAATATATTCCAAAAGGAGAAGTAATCGTTCCTTTCGCTTCGTATTCAGAGTGCCTATGGCCACCTTCACTTCCGCCAACGTGTAAGATGTTTGAGTGGTACCCAGGGCGGTGGTGAATATGGCTTGAATGTTCTGATTACCTCCTGCTATTTTCTATGGTTGAAAAAAAGAAAGAAATTCAGTAAAACCATCCTGCATTCTCTGAAAAGTACTTATAATAAATGTTCCCTCCGTCATCTTGGCGGCAGGTAAAATTCAGAAAAAAGAATGGGGCCTATTTTGCATAAAGTTTGCGAAAGGCAACTTCACATTTTAAGAGCTAAGATAAACAGCAAAAAAAAGAAAATGTTATAATTTAAAAAGGAGAAAAAAGTAAAAAGTTCACTTTCGCGAGCAGATGACTCAGAAGAAAAGGTCTACAAGAACGTCACGGTCGCTGGTCTTGCCTTTTACGAAACAATTTTGGACGCGGGGGTAGGGGAGGGGGTAATTCGAACGAACCAATCTCCAAAAGCCAGGGAGGTTGCCTAGGGGGATTGCCTGGGCGGTTGCCTTGGGGGGGGGTTGTCAAAGTCCCAAATTGATCGAAGCATGCAAACCCAAAATACAATTGAGATTTTTCTTAGCATTCAAATATTCTTCCAGCCTCTCGTGTTTGGACACGGCTGGGAGAACACTGAGAAAGAACTCTACTTTGCTTTTTTAACTTGTATCTAGAAAACTTTGACAACCATGTTTACAAACCCTCATCTGAACACACCTATCAAGGTTAAGGGTGAACCTTAACCCATTTTACCCCCAAGAGTAACTAACATCGAACTTCTCCTTAAAGTATTTCTGCTGAATAAGATATCAAGATCATGAGAATAAATAAAATGATTAGCTACTAAAATAAGCCCTTGATGAATGTAAAATACTCTTGCCAGTATCGTGGAAAATGGACAGAGAACACTATAGAGAATTAATGCATACTGATACTGGACTATAAAGGGTTAAAGAGCCAATCAACCATACCTTTATGGCAACATTTTTCTGGTCCATGGTTCCATTCAAGTTGGACAGTTGATCGGCCGCCAATGCATTGACGTCAACATCACGTGATCTCACATGATAATCCAGTGCCAATGGAAGAAGCACTTTTACCACCACCTCCCCAAATTTTTTACCACCAGTAACTGTAGACTTGTCAGCATAAAGAGGCACCCCTGGAGAGTAACAATGCAAATACAATTTTGGAGGTTTCATTTTTGGATAGAGCAACAAAAAAAAGCTGTTCTCAATCATTTTTCTGACACATCAAATTATCAACAACCAACTTACTGAAATCATTAGGCAACTTACCAACACCATTAGGCAACTCATTGTTGTCACTATTAAACTTGCCAACACTTTTAGTCAACTCCCCAACCCCCAATTCACCCCCTGGTGAACTCACCAACAACCCTATGTTATGCTTAGATATAAGTGCAACTGTTAAGTTGCAAAGGAAATCATGGCCATAGAGCACCATTTCCGTCAGTTAAATATCATATTAAGAAAGGGGGATATAAGGAGAACGCGGAGCAGTGGATAACATTATCCAACAAATAAATTGCTATCCAACTGATAAGCATTTACAAACTCCATTGCTTTATCCACAGGACAGTGATCTATCCAGTGGATACCAATATCCACTTCAAATGACTAAGGCCCAAAAATTTTAAAAAAATATGACTGAAGGCGCATCAACTAAGGCTTGAAAATTTTTAAAAAATCATGATTGAAGGGATGTCATTTCCAATTTTTTAAACATTTAGTTAGCTTTTGACCCCTTTACTCCAAACATCTCAAAGTGATTCTCATTAGTGGGTACTATACAGTTCTTACGATGTGAATTAAGAGAATTTGGTGCTGGACCAGGCAATAATCCCTCTTAATAATATTTGCCCTTATTCCCATCACTTTACTGCTTGATGCTGCATTGAAATTGTGTGAAGAAATTCTGCATTGGTCACCTATGGGAGTTAAAGGGTTAAAACTTCATTAAAGTGGTTAATTATTATTTTCAGTCCTTAAACCTGCCACCAAACAAAAAGTTAGAATTTTGCAAAAAAGTCATAGGTTAGTTATTAACATGGTGTTTACCTGTAATAACACCTTCTGAGCTTTTCACAATATTTAGTTGTTCATACTGAGTGTAAGCTCTATCCACTTGCATCTGTAAAGACATCCATCTCCTCTGAGCATTTGTTGGAAACTGGAGTGAGCTCTGAGACTGATTAACAAACCAATTCTCTAGTCGCTTTTCAATCAGGGTCATATTGTCCAGTTTTTCTTGACTGGGTGTGGTAACAGAAATTATTGGTGGTGATACCTAAAAGAAATATGCATAGAGTATTTTACATGGCTGTACATGGATGTGAATTTTTTCTTTGAGTGAGAGATATCTGATCATCAATAGAAGATAAATTGTATCCAAAAGCAGACAATAATGTAATATTCTGTTTATCAGTAAATATCAGCATCATAACTATTTAAATCACTGACAGCTTTAAAACATTGTGTTTTTGACAGCACCTAATGCGGAGATCACCAAAACTTGCCCCAGCCATCATTAACTGATTCATCCAGCTCCCCAAACTTTACTCCAAGACCAAAGGACAAAGTGATTTACAGTTACTGCATGAATGAACCCTTTTAGTTTGCATAAATGAATTTTGTGGAACAATATTGATATCAAATACATCACATCTTTCAAGATAAAACTGACTGAGCATTTAAACAGATCTATACTTTTTTCTATTATTAGAGGAGCGGGAGGGAGGGATGGCACTGTAGTGAGAGGGTTCACCTCTTACCACTGTGGCCCAGGTTCAATTCAAGGACCTGGTGTCAAATGTGTCTTATGTTTTTTGTTGATCCTCATAGTTGCTCTGTGGGTTTTTCTCCTATTCCTCTGCTTTTCCTCCATCCACAAAAACCAACATTCTAAATTCCAATTCAACCTGGAAACAGTGGACAAGAAGAGCCACCTTGTAGAATGTGCACTGCTAAATCCCACTTCATTTTTATTTTATTAGATATATTTTAAGACAAACATGTTCAAACATACCTGACTCCAGCGATAGGTTTGCTGCCAGAAGTTGTTGTTGGAGTAAAGGTTTGGATCTATTGGTGGTACCACTTTGTCACGGCTTTGCCTCCTGACTTCACTTGCAAAACGCAAGAGATCAAAATACAATGGATGTATGGTAGCTTGAGTTGTAGGAGCAGTTATTTTCATAACATTAATATCTTTGTTTTTAGTCACAATAGCTTCTTGATAGGATACCCACACAGCACGCCACCCCTTCAAATGGAAAGAATAAAGCGATTATTGTACAGCTGGTTTCAATTTCAACATAAGCCTTATAACTCCCAGAAGTGATTAACATGTTACTTCTCCCTATAATATCCATACATTACCTGGTAAACAGGTAGTGACTATACTCAAACGCATCAGGTACAAGTTATTACCTTGATCACACACCAAATTCTCATAACAAATTTACAAGGAAATGTCTAGCAGCTAGAGGGGAGAATTAACAATCAGGTCTTGGGAGTTAAAGGCCTACAAGCAGGCTCTCATATTTTGCCTTACAGCCCTTTTTCAGGCACAGCTGTCTATTATATTATCAACAGCAGCTTATGGAAAAAGTTATTGAACTTCTGTAATGCCCATGATTTTACTCAAATTACTTTCAATTGCTGCTTTGCTCCATTGCTTTCTTTGTTTCACTTCCTACTTCTTTTCTACCCTCAAAAGTTTGGATAAGTAGTCATTCTATACACAAGTATTCTGGTGTCAAGCTGACAGATGTTTAGATGTGGGCTGTGGTTTGGTTGCCTTAGTAACCTCCTTGATTCTAAGGAGATTGCTGTCTTTCTCTGTCCTTATCTTTGAAATAACCATCCCCCAAAGCTATCAGTAAAGTGTATTACTATAGCATTTTGCCATAATACTTGTTAACACCATCAACATGTAATCCATAGACACCCCTTACTAAACAAGTCTATGGACTGTACACTACGATACCAATCAAGTTTTTTCAGCTCAGATTTATAGTCCGCAAAAGGCTGAAAAAACAAGGTTCTGTAACTTACAGTGCAGTCCAAAAAAATGAGGTCAGTAAGTTATTTACTATATCTCTGAGTTCAAATAGAGGGGAAACATTTCAAGTCAAACAAACTCTTGAATTTAGCAGGTCACAGAGAAATACGGCCAACTAGATTAACTAATCAGACCTCACATAAGAGCTAAGTGATACAATAATACATGATCATACTGCAAATATGAAAAAAATTCAATGTTTTACATTATTGCCACAAAACATTTCCAATGCCGTAGTTTTAAATGCCGCATTAATAGAAGATACCTCTGCTACACTTCAAAGCATGCTCATACACATCATCAAGGTGTACAAAGGCAATCTGCTGCACACTTGCAAAATTGAATTTGACCACAGGAATTTAACAGGTGTTTTGCAACATTACCCCTTACCTTAAAATTCAGCTTAATATTGAACTGTGATACAGTAACAGTGGTGGATGCAGTATTTTGGAAAGAGACAGCCAAGCTCTCTCCTGCTCGTGGATCAGTGTTGTAAAGCCACAGCTGAATTCCTCCCTTTTTAAGCTCATTTCCTGAAATCTGAAATGTATGTTGCAGTTAGTTTGTGATCTTCGTTATTTTTATATAACACATCACATAGACACTAACACACAAACCTGGCATACATTTGAAGCTTTAAAATAGGTTCTGTTTACTTACTATACACTAACATTTTCAGTTCATCTTTCATTAATTAACAAATTGCATTTTTATCTCTAATTGATTTGGGGGGTGGGATGGGGGTTGCTAAGATTGACAAAATAAGTTTGTAAAACATGTTAAATTATTTTCCTTGGTTGAAGATTTAAGGCTAAATTTTAAATATGTGTTCAAAATAGGTAAATAAATAAATAAATCTGGAAAGTTAAAAGAAGGACAATAAATGCTTTAAACCCGAAGTGAACAATATCTAATTTCTCCATGTTGTAACACTCCTGAATCATTCGTTAAGATCATGAGAGTAAAGGAAATGATTGCAAGCCTAGGAGGCTCCTGATTTCTTATCAAATTCTCCTGGTCACTACCTTGAAAAATGTAAAGAGGATAGCATGGAGAAAATACATACTGATGTTAAGGTGCAAAGGGTTAAAACTTACTGCTGGGGAGAAGGTGTGTGTCATTGTATCTCCACTGGCCCAAGTCCACTTCATTGAATGTGATCCATCTTTATACCGTACAGACGATTGCGCAAGTGCCGATGTTGTTGGAACACTGAAGGCATTAATATCAGAGGCGGCCTCAAATGTATACTCTTGATTGGAAGAGATGACTTAAAATTAGTAAACACAATTATAATTATTCTTTCGAAGAGCAGAGAGCAGTCCCGAGATTTTTACCTCTCATCGTTTAGGAAGATCAATTGAAATTCTTCAATCGGGGATTTTTTCTTCTTTAAAATACCATGAAAATGTTTTCATGATAAATCTTGTCAGTGTTATTTTCGTTAAATATGACTGGTTTCGGACTTTCGTTGGTTTCGAGGCTGGTTTCGTTGTTATTATTTTGTCTGGCTTTGTAACCAAGTCTCCTAGACATCTCGTGACAATAACATAAGTTGTGGCTCTTTGAAAATTAGGTAAGCAAATAAATATCGCACCATTCGTGCAAATCGGTTTTTTCACGTGAAAAGTAAACTTTAGTCGTAAGTAAATATTTAACTCTCTAAATTGCTTATCAATAGAAATTTACGGAATTATGTAAACAAGTACGATGGTCTTTTGCTCATGAGCGAGCACGGTGGCCTGTAATTTGTATTGTATAATCTACGGGTACAAATTTTCCCCTTTAAATAAAAAGAATTAAATAAAAAGAAATATCAGAAAGAATAAAGGGATATAGCTAAAAGCATGCACGAAGCCCGTACTCAAGGATACAAACTATGACCTTGAAAACACAACTCGAGGAACGTTTTACGTCGATGTCGTTTGAGATTGCGTGATTTTCCCGTTAATCATAACCATCGCAATTTCCTCAAATGTGATTGATGCATCAGCTGCTTTATATTTGACTAATCACCCTGTACAACTGTAATCGGACAGTGTAATCGGACAGTTGGCTGTAATAGGACACCTGTAATCGGGTAATCGGATAGTTGAAGCAGCCAATCTTAGTAAGTCCACTCAGCTAAATCCACGAATCACAGAATGGATCACAATAACCATTGCAACAACCACTTACCCTGAAGAGAAAACTGGGAAATTTCCAAATTTTTTGCTTTAGACATCGTCCTTACTGGAGATATTTGCCCTAAATGTATCTTTTTGGGGGGGGAAATTGTTATGGCTATGATTAATTGGCAACAGGACTTCGTGTCGTCAAATTCGGTTTGTAATCATACTCGTGATTGACAAATCGGACTCCCGCTTCGCGTCGTCCGATTTTGTTAATCCCTCGTATGACTACAGACCGAATTGGACTTATACATCAAAAAGTTTTTTCCAAGAACGCGCGTGATTATTACCAGCACAGGCAAAAATGAAGATTGGCCCATCATATCTCGTAAGAATATACTGTGATCCATCTTATATACCATAGTTCTCGAACAGAGTTTGATATATGCTCTTAGTTCTTAAAAAATGTTTAAAAGACGTTTTTTCCCCCTTAATCTATAACCAAGCTCTCCATAACACATTAATGCCTAAATAGAGAAGATTCCTGAAAGCGAAACCGAGAGGAAATCAATGATTTAGGGAACTTCAAGACTTACTCGATTAGTTGCAAACGATGAATACTTGAATAATAATTAACGACAAGCGAAGTGGCTCGATCTAAGTTAAAATACACTTATGGATGAACTAAGTCGATTGACTTTTAAACTGGTACCTGCAGCTCCCTCGATGGGTTTTAAGAGAGAAAGGACAAAGATCGCAGAGAGGGCAAGACGTAACATTCTCCTGTATGAAAATAGCAAATATAAACATAGAATAAAACAAATAGATATATATACATATATCGTAATTTTTTTAAAATTAAATTGGACCATTTAACGTTGCAATGACGATGATGCGTTTAAGTTTCGCGAGAAAAACTGAACAAAGGATTGGGTTAAAAAATTAACACAAGGAAACAAAATACTTAAGCCCACTACATGTCTCAGCCTTCCATAGAGACGACTAAATCTTACCAGTCTTATAAATATAAAAACACACTTAAACAAGAATGAGGCAAATGCTTTTTTCTGGGTCACAATTTCAGTTCTCAGACACGAAGCTTGAGTTTTCTCCGAACTTGATATAATAACCATGAATATCATAGCATAGCATAGCACTTCACCTAATGTACTATTTTGTATACAGTTGTAATTTGAACACTTTCCTTACCTGAAATAAACCTACCTTTTGTTCCTGACAGTCCCTCTGTGATGTTTGATCCTCAGTGAAAACTTAATTTTCATAAAACACTCATGCTTTACACCCTTATTTATAGCAAAATTATTTCACGCTCATAATTCCACCCCCTAGCTGGTCGGATGAATATCGACACAATAGCTTTTTGCTTTTCGAGAAAAAAAGCATTTAAATTTGATGAGACAGCTCATGCTCTAAGAATCAAAGCGAGAAAAAACGTTGACTAATTTATGATATGAATGCCAGGTACCACAGCTCACTGCTCCAGATGAAGCCTTTTCCCGCTTGACTATGTTTTAATCCCTCAGGAGTTTCATATGAACATTTTTTTTAATAAGCATCTGCCGATGGTACAGTTGGTGGCTGTGGCCCAAGGCGAGACCCGAACACTTCAGCCTGAGCAAGTTAAACCCTGACGGCGGTGAGAGGTCTTAAAAAATCCCTGATCTCTGATCCCTTCCTCCACGCACAATTTTCAGCCAATCAGATTGTTCCCCTTTGTTACCGAAGGAATCCATGTACGTTTAATTAGCTCATGTTATAGGAATATCTTTGGGCCCAAGATGTTAGAGTCTACTCTTTATTCATATTTCATAATTATTTCTGGAATCTACCGGAGATTCCATCTTTCATACATCGTACTATGACCTTTTTCTACTCTGAAAAGAGAGCTTTGTCTTGGTTCCGGTTGTCTTTAGCAAGAAGGTAAATGTTTTAAATCTTAGTTGAAGGGAGTGCATTTAGTTTTAATGGGATCATTTAAATTTCATGAGGTCACTCTGAGGATCTGCTCTCAAGCAAGACCTTAGGTCACATATACTCCATTTACACCAGCAAAACATGTTCTCCCAAAGGTGACGCCCACGCCGATATTGCACCTAACCGCGCCAGTAAAGAAAAGAATGAAATTTGTTGCTGAAACTTTACTTTGGACGATGCAGATTTTCTTCTCAGTAAATATTGAAAAAAAGAAAAATCGTGAGGTAAAAGCTAAAAATAGTGTGATTTGGTTTGAAACCGGAATGGACCGAGCCGGCCGCGAAGCTGGTACTTCATGACCTCGGGCTAAACATTTCCCGTCCAGTTTCTCACTTAGTTAATAAGTAAATATTTTTGCTCAGTTCTAAGATAGACATATAGATATGTAGCCTGTATGTGAGAGGTTCTTAATGGAAATGAGCGAAAAAGCGGGCAATCGAAAAATGGCGGGACTCAGGCAAAGACAAAATTTAAGGACAAACTCAACCGCTGTTCAGGTAGCACAGGCTCGACAGACGCCATTGCAGGATCCGTGTTGTCTTCGTTATTTCTTTGTATATGAAGCCGGGAAGACTTGGAAATTGAATATCAATGAGTTTAAGAGTACCGACAGAAATAAACTCTGATTTGAACTATTTTTTGTCTATGTTTCATCGAGGCCAAAAGGAAAAAAATAATTTTTTTTTACAATAATTTCAGTGGTCTTGTGAAATAAAAAGACTTTAAAAAGAAGCTGAATCGCGTTTGTCTCTAGTGCGACTGGTTATAGGTGCTAAGGAATTCTGGTAGAGGCAGAGTTCGGCTTTTTTTCGTTGTGAGCATTTAGTACCCAAATGCAGACTCCTATAGACGTATGGATCCAGACAAGATAATCAGGCAGTACGAAACAGCGAAGAAGCGCCAGTGCGCTAACCGAGGATTAGAAGTAGAGAAAGCAATATTCACGCCGTTAGCCGTTTCGGCGCGACGGGCAGCGCTGCGTTGGTGAGGTATAATACAAGATAACTTGGTTTTACCAAATGAGTTTCTAAGGTAAATTGGCCTCCGTAAAGAGTTTCTAAGCTGATGTTTAGAAACTCTTTACGGTGACCAATTTACAACATCAACTCAGTCGATAAATAGAGAATAATACATAGGCGCGCGTGGATATGAAATTTCTCTTCGAGTGTTTAACTCGAGAGCTCACGAGTGAGCGCAGCGAACGAGTGAGATGTCGAGTTGAATACGAGAAGAGAAATTTCGTATCCACAAGAAGCCATGTATTATTTTGTTTATCATATAAACACAATAGCCCTTTACCGACAAGAAAAGTCAACTTCATTAATGAATGAAAGTAAAAGGATCGACAATCTCCGAATAAAAATCGTAAAGTGCGTTGGCGTTAGCAAGATGAAAAAAGCGTTGAAACACTACAAAAACAAACGATGGGCGTAATTTTCGATACACAAAACTCTCAGCTATTGACTTGGTCCTTACCGACAGAAGAAATCTTTTTTAGGTACACGGCCAAAATCGGCCTATGGCAAATCTTCCAGCTGTCGATTTTCGTTCTCAGCCGCGAGAAATGCCATTACCAAAGCCACTGAATACGTAACTTTTGCTTTTTCTGTACGTATTTTAGTTTTCTTCCCATTCTAAGAAAGTTTAAACGTCGCTGTCTGTGAACGATACGGATTTTTCAATGTTTTAGCGGCCATGATCCGAAAAAATTTCGATAAACGACCTTGGATTGAGAATGGTGAGGGCTTCGCCGTTCATTCATCAACCAGACCAAGTGGCGCTAAAGGCGAGTGACGTGTCAGAAGCTGATTGAGGATATCAAACACACGTGAAAAATACGATTTTTTTCACGTGTGCTGTTACAGTCTTTCTCAGGGCTGGAAATCCTTTTATAACACCGTAGTTTATGTGATAAAACAAACATATTTCCTCTCCACAGCCTTCGAATCCCATGAAGATGGTAAACAGTCAGCCCTTCTGAGTAGAGTTTGGGCTACAGGCTTTTTATGGCAAATAGGGTGGTGAGAATCGAAAGCGAGGTATTTGTCGGTGTGGGTAGGTTTACGATAGACACTTGCCTCTAAATTCCCCTGAACCCCTCTAGACACATTTAAATGAAGAAAGGGCAAATATCTATCCTTTTCACGCTCGAGGGTGAATTGGATGGAAGGCTCTACTGAATTCAAATGCGATAGGAGGTGCCCCGCTTCATTTCCAGATACCGCAGAGATAACATCAACGACATAACGTTTCCAGAAAAAGGGTTTAACCGGTAAATTAGCTGAGGCCCTTTGTTCCACGTCTTCCATTACCGTGTTGGCAATGACACGGAGACGGGCGAACCCATAGCTTTACCAAAACCCTGTTGATAGTAGGTGCCGTTATATGCAAATTGCGTGGTTTTGAGGCAAAAAGACAGCAGATTAATTATATCCTCCACAGGCAAAGAGGTTCTTCGTCCTAAGGAGGCGTCCTCTCCGAGTCTCTCCTCCGCAACCTTAACGGCAAGATCAACTGGGGTTTTAGTGAAGAGCGAAACAACGTCGAAAGATACTAAGTCTTTGCAAGCGTTAAGAGTCTTTTCTCTTTTGAAATCCGCAAATTCGCAAGAATTTTTGACAGAGTAATCAGTATTCCCAACAACAGGCGACAAAATTCTCGCAAGATAACCAGAAATTGCATAAGTCGAGGAATTAACAAAAGAGACAATAGGTCTCAAAGGAATTCCCGGTTTATGAATTTTAGGTAAGCCTGTTTAGAACTGAGAGAACAACTTTAATTTTTGGTTTTGGTCAAACCTTTATTTTTTGGTTTCCATTCTACTATTCAGCTTTACATTTATGTGACAAGCACTCTACAACTCTTTAGCAAATTTAACTTCGCTCGGCATCGTTTTATTCATTCAAAGAGTTTTATTATCAGTCCAGAGGAAGAAAGATGTATATGCCGTCAAGGCAACTATCGAGTAAGTTTGACTTCTGTGGTGAACCCCTTGGAGAGCTGCTTAAACACGATGGCACTTCCTGTAGTTGCGCCGTCAGATATTGGTATCACCATCACGTGATTTGTTTTATCGGCGTCTGGGACAATCTCTCCGTTTACTCTCACATCTCCAGTTGCTACATTCACCGCACGGCTGACTCCCACCTGAGATAAATTATTCATATTGGAGGTTAAAATCTAGAGCCGTTCGTTTGAAGAGCTTTTCCGATGAGTGTTGTCGAACCAAAACCAAAGCAGTTACAACGGACAATCGGAAGAAAGACAAATATCCAGGAGTGCCAATCAGAACTCAAAGAAAAAAAAGAAGCAAACCGCTAAAGGGGCGGGAACACGCGGCGACCGAATCGTTTTGCATCCAATTGGTTAAGAGAGTGGCGCGAATTTTCTGGACCAATCACAAATCAAAGTAAAGCAAACCCAACTCAATTCCCGGTTACTTTCAACACTCAATTGAAAATTGCTCTGAGAGACGAGTGTAATTATGAATTTCATTGCTTCTATTTTATTGTTTTGTGAAGGTCCCGAAAACTCACTCCTCCTTCTAAATCACTCAGGTCAAAAGGAAAATCAATCTCAACTTGGTCGCACTTTTCAAGTGACAAGCACATTCTTTCTAATCGATCGTTATAATTACCTTAATGATGATTTTAGGGAAATAAACTGAAAAACGCTTTCTTCATTCAAATCAAGATTACCTTATTCGTTTAAATGCATAAATTCTTAATTTTTTCTGCGTAAAATGTTGGGTTAAGATATTCATTACGCTATTCATAAGATGCATGAAAAAATTACTCAGTTCTGATTGGTTAAGATAGATGCAGTTTTCAGGTAATTCAATGCAGAAGAGGGTTAATTCAGTGCAAAGAAGTAACAAACCAGACTGAACAACTCCTTGAACTGTTTAGCCGGGCTTTGAACTTTTTACGCCTTAAAGATGTGAAAATATCATTGTATATTATTTTTTTGATCGTCTGCGGTTGTTTTGACCGAACGCACAATGTCACTTGCTGGGTTTGAATAAAATATTTTTGCACTTGATGCGCGCGCTTTCCTTCTCCATTATAATGATAAGCTATCTCGTATTTTTTCATCTCTATTATTATTACCCAATCACTTGATTTTTCTCGAGCAACTTGGAAAAAAAGCACTCTAAAGTTTTTTCAAAGACCACTAATTACACGAGCCCGTAAGGCTCGTGCAATTTTGTTAGCCTTTGAAAAAATTTACTCGTCCCTATTTAGTCCAAATTGCACTCGAAATCATGTGATTACCTATACAAATCATTTAACAGTTCGGTTCAATGTTCTTTATAGTGAAAAAGCTTCATCCGAAAAATATCAGTCTATAATTAAATAGTTTCATATATTATCTCACATTTTCAAAAATTAAAAATAATAAATAGATAAATAATCCTCTTCAATCAAACTTCATAATAACTTATTTATCCTTATCATGCATCATAAACTATAACATGAACCGCTTTATATCCCGACCATAATTCTAGTGTTTTTGTGTATAGTTTACGGAATGCTGCCTTTTGCGTACAGTTGGTTGACATTAAGGATGAAAGTCAGTGCCAGACAAAGTTTTACATTTCCATTTGATTAACTCTGTTTTGTTATCTCACAATTTGATTGCCCTAATATTGGATCTTGTTCAGTACCAATAATTTATTTATCCACAGGACGTTTAAAAAAAGCAAAGAATCGGCGATAAAATTATAAAATTCGCAAAAAAAGGCTTTTTTCATCCTTAATTTTCTCTGAAATGATCGTTGTTAAAAAAAAAAGTCTTGAAGTTAATTTAACTTTTTTGATTTTGATTTCCATCCCCACTAGCGGTGAAAAAGGTACAATCTTGTGCAAAAAAATTGTGTCTTTGTAAATAATCAAACTACTGACAGCCAATAAGACTGCAAGGACCAACAGTATTCTCAAAAAAGAAGTAAAAAAGAAGGAATATCAGTTTTCAGATTACCTTTATGTCAACTGGCATGCTGACAGAATAAAACCTTTCTTGCCCATTGACGTCATTGCCATGATTCAGAGTCCTGGAGATGTTGAAATTTAGATTTGGATAAGAGACTGCGATGTGCAAGTTTTGGGTATCCACTTCTTCCACCATCACAATGCAAGGATCCTGTGCGATAAAATATCAGAAGACCCTCAGATCAAGCCATGTATATTTACACAAAAACCAACTCACGTCCAGAAATAATAAAAAAGAAATTCCTTTACATTAACCTAAAACAAATATATTTAACAACTATGTACCAAAATGGAGTTGGCTAGTGGTGGATAATTAAAGAAGAGCGAAGCGGCGAGGTAAATATCTACTGCTAACCACCGAGACTGAAGCAAAATCGCACAAAAATATGATTTAAACTAATTTACTCCAAAAACGATTATAATGTTTTCTGCCGCAAATCTGGCGCGAGTTCCTCGGAGGTGAATAGCAAAGGGTATTTCGAGCTTAAGTAGCCAATCAGAGTGCGCCCTCAATGCCATCCACTGTTTTAGTGTACACTAAATATATATAACTCAAGTTTCACTAACGTTGCAATGTATATGAAATAAATCTGCCTTTTCTTTTTTTCATCAAAAAGGTTATGAGCGATGCATATATATTTTACATCAAAGGAACAAAGAAACAAAGCCTTTGGAAATTTCGACAGCGGTTCTCAAGCTTTCTGTCCCTATCTAATTCAATTTTCTTCCTTATTTTGTGACGGTGAATTATACGGGAAGGGTGAAACAGGGTTGAAACCGAACATTATGCGCCTTTTGCTCAAAAAAATGCTTCTAGACATAATTTTTTCCACGCCATAAAGCTTCAAAAGGGACTTGGAATCCTATAGTAAAAGAACCTTAATAAACAGCCGGAAATAAATGATAAATAATAATAACAATAATAACTAATAAATAAAAATGATTAAAAAACAGATAAAAGTAATAAATAAGTAATAAAAAGAATGATAAATAATACTTCTATAAAAATTTTCAACTGCGACTTACATTGCCCTGGAAAATTAAAATTCAAAACTTCTAAAAACAGTTCTACAAACAATTAGTTTCTAACAATTAAGGCACAATAAGATTTGAGATCAGGGCTAAATAACTAGCTGTAAGAAAAAAAAACATCAATGAAATGCCTTTCTAAAAAGAAAAGCTGGAACTTACATGCCTTTTGCTCAAAAAAATGTTTCTATGCATAATTTTTTCAAAGGTCTAGAGCTTCAACAGGGATTTGAAAATCCTATAGTAAAAGTACCTTACTGAACAGCAGGAAACAAATAAGTAATAAAAATATTAATAATAATATGAATCAATAAAAAAAATTACACAAAAATAATATTAATAAATAAGTCATAAATAATGAAATTAATAGTTCTAGAATAATCAACTGCGACTTGCAATGCCTTTGAAAATTCAAAACTTGTAAAACAGTTAGACAATGCATAACAATTAATGCATATTAAAATTTAAAATCAGGACTAACTAACAAGCTTTACGAAAAAAACACTAATGAAATGATTTCTGAAGAGGAACGTTTTCAGTCTTTCGAGACGCTCAATATATTCGCGAATTTCGTCCTCTCTGTTAGTCTCGTTAAACCAACTCCGTTTTTACTCCTATCTAAGCTAGACCACACCATGACAAGTTTTACCTTTTCGACGCTCCTTACTGGACCCAAGGTACGGACAGATTTGTTAAAAAAAACGTATCCATACTGAGTCTCACCCTGCCTCGGGCTATTATTGATCTTTACCACGTGAGCCTTATTATCTTTCTGAAGTACTTCATACAAGTAGCTGCCATTCGCTTGATTATCAGCCAAAGTCTTTAAAATTATGAATAGCAAAATGTTAGTGCGAGATCAAAAAGAAGAAAACTTGTAATATTGCCGAAGGCTACATGAGCTCTATTAAAATAAAAAGGCTAGGAATGTGACTTTTCATGCGAGACTGGATCATTTGGTACAAAAAAAATTGTACATAAGAATGCTTAACGTGTCTGCTTATCTATCCCACAATTTCCTATTCCACCAGATTTTCGGTAAAAATCCGTTGGCTTAGAAGCGAAGAAGGAATGCTGCTTGAAAAGCGACCACTGAGATACAATTGTTTCGTTCCAAGTTCACTTGTCAACAAATACTTGCTGACAAAAGCAACCTAACTTCCAAGATCCTGTACGATGTATAGCTGATGACCTTGTGTATACTTATCGCCAGTTTGCGCACTATCTATTGAAGTTACGCACGCAACACTTCTTAGAGCTAATTGTTTAAATGCCTATGCCTGAAGGAATTGTTAAATGAACTCTAAAATTTCCTACCCGGATTTCTCCTGAGGGTCTGTTAACAAATATGGTGTATTCATAACCCTTGTCCATTGGGTTCACTCCATGGTCGAGCCATGCGGTCGCGTACCGAGCCGATGTACGCCTTGAACCTCTTCGGTTTCTGGACTTTTGCCGGCCAATCTTCACATTAAGTCCCTGGTTATGCGCTTCGGGAATGTAGTAAGTGTTTCCTTAAATTTTTAAAAATGAGGGAATAATGAAACTTGTATTATTTTTAGTTAAAATGATAGTGTCATAAACGTAGGCATAATAACCAAAAGGAGAGGTCACGTTAGACCTCACAGCAAGATTTAGATATATAATACCAATCCTAAACTCATATTCATTACAGAAAAGCAAAATAGCAGTTATGACGTCACCGTCACTGACAGTAGACACTGAACGATCACAACCCAAAAGAGCTACTTGAGTTTTGCAGCCAATAGTATCACAGCAAAACTGACCAATCATTGGTTTAGAAGACTCGCACCACGCTTCCCACCAATCAGATGCAAAACTGAACAATCGTAACTAGTTCGCTCGCGTTTCCCCGCGCTTTGTATGTTTTGTTTTTTTTCTCTAAGTTCTGATTGGCTCTTAGTGATTTTTTTTCATTTTTTATTAGTGGTTGTTGTGGTAACTTTGGCTTGGTACTAAAATACACAACCAAAACGCAGTCTGTTGAACAAGCCTGTTGGATTAGAGATGACCAACGTTAGCCTTGTTAATTTTTTTTCCGGCTTCTACATGGACCACACCTGAATGTCTCAGGTCATGAAAACGAAAAAAAGAAGTCGGCCAGAATCGGGTCACTGTGTAATCTTGCCTAATAAAATTTTTTATGTATTTAGTAAACGTTTGAGGTTGTCCTTCAGTAGCATGTTGATTAAATGGACGATTCGATTGAGGCATTCAGAGCGTTTTATATCGGAAAGTGTAAGCCCAAACTAAATTCCCGGGAAGAATGTAGTGAACTCAGAGACCTTTTATCTGTAACTAGGCCGCTTACGTCTTTCGTTCTTCTACTCATCAGCGATTTTCGATGGAACTGTTTGTTACCATCAACACATTTGAACAACTCATTTTACCTATTACATATTCTAATTATTCGTTCACTTACATCGTTTTAATATCATTCATAGTGGAATATTTTCTTTACGTTCCCCGACGATGCCATAGATCGAGGAAAGTTTGGAAAAAATGAAGAAATACAGTAGCTCAATGCGTAATCGAATCGTACATATCATGTATTTACCATTGACATCCATAAGTGTAGCTGCATGGTTTCCTCTGCCAAAGAAGGACGGCGCCTTTTTCAAGTTGGTGCTGAGTGAGTGACTTGTTTCGTTTATCAGAATTGACGATGGATTGTTTGCGTTGAGAAGCTTCGTCTGGAACAACGTGGTCTGCAACCAATTTCAAACGTACATTTCTCAGTTTTCTCATCAGAAAGATTGAGAAAATATTATCGCGTAAAGAAAGGATATAGCATGATTGATGCGACTGAAAGGTTCACCATTTCAAAACACAGACCCAATTTTCTACCTATCCTGGGTCCGTTTCTCGAAGGTCCCGGTAACTGAACGCGCCCAAAGCCATATTTTAATATCAAAATTTAAAGAATACAGAAGCAGGTTTAAATTGCGGCTAAGAAATGGAACTCGCCTCCGGATAACATACAGTAACCAGCTACTTCTTAAGCATATAAAAACGAGAAGTTTTCAGTTTTCTATATATACACATATATTTTTCTTTTCAAAAAAAGATATTAAGAGCTATTATTATCACTTTCAATGATATTAAGTTTTTGGTCACAGAAATAATTCTAACGAATTTTATGGAGAGCGGCCTCTAACAGGCTTGATTGACTTAATATGTCATAAACTTGATGAAAACATTTTGAGAAATAACTGGATTGTTTTGAAAACAATTGCCAAGGGAACCAAAAAAGGCTGTTAAAATCAATAAATCAAAACTGACTTGGTATAAAAAGGACGACACCATTTGCAGCCACGTTTACACGAAAACAAATCTTACAATCAACTTGTTTCAATTGAAAGGGAAACAATTAAATGTACCTGAGTTATACTGGGCGAGCTCATGGTTGTTGTGATTCCAGATCCAAGACAAATCACGGCAAAATCTGTGAAAAACACGCTCTTCTTAAATTCAAAGGTGATGTCAAGTTGAAAGGAACCAGCTGGAAACTGATAACTGGGCTGTGAGAAATCCATTCCAAAGACCCCCGTAGGATAATTACCGCCACCAATCAAAGTCAATCCTCCCGCAAGTTCCCTGGGTTGAAAATATCTGTGGAGCCACTTCAAATGTCAGATGATATAAATGATTCATTTGTGCTACGTGGTACAAAATATTCTTCTTTGTTTGTTTATTTACCATATGCGCCCACAATACTACTATAATGATAAAAATACATGTATTTTTCGGGGGAAGTCGGAATTTAAAACTAAAGCAAAAACACTTAACATGTTTCCTGTCCGGCCCACTGGATACTTTGAGAGGGTGGGGGTGCATTTCCATTGGACAAAAAAAAGCCAACACAGTTTTATATCGACCTAAGCCATATGATAATATTAAAGAATTGGTTCACGCTTTAACTATGCGTATATCGAGTTACGGATGCACTTGGGAAGTTTGGAGAGGACTCAAGAAGCAAGAAACTTCTATAATTCGATACACGCACTCTAAGTATGGACCAGTTTTTGATATTAAGCATAAGGTTTCTGCAAACCTAAGTTCGGTGAGTGAGGACCTTGCTATTTGACACTCGGGACATGTTTGTACCTTTTTCTATTAAAACGCACTTCTTTCCTTTTGGCAAGGTGGGGGCGGGGGGATGAATCTACAATTCCGTGTCATTTTTAGCTCCTTAGTTATTCCAGGGTGCTGTTACCCTCTTAAAATCATACCAATAATTAATTATTATTTTCTATTCAATACATTGTTAAAACTTGATACAGAGTACATGACATTTATTGTTGTTGTTGTTATTGCTGTTGTTGTTGCTGTTAAAAAGAGCCTTAAACGAAAGTTCTTCTCATCGAATAATTTCCAAAGAGTTACGAATTTGGAAAAGCGGTAACAGGGAGATATTTCAGTTCACGTGATCGAAGAGGGCAATCCCCAACAGGGAATATGAGCCTATCTTGCCCGCTAGGGTAACCAATCAGAACACGCGATTCCATTTGATCTTCCCGCTCGAGAAGCCAGCCAAACGATAAAAACTGATTTGAGCGAACGGAATATCATTACTTACCTACGCTGCAGGCTAACCAACTGTTCAAGATCCATTTTTATTGTTGTAGTGCCCGGATGTCGTGTCCAGTCCCAACCATTATCGATATCCAGAGTTTTAAGTGACGCCTCGCTGTTTGCAACGAGAAGTGCTCCATGACTCTGATAAAGACCATAAACATTTTGATTGCTCGAAGCCTCGTAGTCCCAGACATACTTGTTGAAGCCTTTCATTGTTACCGCCCAATTTTCTCTTCGTGCAATCACTAGCGAAGCATAATTTTTCGTCCAGAATCCCTGGGGCGAACTTTCGGCCGTTATACTCATCGAGGCAGCTTTAGAGCTTATTTCCTCCATGATGTTGATCGAACCAATAGAGTTTAGGTAATAGATACTTTTGGATATCGTACCATCTTCCAAGTAATTGCTAACATCCTTATTGCCTGCATCATTAAGTCGTAAAAACATTTTGATCTTATCACTGTCGAGAGCAGCAATTTCACCCAGACTTCCATCATCGTTCAAACTGGGAGCAGTTGCACCGGCGTAAGCATAGGCAGGAAAATTCTGGGCCAAAATTGCACGGTAAAATCCTGGAAATCGACCCGCTACACTGTTCGGAGTTGAGTATTTAACAGCAACAATCCTCATTGTCTCTAGACCTTTCTTAATATGCTTGCTTGTGTGCTCACCTTTGAACCAAAAACACAACTCAAACTCTACTTGCAAAATACAGTTACTCCCTTTCTAAAATCAACGTATACCCCAAATATTAAGTATACAACAGAGCTAGTTTATGAATGCGTCAGACAATTTTTACACAGCCGAAAGATCAGAGTGCTCAGGAATCTTACGAGAGGATGCCTCTCTATCCCTGTTGCCTCACATTTCCCTTGCGAAACAAAATGGTCACAGAGGCGTCTCCTCTTGCAGGCTAGAACATAAGACAAAAGGAGCCTCTAAAAAGAATCATTGATTTAATGGACAAAGAGAAACCGAGACAAAAGAGAGCTTTATAGTAGTTTAAACCATGATCTTTGTGTAGTCTTTTGCTACCTTGGAAACCACACTTCAGCGAAGTCATCCGCTGGCACACTTCCTTCCTAGCCTTTTCCCCTCTATAATGTTGTTCAAAGCCATAGCGCTAAGTATCTGGCTAACATATTTGTAAACGACAATGCTACTGACAGGAGTCCTTTCCAGGACTATCCACAACCGGACAATCAGACTTCTCGAGCATATCTCAAACCAACGGTTTCTTAATCCATTTGGATCAATGTTAGTATCAGAGAAACTGCACACCAACTCCTCCCCTAACCCAATAACGGTCAACTAATAACAAATTAGGGGTAATGTTGGGTTTGCAGAGGGGTAGGTAAGTAGTGGCTCCTTTTTTGTCCCCACTTTACTTTCCCATGTAACTAGCTCATTCTTACTCAATTTAAATGGTGTTCCACTGAGTAGAAACTCGATTAATGCACCACAATGGATAGCATGCGGAGTGTAAGCAGAGGCATAATAGCTGTTGTGATGGAATCCAAGGTAATCAGGCTTTAAAACTCCTGCGAAACCTTCATTAGGGGACAGTGCGTTGGCGTACCATGAGACAAGTTCTTCCATGTCACGAATTTTATCAAGCTTTTTAGCATCTGTTGAAGTTGGCATCATTAGGACAGTAAACAACCTGCAAAAGAAAGAGCCAGCACATAAGGCTGAGGATTGAACGTCTTTATTTTTGTTACAGTTGCCTTCATGATAAATGAGTTTGCTCATGCAAGGTATTTCATAAATTTCTACACGCATATCGAGTGGCAGAGCAATGGCCTAAAGGGAAATGAGTCGACAATAATAGTAAAAACAATAAACATAAGAAGGGAAAAAGAAGGCAAAAAAAGAAAGGGAATGGTTGAGGATGGAGAGATTAAAACGGATTGTTTAAATACAAGTTTCGTAACGGTAGAAGATGGAAGAATGTCTCAGGATGAAGTTAATTCAAAATAATTGCGGATTACGAACTTAAAAAACGTAGACTGAATATTTTATGACGTTGAGGCGTAGCCCCCGAGAAACATAGCTTTAAGTATCTCTATCGATCTAATCCGTTTTCTGAAACGTGATGCTGAGTTTAACACCAGAGCGCATTTAGACTGGATGTCATAAAACTGACACCAAAGTCATCACAGTGGCTAATCACGACACAAGGGGCAGCAAGGACTCGAACTAAAATCGAAGCTAACTTCTTGAAGCGCGGAAAGGCGCAATTGATCAGCCCCCTATTGGCCCTAGCGTTCGTCTTTTCTGTTTGGTTGAGTGGTAGCACGAATTTTCTCGACCAATCACAGAGTATCTTGAAGCAGAAAGAAAAGAAAGAAATCCTGGATTACCTTCGACAATGAACTAAGACACAACACAATGACCCCGTCAGAATTCGAATTAGAAAGGACCTCACTATTTGAAACTACTAGGCCACTGTTGCCTCTGACGAAGGGCTAACGCTCGAAACGTCAGCTCTTAGAAACTCTTTACGGTGGTCAATTTACGTTGCCAACTCAGTTGATGAAACCAAATTATCTTGGAATACCCCATCGACGCAGCACCACAGTTTTCTTTGGAAACTTACCCAAGTTTCACACAGCTATGTTTTAGTAAACAAAAGTAAAGTATATCTAGAAAAAACATATGTCACATAAGGAACTGACATAAAAACATCTTGCCTGAATAATGAAATGGTTCTCATACGATCAGCAGTTGTACCAGCATATTCAAACGGGTCTTGATAAACTCCTCCAAACTCGTTGTACCACTTCATTGTAGCCACATAATCATCGATTTTACCAGCGGCGGTGATTTCCTTCCTCAGGAGGAAGACTGCATTCATAAAACCTGCACCGACATTGTTCATCTCATGATCCAAAGAACCAATACTACTACCATCGCTCCAACCTGACAAATGCAAGAGCTGAGTTATATCCCATTCTCACCAAAGCTCAACTTAAACAAAATACTGAGCCACAGAGACTCCATGGTGAGCGAGCTCTATTACGAAGTTCATGTGACACGCGTCGGAGAGCGGAATTCGAAGGTCTGAGGTTCGATTCCTCATAGGGACTCAGAATTTTTTCTTTGTCCCACGCTCGTGACAAGACGAAAAACGTCTTTCTTTATTCCTTTAACGAGCTCAAAACTTACCAGTTCTTAATTTCATGAGTTCCAGGAATGAAATTGTATGATTTATCGCATCAATGTCAGTATCTGAGCAACTGGTCACCCACCCCTCCCCTAGCCTACATTTACCCTAATTTACTATGAGTTAATTTGAATGAAAGTGATCCTCGCAGTAATGTGCACTACTTGAGCAGTAGTGAAAATAAGGCCTGAAAAAAAATTCAGGCCTGTACGGGATTTGAACCCATGACCTCTGCGATACCGGTGCAACGCTCTACCAACTCAGCTAACAAGCCAACTGGTAGCTAATCATTATGTTGGTTCCAAATAAACCCGTGAAGTGATGAGGAAACGGCTAAGAATATATGCAAGTCATACATTTGAACTGCGGATAAAGACATGAAAGAAAGTGATCCTCAGGCCTTATTTTCACCACTGCTCAAGTAGTGCACATTTCTGCGAGGATCACTTTCATCCACGTTTTTATCCGCAGTTCAAATATATGACTTTCATATAATCTTAGCCGTTTATGAGTTAATTGTTGTGTTGGGGGATTTGGTATGCAGTTGCTCAGATTACTGGCTTTGATCCCCATAGTCTTTTGTACTAAGGGGGGTTAGCTCTGGCACCTTGTGAGCCCCAATGACTCGAGTTCCATACTTTACCCTATTGTTCATAGGCTCACCTTGATCTTCAATATATTCCAAAAGGAGAAGTAATCGTTCGTTTCGCATCGTATTTAGAGTGCCTATAGCCACCTTCACTTCCTCCAACGTGTAAGCTGTTTGATTGGTACCCAAGGCGGTGGTGAATATGTCTTGAATGTTCTGATTACCTCCTGCTATTTTCTATAGTTAAAAAAAAAAAAAAGTAAAACCATCCTGCATTCTCTGAAAAGTACTTAAATATTCCCTCCATAATCTTGGCAGCGGGTAAAATTCAGGAAAAAGAATGGGGCCTATTATGCATAAAGTTTACTAAAGGCAACTTCACATTTTTAGAGCGAAGTTAAACAGCAAAAAAGAAAATTTTATAACTTAATATGGAGGTGTTTAAAAGTAGAAAGTTCACTTTCGCGAGCAGATGACTCAGAAGAAAAGGTTTACAAGAACGTCACGGTCACTGATCTTGCCTTTCACAGAACAATTTTGGCCACGGGGAGTAGGGGAAGGGGTAATTCGAACAAACCATTCTTCAAAAGTTCAAATGCCAGGGGGGTTGCCAAGGGGGGGGCTTGTTGAAGCCTGAAATTGATCGACGCACGCAAACCCAATATACAGTTGAGATTTTTCCTAGCATTCAAAAATTCTTCCAACTTCTCATGGGTTTGGACAAGGCTGGGAGAACACAAAGAAAGAACTCTACTTTGCTTTTTTAACTTGTATCTAGAGAAAGTGTGAATCTTAAACTCTGACAACCATGTTTACAAACCCTCATCTGAAAACACCTGTCAAGGTTAAGGGTGAACCTTAACCCTTTTTACCCCCAAGAGCAACTAACATCGAACTTCTCCTCAAATTATCTCAAAGGAATAAAATATCAAGACGACGAGAGTAGAGAAAATGATCAGTAACTAAAATAAGCTCTTGATTAATGTATTGTCAGTACCATGGAAAATGGACAGAGAACACTATAGAGAATATGCACACTGATACTGGACTATAAAGGGTTCAAGAGCCAATCAACCATACCTTTATGGCATCATTTTTCTGGTCCACGGCTCCATTCAAGTTGGACAGTTGATCGGCCGCCAATGCATTGACGTCAACATCACGTGATCTCACATGATAATCCAGCGCCAATGGAAGAAGCACTTTCTCCACCACCTCCCCAAATTTTTTACCACCAGTAACTTTAGACTTGTCGGCATAAAGAGGCATTCCTGGAGAGTAACAAGGCAAATACAATTTTGGAGGTTTTATTTTTGGATAGAGCAATCAAAAACATACAAGCTGTTCTCAATCGTTTTGCTAACACGTCAAATTATCAACAACTAACTCACTGACACCATTAGGCAACTCACCAACACCATTAGGCAACTCGTCGTTGTCATTATTAAGCTTGCTAACACCTTTAGTCAACTCCCCAACCCGGCCCAAGTTCGCGCCCTGGCGAACTCACCAACAACTTCGTTCATCAGTGAACTAAGTCAGTGAGTTGACCAAAGATGACCCTCAACAAGTTGACCAAAGGTGTAGTACAAGTTGACTACTGGTTCGGTAAATTGGTTGTCCACAATTTGACATTTCCGCAAAGTGATTGGTTTGAAGACCATATTGATCTAATCCAGGCGGTGTGCGCACTCTGCTTGCGTTGCATCATGGTCGTAAAACGAAAAGCGAGTCCTTGGCACCCTGTCGCGGTCGAGTGAACATCTCTGGTGGCAGCAAGATAGCGTGAATAAACGTGTAATGTAATGGGGATTCACTGTCTGTTGCCGTTCCTTCGAAAGTGTTTGCCGTCCTGCGTGACTCCTGTTATTCGTCCGTGACAAATTTGTTGTTAGGTGGCAACTGAAGAGATTCAGAAAGAATCGAAACTGCAGCCTTGCCCAAGAATCTATTCATTTGGGAGTAGTTACAATCACAGCTGATGGCCGTGTGAATAATATTAAATTCGCGAGTTATTTAACGGGGAACCGACCCTTGACATGCAAACGCATTACAGAGAGACAGCGACCATCTAATACACGAACTATTTTTCATGTCATATACTAAAGGCGTAAATGCGGGATTCGCGAAAGGAGAAGCCTTACGCCTCCCAAGACCAATTCGTCATGCTCAACGTTTAATAAAAAACGTACAGAGTTTCAAATATGCTTAAAGAAAAGAGAATACCTAGAATAAGGCTTTCAGAAACGTATCTATTGAGTTATTTTTTGCAGAGAGACAGTATACTTGAAAACAATAAAAACAGCGCGTGCATATTAAAATATTACTTTTTGTAACAATCTCAGAATCAGAATCGGTCTCAAACACTGAACTTAAAATGCGAGAAACACATGTATCGTTGGAGAGCGTTTGAGAGCGTTTGGTCAGAGCTGTAGAAGAAGGATCAAAGCGGCCATCCACATCTTTGAAAGGCTCCAAACTAAGACGTAAATTAAATATGACCTTCTCGAAAACCGGTCTCAAATTACATACTAAAAAACAGTGCGTTTGTCCTTGAGAACCATAGAATGCATGACAAAAAATACTTCTACACATTCAGAATAAATCAAAGTACATTTATCTATAGTGAAAGGAAAAAAGAACGGCCTAACTTCTATGGAATGTTCAGTCAAAGTTTGCCGATTTCTGCTGCTTTCACCGCCATATTGAAAATGAAGCTACCACAATGCAACGCAATAGGAGTGCGCACACCGCCTGGATCTAATCCGTGAGTAACTTGCTTTGTCTCATACATTCTTGTAGCAAAGCATTGGTGCATGGTTAGCAATATCTCCTTCGTAAAGAAAGAAGAGTCACTTGGTGACAGAATTTTCTTGATGATACTAAAATGCTATGCAAAGATATAAGTGCAACTGTTAAGTTGAAAAGGAAATCATGGCCATAGAGAACCATTTCCATCAGTTAAATATTATAGTAAGTAAGGGGATATAAGGAGAACACCTGGGTGTTCAAACAGTGGATAACATTATCCAACAAATAAATCGCTATCCAAGGGATATGCATTTACAAACTATATTGCATTATCCACAGGATAGAGATTTATCCAGTGGATACCATTATCCACTTCAAACGACTGGGGCCCAAAAACTTTAAAAATTATGACTGAAGGTGTATCGACTAAGGCTTGAAAATTTTAAAAAATCATGACCGAAGGGATGTCATTTCCAATTTTTTAAACAGTTAGTTAGCTTTTAACCCCTTAACTGCCAACATCTCACAAATTATTCTCATTAGTGAGTACTCTACAGTTCTTAGTATGTGAATTAAGAGAATTTGGTGTTGGATCAGGTAATAATCCCTCTAAACGATATTTGTCCTTAGTCTCATCACTTTACTGCTTGATATTGAATTGAAATTATGAGAAGAAATTCTGCATTGGTCACTCATGAGAGTTAAAGGCTTAAAACTTCACAAAAGTGGTTTCCATACTAACCTGCCACCAGACAAAAATTCAGAATTTTCAGAATTTGGCTAAAAAAAGTCATAGGTTAGTTATTACCATGGTGTTTACCTGTAATAACACCCTCTAAGTTTTTCACAATATTTAGTTGTCCATACTGAGTATGAGCACTATCCACTTGCATCTGTAAAGACATCCATCTCTTCTGAGCATTGGTTGGAAACTGGACTGAGCTCTGAGCCTGATTAACAAACCAATTCTCTAGTCGCTTTTCAATCAGCGTCAAACTGTCCAATTTTTCTTGATTGGGTGTGGTAACAGAAATGTTTGGTGGTGGTACCTAAAAGAGATATGCATGGAGTATTTTACATGGCTGTACATGGATGTGAATTTTTTCTTTGAGTGAGAGATTTCTGATCATCAATAGAAGATAAATTTGTATCCAAAAGCAGACAATAGTGTAATATTCTGTTCAGCTTCATAACTATTTAAATCAACGACAGCTTTAAAACATTGTATTTTTGAGAGCGCCTAATGCAGAGATCACCAAAACTTGCCCCAACCATCATTAACTGATTCAATTGAAAAGTCTTCCATTCACGGTTCCTGCATGAATGAACTCTTTTAGTTTGCATAAATGAATTTTGTGTAACAATATCGATATCAAGTACATCACATCTTTCAAGACAAAACTGACAGAGCATTTAAACAGATCAATGCCTTTTTTCTATTACTAGAGGAGCTGGGGGGGATGGCACAGTAGTGAGAGAGTTTGCCTCTCACCACTGTGGCCTAGGATTCCAGGACCTGGTGTCAAATGTGTGTTATGTTTTTTGTTGGTCCTCATCCCAGCTCCATGGGTTTTTCTCTTAGTCCTCTGCTTTTCCTCCATCCACAAAAACCAACATTCTAAATTCCAGTTCAACCTGGAAACAGTGGACAAGGAGAGCCACCTCATAGAATGTGCACTGCTAAATTCCATTTCCTTTTTATTTTATTAGATATATTTTAAGACAAACATGTTCAAAAATACCTGACTCTTGTGATAGGTTTGGTGCCAGAATTTGTCGTTAGGATAAAGGTTTGGATCCAATGTTGGTACCACTTTGTCACGACTTTGCTTCATGACTTCACTTGCAAAGTGCAAGAGATCAAAATACAAAGGATGTATGGTAGCTTGAGTTGTTGGAGCAGTTATTTTCATATCAGTAATATTGTTTTCAGTCACGATAGCTTCCTGATAGGATACCCACACAGCACGCCACCCCTTCAAATGAAAAGAATGAAGTGATTATTGTACAGCTGGTTTCAATATCAACATGAGGGGACCCAGGGAGGTTAATGCCTCCTGGACATAGCAGGGGTTTCAAGCCTGTTACCAGTAGTCTACCACCACCTTAAGCCTTACAGTTCCCAGAAGTGATTAACATGTAACTTCTCCCTAAAATATTCATACATTATCCAGCAAACAGGTAGTGAGAATACTCAAACTCATCAGGTACAAGTTATTACCTTGATCGCACACCAAATTCTTGCAACAAATTTACAAGGAAATGTCTAGCAGCTAGAGGGGAGAATTAACAATCAGATCTTGGGAGTTAAAGGCCTATGTGCAGGCTCTCATGTTTTGCCTTACAGCCCTTTTCCAGGCACAGCTGTCTATTATATTATCAACAGCAGCTTATGTAAAAAGTTACTGAACTTCTGTAATGCCTGCAGTGTTTGTAAGGTACATTTCTTGTGTCATACATAACATAGGTAAGCACGCAAAGGAGGTCGGAAGTTGATTATTAAAGTAGCATGGCAGACGTTTAGATTAGATTTGTGTGTTGCGTCCTTTCTTTGCGAACATCCATTTCCATGCCCATGATTTTACCCAAATTACTTTTGGTTGCTGCTTTGCTCCATTTCTCTCTTCTCCATTTCTCTCTTTGACTGTCCCCCCCACCCGTTTGGATAAGTATTCATTCTATGTACAAGTATTTTGGTGTCCAGATGTTTGGACGTGGGTTGTGGTTTGGTTGCCTTAGTAACCTCCTTGATTTTATGGAGATTGCTGTCCTTCTCTGTCCTTATCTTTGAAATAACCATCCCTCAAAGCTATCAGTAAGGTGTATCACCATAGCATTTTATCATAATATTTATTAACACTGTCAACAAGTAATCCATACACACCCCCAACTAAACAAGTCTGTAGACTGTACTCTACGATACCAATTAAGTTTTTTCAGCTCAGATTTATAGCCCGCTTACGGCCGAAAAAACAAGGTTCTGTAACTTACAGTGCAATCTAGGAAAATGAGGTCAATTTGAGTTCAAATAGAGGGGAAAAATTTCAAGTCAAACAAACTCTTGAATTTAGCAGTTCACAGAGAAATATGACAGGCTAAATTAACTAATCACAGCCCACATAAGAGCTAAGGTCCATACATGATCATACTTCAAATGTGAATAAAAATCAATGTTTTACATTACCGCCATAAAACATTTCCAATGCTGTAGTTGTAAATGCCGCATTAATAGAAGAAACATCTGCTACATTTCAAAGTATGCTCATACGCATCATCAAGGTATACAAAGGCAATCTGATGCACAATTGCAAAATTGAATTTGATCACAGGAATTTAACAGCTGTTTTGCAATGTTACCTCTCACCTTAAAATTCAGCATAATATTGAACTGTGATACAGTAACAGTGGTGGACGCATTATTTTGGAAAGAGACAGTCAAGTTCTCTCCTGCGAGTGGATAAGTGTTGTAAAGCCACAACTTAATCCCTCCCTTTTCAAGCTCATTTCCTGAAATCTGAAATGTATGTTGCAGTTAATCTATGATCTCAGTTATTTTTAATGAACACATCACAAACACTTGTACACAAACCTGGCATACATTTGTAGCTTTAAAATAGGTTCACAAAATAGGTTCTGTTTACTTACTATGCACCAATATTTTCAGTTCATCTTTCACTATGTAACAAATTGCATTTTTATCACTAGTTTATTTTGGGGGTGGGGTGGGGGGTTGCCAAGATTGACAAAACGAGTTTGTAAAACATGTTAAATTATTCTATCACATAAACTGCGGTGTTATACAGGCCCTGAGAAAAGCCGTAAAAGTTACGTATTCAGTGGCTTTGGTGTTAGTATTTCTCTCGGCTGACAATGAAAATCGACAACTAGAAGATTTGTCGCTGGCCGATTTTGGCCGTTTACCTGGAAGATTTCTTCTGTCGGTAAGGAAAAATTCAGTAAATAAGAATTTTGCAAATTGAAAATTATGACCATTGTTAGTTTTGTAATCATGATTCAACGCATTCTTCCATTTTAAGAGTCAGCGCCAACGCACTTTACGATCGTTATTCGAGGATTGTCGATTCATTTATTTTCATTCATTAATGAAGTTGGCTTTTCTTCTCAGTAAAGGGCTATTGTGTTTATATGAGTGTTCAACTCGACATCTAACTCGTGAGCTATCGAGTTACACACTCGACGAGAAATTCCATATCTACGCGCGCCCATGTATTAATCTCTATTTCCTTAGCTAGTTGAAGATTTAAGGCTAAATTTTAAGTATGTGTTCAAAATAGGTAAATAAATAATCAAATTCTCCTTGTCATTACCTTGAGAAATGTAAGGAGGATAGTATGGAGAAAATACATACTGCTGTTAGGGTGCAAAGGGTTAAAACTTACTGCTGGGGAGAAGGTATGTGTCATTGTATCTCCACTGGCCCAAGTCCACTTCATTGAATGTGATCCATCTTTATACCGTACAGACGATTGCGCAAGTGTCGATGTTGCTGAAACACTGAAGGCATTAACATCAGAGACGGCCTCAAATGTATACTCTTGATTGGAAGAGATGAGTTAAAATTAGTAGACACACTATTTATTCTTTCGAAGAGCAGTCCCGAGATTTTTACCTCTCATCGTTTAAGAGGATCAATTGAAATTCTTCAATCTGGGATTTTTTTCTTCTCTAAAATACCATGAAAATGTCTTAATGATAAATCTTGTCAGTGTCATTTTCGTTAAATATAACTGGTTTCGGACTTTCGAGACTGGTTTCGTTGTTATTTTTTTGTCTGGCTTTGTAACCAAGTCTCCTAGACATCGCGTGACAATAACATAAGTCATGGCTCTTTGAAAATTGCGCGGGAAAAGTCAAAAATAGGTAAGCAAAGAAATATCGCACCATTCGTACAAATCGGTTTTTTCAAGTGAAATGTAAAATTTATTCATTAGTAAATATTTAACTCTCTAAATTGCTTATCGATAAAAATTTACGGAATTATGTAAACAAGTACTATGGTCTTTCGCTCATGAGCGAGCACGGTGGCCTATAATTTGTATTGCATAATCCACGGGTACAAATTATCCCCTTTAAATAAAAAGAATTAAATAAAAAGAAATATCAGAAAAAAAAGGGATATAGCTAAAAGCGTGCACGAAGCCCGTACTCAAGGATACAAACTATGACCTTGTAAGCAACGACTCGAGGAACGTTTTGCGTCAATGTCGTTTGAAATTGCGTGATTTTCCCATTAATCATGACCATTACAATTTCCTCAAATGTGATTGGTGCATTAGCTGCTTTATATTTCACTAATCATTCTGTACAGTCGTAATCGGACAGTTGGCTGTAATTGGACACCTGTAATCGGACAGTTGTACTAAATTGATGATATTATAAGTTTGTTCTGTTGTCTCACAACAAGGTCACTTGATGTGGAAGGCAACGTTTCGACTGCTTACTGCAAGTCTTCTTCAGGCGATGGGGTTGACTGGTTGTGGCACGGCATTATATATCATGGTGGTCTGTTGTGATTGGTGCATTTCGATCGAAGTTGTACCAATTATACTAAGTCCTCTCAGATAAATCCACCAATCACAGAATTGAACACAATAACCATAGCAACAACCACTTACCCTGAAAAGAAAACTGGGAAATTTCCAAATTTTTTGCTCTAGACATTGTCCCTACTGGAGATGTTTGTCCTTAATGTCTTTTCTTTTTCGGAAACTGTAATGGCTATGACTAATTGGTAACAGGACTTCTTGTCGTCCAATTCTGTCAGTAATCATACCCGTGATTAACAAATCAGACTCCTGCTTTGCGGTCGTTCGATTTTGTGAATTACTCCTATGATTACAGACCGAATTGAACTCCATTCGATCCTATTACCATTATAAATTATAGATCAAAAAGTTATTTCCAAGTACGCACGTGATTATTACCAGCACAGGCAAAAATGAAGATTAACCCATCTATTTCTTAAGAACACACGGTGATCCCTCTTATATACTATAGTTCTCGAACAGAGGTTGATAGGAAAAATTCAAGGAAAGTTTAAAAACACCGTTTAAAAATTTGTCTTTTTAGGAATCACCTTAAAATTGCTTTTAGTACTTAAAAAATTTGTGTGAAAGAAGTTTTTCTCCCCCTCAATCTATAACCAAGCTCTCTATAACACATTAACTGAATAAAGGAGATTCCTGAAAGCGAAACCGAGAGGAAAGTAATCATTTAGGGTTCTTCAAGACTTACTCGATAAGTTGCAAACAATGAATACTTGAATAATAATTCATGAGAAGCGAAGCGGCTCAGATTTAAGTTAAAATACACTTATGGATGAACTGAGTCGATAGATTTTTAAACTGTTACCTGCAGCTCCCTCGACGGGTTTTAAGAATGAAAGGACAAAGATCACAGAGAGGGCAAGACGTAACCTTCTCCTGTATGAAAATAGTAAATATAAACATCGAATAAAACAAATATATATATATATATATATACATGTACCGTAAAATTTTTCAAAGTAAACTGGACCATCTAACGTTGCAATGATAATGATGCGTCTAAGTTTCACGAGAAAAACTGAACAAACCATCAGGTTAAAAAATTGACACAAGGAAACAAAATACTTATGCCCACTACATATCTCAGCCCCCCATTAAAATGACCAAATCTTACCAGTCTTGAAAATATAAAACCACACGTAAACAGGAATGAGGCAAATGCATGACGAGCTTTGCGTCGGGAAAAATTTTTATGCAAATTGGCACATGGAACGTGCAGCTAGCTAATTTGCATAAGTAATTCAAGCCAAGGTTTGACGCCTCTTGGTGGCATAAGGTGTTCGTTGAACATTCCAGGACATCCGATAATCGCTATAGAAAGGTTAATAAAGCTCCCCCCGAATGAAATGGAAAAAACCGCAACTTCCGATGATTACATTTCTAATCATTTTCAAGATACAACTCTACTTTGTTCGCTCACGTTCCAGAAAGAAGAGTCCATAGAAATGTATTATACAAACTTAACGGGTCTAGTTAGGAAAAACCTAAGGGGCGGTACGCTAAGCTTATTTTCTCTGTAGAGAAAATAGATGTCTTAAAGAAGACAACAGTAAATCGTTAACACAAGGTTCACAAATAGTCCTGACCAAATGTTATAGAAAAATATAACAGGAACACTTTAAAACACGTAAAAAGAAGACACTCAAAAATAGCCAAAAAAGCGGCACCGGTAAAGCCGATTTCACCTCCACGATCGAAGACCTAAGCCTATTTAAGGTTAACTCCAACAAACCCTTCTTTACACAGAACTTTCAAAGTCCAGAAGCTATGTTGATTCGATAATCCAGAGAATACTTATCGCTTTCAACTGATGGTCTCCCCGTTTGGTCTACAAGCTTCGGCGCAATGCAACTATTCTTATAACGACCTTTTATATGCGAAGGTTTTGGCAGGGTCGTAACAAGGTATATTTTTTCATAACTGATCCTGTATTTTTGCCCCAAATTTTGATCCCTGATCACAAAAACGTTGAGAATTTTAATCCCTGATCACAAAAACATTGGGAATTTTGATCCCTAATCCCAAAAACGTTCACAATTTTGATCCCTGATTCCACTAAAACACTGCTGATCCCGATCCCAAGTGTTGTGCTCCCAGATCCCGGGGCTGTGATCCCTGATCTCATATACCTTGTTACGTCCCTGTTTTGGTACGGCATTTTTAGCTTTTCCGAAGACGCCGCTCTTGCCAAAACGACGGGAATATATATAACGGCGTAGTATGTGACTAACACAGTCTATATACTGTAAGATTTTACGCCACATATATACATCACAGACTGGAGGAAATTGCGCCGTAAGATTTTACGCCAGTAACTAACGGCGTACTTTCTCCCAGTCGGTTGTGTTTATATGTACGATTTTACGCCAGTAACTAACGGCGTAATTCTTCCAGTCGGTTGTGTTTATGTGTAAGATTTTACGTCAGTAACTAACGGCGTAATTCTTCCAGTCGGTTGTGTTTATGTGTAAGATTTTACGTCAGTAACTAACGGCGTAATTTCTTCCAGTCGGTTGTGTTTATGTGTAAGATTTTACGCCAGTAACTAACGGCGTAATTTCTTTCAGTCGGTATATTATATACTGTAAGATTTTACGTCGTTAGTTAACGGCTTAAAATCTTACATATATATACCGACGCAGATAGTGGCGTAAAATCTTACAGTCTATAGACTGCGTTAGTCACATATTACGCCGTTATCTAACTGCCGTTGATTTACCGCATCAACAACACGATGATATTTCGAGACCTCGCGAATCCATCTGCTGGAATTCTCCTTGTCTAATTAGTCCGGCACAGAGACCAATTGAAGATTTAACATACATGTTGTTTGGTTACTTGGCGTTGAACGAACAGCCTGTTTTGGCGCGCTTGAGACCTGCTGGCACGACAGAAAGTTTGTAGTCATCGCGGAATCGAAGAAACAATTCGTTCTTTGCAAAAGCATTCGGCCTGATTTTACATTAACTTTTCGTTAGCACATACCAGTTTTTTTCGGGGTCGAGATTGGATCCCGTAACTACAGAAAGCTCAGCCGATCGATCGAAGACTTCGGCCTTCATGATGAGATCGCGCCAAGTGATTCCAATGCAAGATTTATTGTATTTTCGTAAATGAAATTCGAGCATAGATGAAGTATTAATTATTAGGTGAAACTTTTCAACAGGTTTAAGTAACCGCATAGATACCTACCGACCGCAAGCGTTCATGTAATTCTCTACACTTACGACAGAAATATAGCACCTCCGTAGAATGCATGCTGCGAATTTTTTTCGGGGCCAAAGCTCCTCATGTTTTTTCTGGGTCACATTTTCAGTTCTAAGACATGAAGCTTGAGTTTTCTCCGAACTTGATATAATAACCATGAATATCACTAGCATAGCACTCCGCCTACTGTACTATTTGGTATACAGTTGTAATTTGAACACTTTCCTTACATGAAATAATGATGGCAAACCTATCTTTTGTTCCTGAAAGTCCCTCTGAAATGTTTGACCTCGGTGAAAACTTAATTTTCATAGAACACTCATGCTTTACACCCGTATTTATAGTAAAATTATTTCACGGCCATAATTCCACCCTCTAACTGGTCGGATGAATAACGACACAATTTTTCTTTAAATTTCAGCCAATAGTTTTTGGAGGTACCTCCAAATGAAGCCTTTTCCCGCTTGACTATGTTTTGATCCCGCGGGGGTTTTATATGAACATTTTTTCATAAGCATCTACTGATGGCATAGTAGGTGGCTGTGCCCCAAGGCGAGACCCGAACACTTCAGCCTGCGAGCAAGCTAAACCCAAACAGCGGTGAGAGGTCTTGAAAAATCCCTGATCCCTTCCTCCACGTACAATTTTCAGCCAATCAGATTCTCCCCTTTTGTTACCGAAGGAATCCATGAACGTTTAATAAGCTCATGTTATAGGAACATCTTTGGGCCCAAGATGTTAGAGTCTACTCTTTATTTACACTTTACAATTATTTCAGGAATCTATCGGAGATTCCATCTTTCCTGCATCGCACTATGGCCTTTTTCTGCACTAAAAAGAGAGCTTTGTCTTGGTTCTGGCTGTCTTTAGCAAGGAGGTAAATGTTGGAAATCTTAGTTGAAAGGAGTGTATTTAGTTTTAACGGCCGGATCATTTAAATTTCATGAGGTCACGCTAAGAATCTGTTCTCAAGCAAGAAGTCGTTAGTAACTTATAACAAAAATGTTTGTGACTCCACGCTTTCGGTAAGCAATTGTTCCAAAACTCTGTTCAGACAGCTAGAATTGACGTGCGTTGATCTAACGTCTACATTCGAAATAAACATCTGCCTTGAAGTAAAAATAACTTTCTTGTAACTTTTGCTAACATCTGAATTCGAATTTCTGTTGCAAACTCAATTCTTAAATTCTCTACTTGGAGTGTTCGAAATGAATCACTGCGCCTTACTATTTTCCTCGTTTACTCATAGTATACCTTAATTTACAAATGCCCCATTTACACCAGCAAAACATGTTCTCCCAAAGGTGACGCTCACGCCGATATTGCATCTAGCGCGAGTAAAGAAGAGAATGAAATTTGTTGCTGAAACTTAACTTTGGACGATACGGATTTTCGTCCTAGTAAATATTGAAAAAAAAACTTGGGGGATAAATGCTAAAAATAGCGTGATTTGGTTTGAAGCCAGAATGGACCGAACCGGCCGCGAAGCTGGTACTTCATGACCTCGGGCCAAACATTTCCCGTCCAGTTTCTCACTTAGTCAACGAGTACATATTTTTGTTCAGTTCCAAGATAGACACATAGATACGTAGCCTGCACGTGAGAAGTTCTTAATGGAAATGAGCGAAAAAGCGGGCAATCGAAAAATGGCGGGACTCAGGCAAAGGAAAAATTTAGGGACAAACTCAACCGCTGTTCAGTTAGAACAGGCTCGACGGACGCCGTTGCAGGATATGTGTTGTCCTCGTTTATTTCCTTGCATATGAAGCCGAGGAGACTTGCTAATTGAATATGTGTGAGTTTATGAGTACTGTTTAAGGCAAGGCAGAAATAAACTCTGATTTGAACCATTTTTTGTTTATGTTTCATCGAGGCCAAGAGGAAAAATGAAAAAATTTTTTTTTTTCACCATAATTGTAGTGGTCTTGTGAAATAAAAGGACTTTAAAGAGAAGCTGAATCGCGTTTGTCTCTAGTGCGGCTGGTTATAGTTACTGAGGAATTCTGGTAGAGGCAGAGTGCGGCTTTTTTCTGTTGTGAGAATTTGTCACCCAAATGCAGACTCATAGACATATGGATCCATACAAGATATTCAGGCAGCACGAAACAGCGAAGAAGCGCCAGTGCGCTAGCCGAGAGTTAGAAGTAGAGAAAGCTTCATTCACGCCGTAAGCCGTTTCAGCGCGACGGACAGTGCTGCTTTGGTGGAGTATAATACAAAATAATTTGGTTTTATCAAATGTGTTGCTAAGGTAAATTGGCCTCTGTAAAGAGTTTCTAAGCTGATGTTTAGAAACTCTTTACGGTGGCCAATTTACATCGTCAACTAAGTTGATAAAACCAATTATCTTACAGCTATTCCTGTAGAGAGAATGATTTTCGAGAGTAGATGAACTGGTTAGAATACTATTTATGGAAATCAAATGTAAAGCCGGAAATTCTGGGAAGATTATACTTCATCAAATTGTCCTCAACACTTTTGTCTTTATTTTTATGAAGTAAACACGTTTTCCCTTGAAACCAAGCTTTTATCATCAGTCGGAAAGTATTAAACACCGAGTTCTTTTAAGAGAAAAATTTTTCAGTCGACTTTTTGTCGACGGGTGTGCATATAACTTATCATGAGAAGGTGAAATCGAAAGGCAATCACGATACTTATTAATTCTTAGGCGAACATTGTTTAAAAACCCGGCAATTGTATTCTTCCAGAATGCTTTTTGATCTGACGCGTATACGTGGTGGTGGTATCGAGGTGAAGTAAGGACTTTCTCATTTGAATACTTCGTTTGATTAAAAAATAGAGTTTATGTTCTTGGGCATAAATATGTTTTGGGCTTGACTCAGAGTTATTTTAACCCGAGCTGCTACGTAGGGGTAAAATGACTCTGCGTCGGGCCCAAAACATATTTATGCCCAAGAACATAAACTCTGTTGTTTTATAAAACGAACATAAACTGCATTATTATGAGTATCACTCTGGAGGGCATGCAGAAAATAAAAACTGAGCAAATGACAAGAAAACAGTCTGAACAACCACGCAAGCGTGCAAGCCGCCTAAAATACATTTTAGGCCCCGAAATCTCCATGTTATTCCGCAAAAATGCGCCACTTTGCCGTTAAAATGATAACAATTAAAATAATCAATATGCTCTTTAACCAGTCACAGGAACCTGTTTTTCAGGAAAACGCAAACGTGATTTTGAACGGTGGAGTTAAGTAGGTGTGTTATAAAGCAATTCTTACAAAGATTAGCTCTTGTAAAAAAGGTAAAATTTTATCACTGATCTGCTAAACTGTTTCTTTTTTTTTTCTCATCTAGTTTGAAATCTTTTTCGGTGGATGCTAAAATACGTAACGACGCCCTAAACATATTGCCCGTATATGTTTGCCTGGTTTCCAAATTTCTCCTCAAGGAGATCACTCGAATTAAAAATGTATGATGTAAAATGATAGCAGATTTGAATAATATTCTTGGTACCCACGGTTTTGATGAGCACTGAAAAGATTAAAACAATAGCCTACATCCTATGTGGTTAAACGTAATTCGAAGGTAAGCTGTTTGTTAAACATTTGTCCACATATTTAAGGAATTGTATAACGTGTAATACACAAAAAGCCTTCACTCGTCCATGCTTCTCCTTGTGCAGAGGTCCGTAATTATCTCTTAAGCTTCTCTTTGTAAAATACTCTCTTTCGGAGCTGAAAACGTCGTTGAACAAATTCTCGAGCATATTTTATCTTAAAATTTATCGTATTTATTTTTTATTTAGTTCAAGTCTTACTAAAAACTATAAGACATTATTTTTAATTGACTTCTTTCAGAGTAAAATGAACTCATATTTCGCGTATTTATGGCTCAAATTTGGGACGATTCTGCTGCTTACTACTGCAATCTCTTCAGCGAGCAACCAAATGGAAACACCGCTGGTCTACATCAACAACATTTTCATGGATAACATTAGCGTAGAAAATCATACAATTCAGACTGTAAGTGTGTTGGATCCCTGGGAGTGTTTTCGTCACTGCGCTAAACACTGTGACTGCGTTGCGTTTCAAGTAAGTGAGAAAATATGTGAGCTCCTGGGCACGGACATTGATGGAGCCATTGGAAATCAAGTGAAAAAACCAGGAACACGTTTCTATCATATGCAGCAAAATGGTGTGAGGGTAAGTTTGTGTTATTGTAGAGCGTTTTTCGATTGAAAGTCGCAATATAAAGTTATCGCAACAGGTAGTTGAAACGGGAGCCGACAAGGACTTCGGCACCTATCTACACATAAAATGTCTCCAAAGCGGGAAAACGTCGTGGCGGAGACGAATCGCTTCGAAAAATTTGCCTTAATTTGAGAATATCCGTGAAAATATTTGTTGCTGCAACAGTCATTAAAAAGCACAAATGACTCTCAATTCTAAACAGTGTGCGCCTAAAACAAAGAGAGATTCTGCTTGAGACTTAAAATTTCGTTTTGTTGTTGTTCATATTTGTTTTAGGAACATTATAGATGCCTTAATGGCTGTTGTCAACCAAACCCTTGCCTTAATGGAGGCACATGCGCAGAGTTGCGATAACATCAGGAAGCAATACACCTGTGCTTGTCCACGAAATTACCAGGGAAAGAGATGTGAGATATTCCATCCAAGAGTCAAATCGTGCCAATCTTATATAGATCTGAAGCCAGAGTCTGAGTCAGGCGTTTACAACCTAAATGATACGGTTCAAACTTATTGTGATTTTGACTCCGAAGCCGGCAAAGTCTGGACTCTCATCCAGTCATTCTCTCTAGAAAATAAGGCTTTTTACAAGCGAGAACCTTTTTACTTCAACTTCCCGAGAAACGAAACAAGATTTAACTGGAATGATTTTCGAGTGTCATATCAAGCAATGGTCAACATCCGGGACAACTCGACGCATTGGCGCGTGACGTGCAATTTCCCATCAGGCCTCGATTTCACCGACTACGCACGCGCGACTCTCCAAGCCACGGATCTCCTAACATTTGTTAATCAGGATCGCTGTCGGAAGTTCGAGTACATCTCGGTTCGAGGACAAAGTTGTACGGATTGCTCGGGGATGATTGTGCAGCGAGATACACAACATATGCATACTGACTCCTACTGGAGCGGGAGAAACGGTTGTTTCTGGGATCCAAGAATTGGCTCCGTTGTGGGCGAAGATAATTTTGGATTCTATAACACTATCAATACTCAACACAGTTGCACTAAAAATTCTCTTTCCACCACGCAATGGTGGCTGGGTGCTGGGCTCTAAATCTGAGCCCACACTCCGGTAAGCGCGAATCGTAGTGAAGCACGTGAACACATTACAACGGCTAGAATTCGGGCATGCGCAATAGGCTCAATTAGTTCTTAAAGCTTTTAATCACAAGTCACCGTTTTGGCCGCCTCTTAGCTGTTTGAAGTTCGCACCTATTCATACGTTTGACAATTATGTTGAAATACACCCCACTGGTGTGAGCCACGAAACTTCTCGTGCGTAGTTTTCTCTAGTCTAACCACTCACTAACACGTGTCTCAAGCATGCAACAACCAGCCGTATCGTGAAAGGTACACCATATGTGAGCGTCTGTCTCTCGGTCTTATGAAAAAATAACGTCGCATTCAATGTAATCAGCAGTCAACCACTAGCATCAATGACTTAGAACTCAGGAAGTAGAAGTTCAAGAAGTTCTCTTCACATAGAAAAGAAAGGCCGGCAAAATTGCACACTGAGATGCCGTGTAGAGATTTGTATTCATACTGTTTAGTTTTAGGTAAACTGAAAGTTTTCAAAAAAAGACAAAAAAAAAAAAACAATCATATAAACATATTGTTTTGAAGGCTTCCTGTTGGTCAATGTCAATATCTAAAAGAATCAATTTAAGAAGTTTAGTTTTAGGTAAAAATATAGATAGAGCAATTTAATCTCGTAATCATTACCAAGCAAATGTACTGTTTTGAAGGCTTCCTGTCAGTCAATGTAAATTTCTAGAATAATCATTATATCTATTAAGTGTTTGTTGGAGAGAAAAGCGAATTCAACTTCTTTAACCCTTTAACTCCCAGATCAAATTTGTAATTCTCCTTACCTTCAATCATACAATTCTTATAATGTTATTTCAGACAATTTAGTAGTGGATCAACTGATTATCCTCAAAAGGATATTTTACTTCATTCTCATCACTTATCTGGTTGACATTGTATTGATATTGTAAGGAGAAATTATGTCTTGGTCACTCGTGGGAGTTAAAGGGTTAAGGTCCTTTTATTTCACAACATTACTGCATTTGGGCAGCGGCAAAGAAAAATAACTTAGTAAGATTTTCCTGTCCTAATAACTGATTTATGACTGATTTTTATAAATGCGAAATATGCCATGGTATTTATAGGGTGTTTAAACACCAGATACCAATAAGATTCAATAAGATTCAATAAGATCGCATCAAGAGGAATTCACAGCAGAGAGGAGGTCAGGAAAATAGTGAACACTTGTACTTCAATTTAAAATAATTTTGAAAGTTTAAAATCTGGGGGGGGGGGGAAGGGGGGGAGGTGTAAAAGCAAGGAAAGAGTTAATAAGGAATTAAGCTGATAACAAATCATCCAGCAGCACATCCCCATTAGCCTTTTTCTAGGTAGCACCCCCCTTCCCCCTGGAGAAAATACTATAACAGTGGATTCTAACATATAAGAAATTGCACTATCATGAATTAGGCTGTAACTATATAACCTCAATCTTGTGATTAGTCTTTCCTGACTACATACTTCAATATAAGAAATTGCACTATCATGAATTAGGCTGTAACTATATAACTTCAATCTTGTGATTAGTCTTTCCTGACTACATACTTCAACCTCTCTGTCTGCCTGTGTGTATGTCTGTCTCCTTCTGTCTGGCTGTATGTTGGACTGTATGTCTGTTTCTCTGTCTGTCTTGCTGTATGTCTGTCTGTCTATATGTCTGTCAGCCTGCCTGTCTATCTGTCTGTCTGTCTGTCTACCTGTCTGTTTGTCTGTCTGTCTGTCTATCTGTCTGCCTGTCTGACTGCCTCTGTCTGAATGTTTTTTTCTCTCTTCACTAGTATGTTTCCCTCTTTCTCTTTAAGTCTCTCTCTCTCTCTGTTTGTCTGTGGCTTGATTGGACAGCTTTTTTTCTACTTTCTTCCCTTTTAAACTATACACTGAGGAGAAAATTCAGATTAATTTTTTTTTAATCCATTGCTATTTTCTGACTTCCCTTAAAAACCCTTTAAAATGTATTATCAAAAATATAACAGAAATGCTTTACAACTTTTTCATTCCAACTAAACTTTAACATGAATACTTAAAAATTATAAGATGTCCTCCTCCATTCTTGTCCTAGAAAACAATGTTATTAAATTCCTTTTTACATGGTTTCCAAAATTCTTTTTATGTTCTGTGCTTCCTGGGAAAAAAAAAAGATGAGGATAAGTTCATGTATATGTTAGAGGATTGTACTTTAGATCTATCTGTTATAAACTATTAGTTATTTTGTGAAGTAATAAAAATAGAAATTATTGGAAAGAGAGAGTTGTAAATAACAAACTTCAAGGAAGGTGAGAAAAATGAATAAATGTGGGTATTCTCAAATTTCTAATTATATGATAAGCTAAATTATGTATGCCTTTTGATTGGTTCTTACTAATGATTAATTGGGGGACAGATGCATAGATGACATTACTTAATACACAAACAGTTTCCATGTTGTTGTGGATCTGTACAGTAATAGATTACAGAAGATGTCAAAATGTGGTAAAAACATCAGTGATCTATTACAGAACATAGAATAAGAAAGTTGGAAAGTTTTAAGCTCAGTTTAACAAATAGATTCCAAGTTGCCATGCGTCTGTTCAGTAATAGATCACAGATGATGTAAAAATGCAGTAAAAACAAAAAAGTGGCACACGAGGTGCAGCCAAGTGTGTCACTGATGTTCTTACCACATTTTGACATCCTCTGTGTTCTATTACTGAACAGGTGCATGGCAACTTGGAATCTATTTGTTTTATATAATAAAGAATTTAAAAAAATTTTTAATGATGACGTCATCCATACGTCTGTCCTCCAATAGATCATAAGTGAGAACCAATCAGAATGCGTGCATAACTGAGCTTATTGTATAAAAAGAAATAGAGAAAGACTAAATTACAGAACACATACACAGCAACATGGAATCAATTTTTAACTTTTATGAACTAATCAAACATAGAAATGATTGGAAGAAAGAGTTTTCTATTACAAACTTCAAGGAGGATGAGAAGTTTGCATCAAAATTAATAGTTGTAGGCATTTCTCAGATTTCTAAGTTACACAAACATTTTTTTTTTAACCTTTGACTCCTAAAAGAGACTAGCATCTAATTTTACCTTCCACCTTCACCCTAGGATCAAAGGAAATGATCATTCGCAAAAGAAGCCCTTAATTGTTAATGTATAGAGAAATGTATAGAGAACAGTATGGAGAATATGCATACTGATATTAGGGTGCAAAGGGTTGATAAAACTTTGAGTTTGTTCTCAATAATGAGATTGCATGATATCCTATAAAAATCTGGATTTTTTTTTCACTTGCACTTATTATTGTGGTTGTTGGAGAACTCTCATTTTACCTGCAGATTTGTAAACACAAATGATCTTGAAATGTAAAGCTTCTTTGCTTGATTGTCAAATCTCCACATATTCAGAGAGACGCCTGAATGAAAATCAGAGTCAATTGATTGTTAATTCTCTCATCTACCTGTTACACTTTACTTTTACCTTAATTGCAAGAGTCTGGTGTTAGATCAAGATAACAACTTCTACCTGATAAATAAGAGTATTCTCATTTCCTGTTTGCTGGATAACATATGGATATTTTAGGGAGATGTTACATGTTTAACACTTCTGGGAGTTGAAGGGTTCAAAAGCTAGGTCAATAACGCGAAACACACATTTAACGTTAAATTTATAATTCTCAAGAAAAATGCCAGATTGAAATTTTAGCAATGGCGTCAAAAAAAAGGGGTCGGATTGCAGATTGGATCACGGATCGCCACCTGATCCTGGTTTTGTCAATGCCGTTGTTAGCAACGCAGTTGACTACTCTTAAACATTAATACCTTGTACTGTCCTGTTGAACCTTGACGACTCATCGCCAATGAAGAACGAACCATTTGTAAACGTGAACTGCTCGATATTCCTTGTATTGATGATTACTTCCTCTTGCAAGGGCTTATACAAGGTTTCTCCCTTGGGCAGAAAATCTTCGGACTCATAAACCAATCCATTTGCACTGATCAACAAAAAATTTTTGGGAGAAGTCGAAGTTGACGTCCAATAATTTGTGGGCATGTTGGTTCTCTTATGAAACAAAGAACCATTTTTGCTTGGGCGATCGAAATCATCGCGTGACAAGTTCATAACCTCTTGTTCATCTCTTTCCTCTGTTCGCTGCCGTTTTGCACAACAGGCAGTAGTGAAACCATTTTGCGATGACGATGAACTTAAGAAAGATATTTCCGTTTCAACATCCATGGCAGGAAATTGCTATATTTATATGAAGTTTGTTAGGACTGGTGTTAACGCATAATACTCGCATGAGTTTACGCTCAGGTATTTCGATTGAAAAGAGGGAACTAAAACAATATCACAAACTCGCCATCTTGAACTTGGTAGCCTCCCCGTTCACATCATTTGAAATTTCGCGCCTCGTTCCAGTTTACAACTCGGTTGAAAAGGAGATGGCGGTTTGATTTAAAAAGACATACACAGTAACCAGTCAATGAAAAAAACCAAGCTTGAATTACCTTTTTCTGTGCAGCATCATGTGTATGTTTTTATTCATCTGGGTTCAGTTTTTCAAAGGGCAAATAATACTATCCTTTGAATAAATCACTATCCAGTACATAAGTGATAACAAAATGTACAGCGCTATCCAGCAGATAGAGATTTATACAGTGGATAGTGTTATCCACCCTTTGAACAAATGTAGCCTGTTTAATTATTTTTCAGTAGATTATTGGGAGGGTGACATGTGATGCATCCCTTATATTGGCAACATCTCTTAACCCTTTCACTCCCACAAGTGATCCAATACCAAATTCTCTGAACTAACATCATGAGAATTGTATGGCAGATAGTAAGGAGAATTACTAATCAGATCTTGGGAGTGAAAGGGTTAATAAATATGTAAAATATTGAACATCACATTAGTACATTTGGGTTAAGAATAGTAAAGGATGTGACTACCTATGATAAAAAAAAAAAGTTCTTACATAAATATGTACATATCGAATTTCCTAATTACAAGTGTAGCAGTGAACCCTTTAACACTAAACACTTTAACCACTAAGAGTGACTGGCATCAAATTTCTCCACACAATATCACCCCTAAATCACTTGTTAAGGTCATGAGAATAAAGGAAATGAACACCAACAAAAGAAGCTTTTGATTGGTAAACAAATTCTCCTTGTCAGCAGCTTAGGAAATGTATAAAGAGCAGTATGGAGAATATGCATACTGATTTTAGGGTGTAAAGGGCTAAGAGTGACTAGCATCCAATTTCTCATTACAATACCACTCATGAATCCAACATTTAAGTCCCAAGAATAAAAGAAATGATCATCAACCAAAGAAGCTCTTGATTGTTAAACAAATTCTCTCTATCAGCACCTTAGATCATGTATAGAGAACCGTATGGAGAATATGCATACTGACATAGGGATGTAAAAGGTTAATTTTCCCATAGGTGTAGCAATCTAAGAAGCAACAATGTTTTGACATATGGATACAAAAAGCAACCACAATTGCAACATTGTTATCAATGCTTAGACACTAATCATAATCATCAAGGTTTAACGCTGGAGCAAAGTTATGCACCATCATTTTAATCCGTTCTTTACTCTGTTTAATTCTTTGTACAGTGTCTTCAACCATGGACAACCTTTCTTTCTCTTCATTGTATCTTTGCTCCAAATCTTGGCATCTTTCCTTACAATCTTCTTCTTTAATCTTAATGCCATCAAGTTCAGTTTGCAGACGGTTTATTTTCTGTCGCAGTTCACTTTCATCCATTTCTAGTTTCTTGATCAGTTTCTTTTCATCCAGGAGCTGTTCCGTTACTTCTTCCATGGTCCCAAGAATGCTCTCAGCCTCACCTAAAGGTGATAAAGAGTTTCACTCAACAATTCTTCCCCCTTTTAGTTTCCTTTTAGTTTCATGAATATTTTAGTTTCATGATGTTCACATGTTCAGGCTAATGTTGCATCAGGGGAGGGGTAGGTTCACTGTCGCTCAGATACCAACATTGAACCAGTATTTTTTACTATTCAGCTGATCTGATGGGAGAGCAATTTTCTTGCTCTAATATCATCAGGGGTTTCACAACAACTGGTGACCAGTGGTCTACTGTTGCCTGAAAGACTCCTCATTGCCCTCAGTTTAGTAAGCAAACAGGGTCTTACATTTGGATTTTGCCTTATGGCACAGCCACCAATTAAACCATTGATAGCTGCTTATGGAAAAGATTAATTAAACCCCCGTATCCTTGGAGCTGGGAAAACCATTTAGAAGTGAGACAGAGAAATGGCTCATACTCCATAGCCTGATTTTATCCTTACCATTCAATGCATTACATCTAAGAGTAAGAGATTGGTATTCTTCTACATATTGTCTTGTTTGCTCTTCCAGCTTTTGAAGTCTCTCCTTCTCCTTCTGCATTTTGAAGTCAGATATTATTTGCTGAATTACAGTGTTTACTGCAGTAGACTTAACAACAGTCTGACATGTTGGGCATTTCTTGCAATCACGTAAACATGCCTGGCAAAAAGTGTGTCCGCAAGGTATTGCAGCCATGGGTGTGTGTCTTGGACCACTCATTAGTTTTTCACAGAGTGGACAAGAGTGGCTGGCAATACCTGATTCATTATTTTCCTGGGTATTCTTTTGCTGTTGTTTATGACTGACACTAGGTTGCAATGACACTTTTAACCTCTCTGCAACAGTATCTGCTAACGCATTGAGCATATCAGCAGATAACTCTGGAGTCTTGTGTTTCTCAGAAGAAGTGCTTAAAAGACTATCCTTGTTTTGAGTGTTAATTACAGTATCACTAAAGGAATTAGTGGCTGTATTTCCATAAATTTTTCTGTTCCTATCTGATGATTCATCATTATATATGTCCCTATCAATTTGATCACCAACTTGACAACTTGTATCAGATTTTAAGGAAGTTCGTGATGATGGCCTTTGCCTGTTATGGAGAGTCTGTTGACTAGTAGTGAGAGCTGTGCTATTTAAAGACCCAGAAGAATTCGAGTTTGCATAATTCGATGGAGCATACTGCATGTGATGGTCACTGCTGTCTTCCGTATGATTTAAGCTTGGGTTTCTTTTGTGACTACCTGAGGCAGAAGGAGGTCTCTGTTTCCTAGAAACAGGGTTATCACCCTTGGATATCCATGGAACTACATCTGAATGATCTCTCTGTGGCTCGGGATACAAAGGTTTCCTTCGTGGATTACTGTATGGATTTCTATTGACAGCTTTTTCAGACGATGAACCACTAGACAAACTCGAACGGGCTCGAAACTTTGGGACATCTGGCAGTGCAGTAATATCTTTGCTCAAAGACTTCAATTTTGTGGAAGATGACTTAGAAGCTTCTCTTTCCTTCATCCACAGACTTTGTTTTTCACGAATTGCTTTGACTTTTTCAGCTGTTTCTTCTTTGGTTTTGCCGTCTTTCTTTTGATTTGTTGACTTCGTTTGCAGTTTCTTACCTTGCAAAGACATCATCACATTGCACCTATGCTGAGTGAAACAAATAAAACTCCTGTAAAACCGCGAAAAAAAAGTCTATAAGTTCGTGAAAGACCTCATCACCAAGACGCCATTTTGGTTTGTTTGAGCTTAGCTATTTCTTGTGTGGTTACCAAGCAAAGAGCTACAGAGCAAAGGCTAGATTTAGAGGGGAGGGGTAGATCGGGTTAAAAATACAGACTTCAAATTATGAGATTCAAATTATACCAGGGGAATGTATCCCAGACACAAAATATCAGCAATATTTTATTATTAAATAAAGATAAATATACTTCCACGTAATGAAAATTCACCTTCAAAATTGTCGAAAGGTTCCTACTAGACAAACTGTAATCTCTAGTAGCCCTCCCTAGGAAAAAATCGGACGCAGTGGGCCTGATGAGCTGGCCGTGCTTTCTCCAATATAAGCCATTTGCAGGCGAAAGACCCGTGAAAACTTTCTGAATTTTTGTTTCACAAAACTAGAAGGCTGATCCTCGGATGCCATTGAATATTTCTGTGTTTCAGCAGTAAGTAAAATACCATCAAAATGTCGACGTCGGCGGTTTTCGTTCTTGATATAAAAGGAAAGGTAGGTTGGCCGAACTCTAAGACTTTTTATATACCGTAATATTTTACATTAAGACTGAGAAAGTTTTGAAGAACTGCTCGTACTTTTACTACCCAGGTGATAATTTCTCGGAATTATCGTGGAGATATTGAGATGTCCTTGATCGAAAAGTTCATGCCTCTTGTGTTGGAAAAGGAAGAAGAAGGAAGTCAAACGCCCATTTGCGTTCACCAGGATGTTACTTTCGTATATATCAAGTACAATAATCTCTATCGTATCCTTCTGTTTTTACGATCAGGTGTTACTACATCTGAGCAGTACGGTACAAATTGTTTAAACGAGTTACGGATGAAAATTCAAGGCTTACCAGAGACTAGATACAAGCGTAGTGTAAATCAAAGTTTCTTTGGTAGATCAAAGATCGTGGCTTTTATCAAAGGGGTGTTCCTTGTGCTCAGTGAGATACGAGCATACCATTCGCTACATATCAGAGTGCATTCGACAATAATCTCATGCTGAAGTCGTTAAAAGGTTTACAGAATCTGCTACCAAACCCCAGGTAACCAACTATAATTTTTCTTAATGAGAAATAGGGTCAGATAAATGATGCCGGCATTATCCTGTACATAATGTTATAATCAGAGCATCAAGCGTAATATCGGCATAATATCTAAACTTCTTAAAATTCTTGTTGTGTTACATTTCAAAAGGAGATATACTCAGTAGCCGAGTAATGAGCATGCTTTCATTATTCATTTTTGGAATTTGATCTTGTAAAATTTTGTGTTCTGAACTTGGATAAGACTTTTATTCTAACCAAGTTTTACCTGTTGGTGGTAGGAAGGGGGGAAGAAAGGGGGATTTGAGGGGGTCTGTGAACTATTTATTTGAATCACTAAATTGAGCATATTGAAAAATTTGAGAAAAATTATCAGCATAATGTATGTTTCTAGGGGTTATGCTCAAAAGCACAATGATCAAATTTTTCACCATAATCTATCAGTGACACATGCAGATGCACCATGTGTTTCCTTGTTGTTTGATCAAGATAACAACTTAAACCTGATAAGTTTAAGTATTCTCATAACTTGGTCGCTGGATAATGTGTGAATATTATAGGGAGAAGTTACATGTTAATCATTTCTGGAAGTTAAATATCTAGGGTTAAGTGCTTTCACCAGAGTTCCTTGACTTCAGTTTCCAGTGGTATCAATGACAAAGAAGAATGCAAATGTGGCTTTGTTGTTTGTTTTCCTCCACAAGTTAGTGCAGGTAAATATTACTTGGATGGGGTTGTCATTAATCCTTTAACTCCCAGATCAAATTTGTTAATCTCCTTACTGTTAACCGTACAATTCTTAGAATGTTAGTTCAGAGAATTTAGCATTGGATCAATTAATTATCGCCAAATTGATATTCTTCTTTATTCTCATTAGTTTTCTGGTTGATATTATATTGATATTGCAAGGAGAAATTTTGTCTTGGTCACTCATGAGAGTTAAAGGGCTAGGCACCAGCTACCAGGGAAAATTGCTAAATGAAAAGGAGGCATTTGCCAGCTAAGGTTTTTAGATGGAAATTGCTCAGTAAAGCACCATGGGCATTCTGAGTTTATGTACTTACACTTTTTCAATATCCCAGGCTATCTTTGGGTGGCCTCACTTGAAATTACAACAGGCAACCAAACTTCTTGCAAATTTCATCTTTAATTATAATATACAATCAAGTTGGGTCTACTTCTTCCATACAGAAATTTGATTTTAATAACAAACATAAACTCTTCTTGTTTATTTTGATTAAGAACACATCATGATTTAGATGTTATGCATTCACTGCAGGTGTTTACAGAATACTTCAAGGAACTTGAGGAAGAAAGTATCAGAGATAATTTTGTGATTATATATGAACTGCTGGATGAGTTGGTGGACTTTGGATATCCACAGTTTACTGAGACAAAGATCTTACAGGAGTAAGTAATTTCTTTTTTAACTCTTTCACTCCTAAGATCTCATTGTTACCCAGTATGTCTCCTTACCTTCCTCTCTACAATTCTTTTAAAGTAATTTTGGAGAATTTGTTATTAGATCAACTTACAATCCGCTAATTGATATTATTCTTTTTTCTGAACACTTCTATGCTTGAAGTTATGCTTGTATTATATGGAAAAATTCTCTCTTGGTCACTCATAGGAGTTTAACCCTTTAACTCCCAAGATCTCATTAGTAATTCTCCTTAGTGTCTGCCATACAGTTCTCATGATGTTAGTTTGGAGAATTTGGTATTGGATCAGCTTATAATCCCCTAACTGATATTTTTCTTTATTCTCATCACTTGTCTGCTTGATATTGTATTGATATTGTAAGGAGAAATTCTGTCTTGGTCACTCATGGGAGTGAAAGGGTTAAGGGTTAAGTGGCCCTGAGGTGGAAAAAGGTTGTTATTGTTCTCTCCTTTAATTCCTATTTTATTCAGAGAAAATGCATCATGCAAAATATTGCACTTCAAGCCATAATATAAGTTTGATTTTGTTTGCAACAATATATCCCTTGCAAACTCTGCCATGACCAGATTTCCTTCCAGTCAAGTTATAGCAAGAGAGTAGGATTAAAAAAGAAAATAGTATAAAAGATTTATAATCTTCAATTTTCAGTATAGGAACCAACCAATTTAGGATGTGAAGTGAGATTATATTCCCAAGATCTGATTGTTAATCCTCTCCTCCAATAGCTACTTTTTCTTTTTAAATTAGTAAGGTGAATTTAATGTTGGATCAAGACAACAACTTCTACCTGATAATTTTGAGTTAACAAGTTCTGGGAACCAGATAAAGGGTTAGGGGGGTTGTGATGTCTTTTTTACTTCTGATCACAGAATACACATGCACCCCACAGTAGCCTGCCAATTGTTATGAAATCCAGTGAGATTTCTATCTCATAAGATAGCTCACAGTAATCGCTACATTGACATATTTTCCAACAGGTATATTACTCAGGAAGGTCACAAGTTAGATGTTGGTGCACCTAAACCTCCTGTTGCTTTAACAAATGCTGTCTCATGGAGAGGAGAGGGTGTGAAATATCGCAAAAATGAAGTTTTCCTGGATGTGATTGAATCAGTCAATCTTTTGGTAGGCTACCTTTGCTTAAAGTTTCATGACTAGAATTTATAGCAGTAGTCTTGGGGTTAGTTAATGAACCAATCATAGGTTTTTATTAGGAAATGTAGGAGCAGGAGAATAGTATAAGTGTCTGGAGAGTATTTTCCATATCTAAATAAAACAGCTCAGATCATCAACATTTAGCTAGAGAATTTTGCAAGGTAGGTAGAGTATTCTCTGATATCTGATGCATGGTTAATGTTAATTTCAACCAAGTTCAATTGTGACAATCAAAGCTTAGGAGTTAATAAGAAAGGTTGAATATTTCTTTATTATTATTGGGGGGGGAAGGGGTAGGAGTTGTATAGGTAGAGGCAGATAAGGACAGTAAAAAGGCAAGTAGAGTAGCAAAACAAACTGAGAAAATGAATACGATGGTGCCCCCTGCAAACCTCCCTGGGACCCCCACTTAACATTTGTGAGGCAGCTGCATCAACTTGGTTTTAACCTTGTGGAATTACATTAAGCCTCATTCAGATGTAATTCAGTGCTGGTTTCCTTTTAATTGGTTTGAACAGTTTTGAGTGAGTGACCTTAGTAACAATAGTTGTTCTATAAAATGTAATCTGGATTAGGAATTTTACTTTTGTGACTCTCAAATGGTGTGCTAAAATGGCTCCTTAATCAGTTAAGTGTTCACTGCTGTTACCATCATCTTATGTGTATGTATGTTTCATTTTAGGTTAGTGCAAATGCTAATGTGTTACAGAGTGAAATTGTTGGTGCAGTTAAGATGAGATGTTATCTAACTGGCATGCCTGAACTGCGGCTGGGATTGAATGACAAAATTTTGTTTGAAAGCACAGGACGTAAGTACTCCTGTGTATCTGGTAAACCCATCTGAGATAGCCTTCCTTTGACTGAAATCTACTGATAGGTTCGTTGTTGTGTTCTATAGTTGCTTTGTGGTAGATAACCAATTAATGCATGGAAAACAGTGGTTTTCTTTTTTAACTTCTTTGTATGTGTCCTATGATGTGTAGTTTTGGTGAGAATGTGGCCATGGTATGGCTGTGTAGCAGTGCACAGAGCCTTAATAAACAATTCAATTAAATTCCATTAAAAAAAAAGGTTGACAACACACATATAATAATTTTTGGCCAATAACTGACCAGGATTTGATCACAGTTTTTCTCTGTTTATATTTAGTTGTTCAATAGGTAATTATGACTTTTTTGTTTACATTACGAATGTGCTAAATTATAGATTTTGCTTTTGACAGTTTGATTAAAAAAATTACATCTTTTGTTTTTTACAGGAAGCAAGAGCAAAGCAGTAGAACTGGAGGATGTCAAGTTTCATCAGTGTGTCCGTCTGTCTAGATTTGAGAATGATCGCACAATTTCTTTCATTCCTCCTGATGGTGAATTTGAACTGATGTCCTACAGACTCAACACACATGTAAGAGTTTTGTGGCATGTTGGAAAAATCCTTGAATTACTGAGTGTTTCTATAGTATTATTGCATTGTTTCATTGAATAATGAAGACAGCAAGACAGGTTATTTTTCACAATAATAATAATGATGATGAAGGTTTATTGAAATACATGTCATGGCACAGAGTGAAATAATACCTTATTTACAATAAAAAAAATTGAAAAAAAATTTTACAAATTAAATGTGGTGTCCTTTCTCTTCGGTTTATCTGCCTCTATTTTAGGTGAAACCCTTGATTTGGATCGAGTCAGTTATTGAGCGTCACTCTCATAGCAGAGTAGAGTACATGATTAAGGTTGGTTGAAAGAAAGTTTTAGTTACATATTAATAGAGTGGTAAGGTGAGATTGGGAAATATTTGGCTCAATGTCTTGACTGAGAGCTGAACATTTTCCGTTGACCACAATCTAAGTGAGTCAGTAAACAGTTTATAATTTGTGACTTCCACTTTTTGTCTTTCTTCCTTCCCTCTTGAATTCTGCATCTGGCAGGGCTGTACCCAAGGTCAGGTGGCTTTATACGCCCTCACTTGCCTGCACGGCGGACGAGTTTGCGTAATACGCTCCAAATCATTTACACGGCCGGACATGTTTGATTTAGAGTTAGATTGTACGGTGGGGAAGGACAACGTAAACATATTCGCATATTTAGGGAGGCTCATGTTGCAAATTTTGGCTACCTGTTGTGTTAGTAATAAATAGATGAATAATTAAGTAAATCAATGGATAAATATTTGAATGAATAAACAAGAAATAGGTAGAAAATTTTTTAATGATTGTTTTGTTTTATACACAGGCCAAGAGCCAATTCAAGCGGCGTTCGACTGCCAACAATGTTGAGATTCATATTCCTGTTCCTCCAGATGCTGACTCTCCTAAATTTAAAGTAATATTTTTTATTGAACATTTTCCCATATGTCTGTTTTCTGTACAAGTATTTTGTCATTGAAGTAGTGGTAGGCACCCTAATCACTAATGTCATATCCTTTCTCAGCAAACAGTAGGAGTTGTAAAGTACACCCCAGAGGACAATGAAATCGTGTGGAATATGAAATCCTTCCCGGTAAGTACAAATGGTAGAATTAAGCCAAGTACAAGTACATTGTATGTAACCCAGGTCCTAGTTAAAAGCGCTGCGACACGAGCGTTTTTCGCCCGTGAGTAAGTTTGAGGCCTGGAGCAAAGCAAGCTGATAGGGATGCAAAGGATTTGGAATTATTAATGACTTTATCAGTGCCAGTGCCAGACCGCTCGCTAGCGTGCGACTAGGATCTCCCTATTAGCGCCACGGCACGGACGTTTTTTCGTCCGTGAGTAAGTTTGAGGCCTAAAGCAAAGCGAGCTGACCAGGCCATCTGTAGTAACGCTGCCGGAAGCGCCTTTCTTCTTCCCGCAAGAAGATTTGATACAAGTCGGGGAGAGGTTTGCCAGGGGAGTCTGGCACTAATGGTGAGGTGCTAGACACCTTGCAGACTTCTCACCGGTTCACGTTGCGTTGCGCTGGTAACCCTTTAAACCCCTTAAGTCATAATGCATATTCTCCATACTGTTCTTTATACATTTCCTAGGGTGCCGTCGAGGAGAATTTGTTTACTGATCAAAAGCTTCTTTTGTTGGGCATCATTTCCTTCATTCTCATGACCCTCTTGTGTGATTCAGGGGTGATATTGTAGGGAGAATTCAGATGTTAGTCACTGTTAGGGTTAAAAGGATTAATGAGGGCTTGTTCATAGGCTAATGTCCAACAAGTTTTTTTATTGTGGGAAAGGCGTACTAGAGAGTAATATTCAAATGTAGAATTGGTTCTTCGTTATTTTTTCCCCAACAGGGAGGGAAAGAGTTCTTGTTGAGAGCTCATTTCAGGCTGCCAAGTGTGGATTCAGGTTAGTCAAGTTTAAGGTGGTAGGTGTACATGTAACTTCTCCTCACAATGCCATTACAACTCAGTTGAGAACTGATAAAGGCATCAGCAGATGGAGAAAGTTACCTTGATTTATCGCCTAAGGAAATGTTCATTAGTCATAAGAGAATTCTTTGGCTGCTACGCAGAAACTTTCCTGCTAAATTTCGACGGCCTAAACTATGTTTCATTCAGATGAGGAGTTTATTCTCCTGTGGAGCAGCCGAACATGTCATTAGAAACCCAAGAATTAGAACCGCCATCTCAACCTCATCATAAGATGAACTTTCGCACAATTTCTCATTTGCGTTACTGAGAATTCCGCACACGTTGGTTCAGTAATCTTGGATTGTATACTTGCACTTGATCCAGGCTTTATTGTCGACAATTCAGCATTACACGTTCCGTTCTACGATCTAACTATTATAATCCAATCTAACTTGAGGTTCCGAAAATTGTTACATTTATTAGCTACGGAAATCCACACCCACATATGTAATTCCGTTTCGGATTCAAGACTTGCACACGTTCTACAACGATTCGTGGGCACTAATTTCCTATCAAACGTGGGTTTACTTGACAATCATGCTGCTAGGTTCCTACTCGCTTGACGCCCTGGAAATAATTAATTGGATACATCACTGCTCGCAGAACTAATTTGATTATCGTACGCCGCTTCCCATTACATGCTACTTTAATTGTAACGTTAGCACTGTACGAAATCACAACTTACTTGATACGCAATCAAAAATATGTTAAATCAAGGATATCAATGTTGAGCGTTGAAAGGTTCCACGACATGAGCTAACTCAGTGAACAATATTTAATGAAGCAGCATCCTTTTTTTTATTGCAGAGGTCGATGAAGGTAGACCACCCATCAAGGTCAAATTCGAAATTCCTTACTTTACAGTATCTGGCATTCAGGTAACCGTCGAACAATGTGTCTAAAATTTAAGAATCATTTGAGGAATTTTCTGGGCACAAATGTTTTCACTTTGTTACCTACCTGTGTGGTGGCATAAAACTTTAATGCTTTCAACTGTGGAGATTCTCCCCATTTCAAGTTCACTTATAATTTAAAAGAACTGTTTTGCCTTTCCCTAGAGTTTCTCTTTGTCCAATAATACTTTGTGTTCTGCTTCTATAAAGCAGATTACTTGTTTCACTTTGCAGGATATTCAATATTATATCTTTTTTCTGATAATGTAGCTAGTGTTACACAGTATACAACGAATAGTTAACGCTCGAGACGTCAGCGTTTCATGATTCGCTGTGTTGGTTTACGTATCTTGGTCAAATTATAGCTGATGACCAACTAGTTATTTCACTTAACCGTCGACGAATTTTCTTTAGAGACTGTTCACCAAAGTCGATTTAATCTGATATTTGCGCAGTGAAATGCGAGATTTCTAATGGAAAACAATGGCGACAAGACGTTTCATGTATGTCGTTCGAATTTCAGTATTAATGTTTGTGCTTGGTAGGTCTAAAACTGAATAAGTTTGTTTAAGTTGATTCGGTTGACAAGCAATCAAATGTTGTATATGCACGTTTAGCTGTTACGTCAACAGGTATATGATAGTATCATGTGCCAAGGACTAAAACTTATTTTTACTGGATAGGTCCGTTATCTCAAGATTATAGAAAAGAGCGGCTACCAAGCTCTTCCTTGGGTTCGTTACATCACCCAAAATGGAGGTTAGTCGACCCTTATCAACAAATTGTATGGAATAGAGGGTTTTTCGATTGAGTGTTGTTAAACCAGAATGAAGGTTATCACAACGGCAAATCTGAAGAAAGGAAATTCCTTAACTCTCTACATCCTAAGATCAGTAAAGGTATTCTCCATACTGTTCCCCATACATTCTTTAAGGTGCTGGCAAGGAGAATTTGTGTAACAATCAACAGTTTATTTTGCTGCTGATAGTTTTCTTTATTCTCATGGCCTTACTGTATGATTCAGGGGTGATATTATAAGGAGAAATTAGATGTTGGTCACTCTTAGGGGTTAAAGGGCTACAGAGCAAATGAGACCTCAAAGTAAAAACAAACAAACCGCCAAAAGCGCGGGAAAACGCGGGAAAACGCGGGCGACCAAGTCGTGATTGGATTTAGTTTTACATGTGATTGCTTTAGAGAGTGGCGCGAGTTTTCTGGACCAATCACAGAGCGAAGTAATGCAAAACCAATGCAATCCCGAATTACTTTCAACACCGTTGAGAATTGTTCTAAATGAATTGCCTTGAGAGCTGTGCTTTAGTAGAGTATTTATAAATTTTAAGATTGTCACAAGTTGCAATAAATAAACCTGGCACTGATGCTTAAGCTGAGCACGGAATAGTATACATGTGCTGCCAAGCAAAAGAAAAAAATTATGCAACTGTTGCCTAGTACTAAACATCGTGTACTCCGCAATGTGTAATTTGGAGAAACGCTCTTTACCTGAAACAAGGTGGACCTCTACGTTAAGCGAAGTGATTTGACTTAGCCTTGTACTAAGAGCAGTCCATCCTTGACGTTGAAGTTATGAGCGGTGCGGTAGCATCAATTTATTTTTTCCTTTTTTTTTCCGCTGATTTTTTTCACCCGCGGGAAGGCCTTCGCCGAAAAAGAGGGAAAAGGAGGGACAGCTCTTAGCTTAACGAAACCAGTGAATTCCTTATTTACTTCCGTTTCGTTGCGAAAGTTGCTAGGTTGTTTTAGGATGCAACCCACTTTAAAATTCATTTCTTTTTCTTTTGCAGATTACCAGTTGAGAACAACATGAAAAAGAGAGGCCGCACCTTCCATGTACAACATTAAATCTATCTTGTGAAGACATTTGCCGATGAGGAAAACTGAAAAAAGAGAAATATTAGATATCCCCTCCTTTGTTCTTGCTACACAATGCACTGTCCACACAACAGCTCAAGAGTAGCGACAAACTTAGAAGCTGGAGATTTTTATTTTGATGTAACGCTAAGTTTTCACAACCAATTTATGAGGAAAGATATAGCAGCTTAAAAGGAGAATTACGCATTAGATCTCTGAAGTTTAAGAGATGTCATACCCAAAAAGGAAAAAGAAAAAGCTAGTTTAACCTTTTCAACCCTAAGAGTGATCAGCATTGTATTTCTCCTTTCCCTCTTATTGCTGAATCATTTATTAAAATGATGAGAATTAAAGAAATGATCGCCAACCTAACAAGCTTTGATTGTGTAGCAAATTCTCCTTTTCACTACCAAAAGAAATGTAAAGACAGTGGTATGAAGAATATGGATATTGATTTTAAGGGTTAAGTTCGAGAATGAAAACTATAAAAGAGTTAGACAGAATCAAGTTGAATGCTCTTTAAGTAATAAATCATACGCTTCTTGTTGTTCAGTTAGAGATCTCATTCGGCAAAATCTTTAGTAAATAAAGTATTGGCATTTTTCGTAAACGTGATCCTGATATTGTTTCTCTCATGAGTACTCACGTTCTTTCTGTGATCTTAAATTGGGTTTTTAAGTCAGCAAGTACACAAAAGCTACTGTAACATTTACACAGAATTTACACAGTCCCTTTAAAGAACGCAAATAAGCTCAGCTCCAGGTCGACGGAAATTCTCCATTTCTTTCGAAAGGAGAATTGCTTTCCAAGAGAAAGTGAACCCCAATGTGAGCCCCACCCTCCCTTCTCCTTGGCGCGGTATTTCTATTTTCCACGGGAATCCTGGGAGAGAGAACCCGATAGGGCAAAAGGCAAAAGACAAAAAGAAGGAAACAAATGTAATGAGAAAATGGATAAATACGGGAGGGAGTGGAATCCAAAAGAACCTTCCCTGGTCCATCCTTTTTTAACTCGTGAATTGCGCGCATGCGCAAGAGCGAGTTATAGATACCATGTGGGGAATGCCATTCGCTCGCTCGCTCGATTGGTCGATTCCTGTAAACTTTTTTTAGATTTTAGGCTTTTGAGTGCATTTGATAGTTTTTGGCGAGCAATAAACAGACGAAATGGCGACCTTTGTTGCTAAGAATAGTGGTGGGGTGAAAAAGAAGCCAATGATAATCTTAAAAGAGTTTTTTTTTTTCGTTTTAGTTTCAACAAGCGGCGCCAGCGACTAGCAGGCATGCAAGGATTCACACTGAAATAACAGAACAACCTTCGTTTTTCATAAAATTGTAATTTACAATCCTTGAACTTGAAAACAATCCGAAGATTCATTGAAAATATCACTTACTGCGAAGCGCTCGGAGTTTACAGATGTTCAAAAGCTTTTTCTGTTATGGCGTGAGATTGAGGACAAAATTGATCATTACGTTTCGTCGCGTGTGTTTTTCCTGTGTGAAGCAACAGAAGTGCCGGCGACTGACGAAATAACAAGTTAACACGAAAATCAGATAACACCTAAACAAACAATTTTAGCTACCGATTTTCAGTGAATTTTTAAAGAACAATTTTCTTTTCAGTTTCAAGACAATTTGAAGATTCAACATACATACAACGTACTAAAATGAGAAAGTTACACACCACAAAATAGATAAATAGGCCTGAAATGAAATTCTATCTTGTTATTGATTATACGTTGCCTAGCACGTGACTTAAATCTACCCAGGCGGAGATCCAAAATGACGGTGGCAGACTTGGGTCAGTTATATCACTCAAAACTCGTTCCCGATTGTCTCATTTGATAAAGAGGGAATCGTTAATGTTTTCATTAAGACAGTATTGCCTTGATTTTCTAATATTTACAACGAAAGACAGTAAATTTCACTTTTCACCCACATTTACTTCCAACCTTTTCTTTTGAACCAGAAACAAAAATGATAGACGTTTAAAACACATGACATCATCCACCTTGTCAAATGTACTAGCATGATCATTTCAATTGTAATGCCTTCTTATCCCAACGTTACTTTGTTTCTTTGCTACATTAGCGAACACTGAACTACTGCTCGTACTCTAGATATGACAATCAACCACAAAATTCCCTAAACCAGATAACATTAAACATAGTCTAAAAAATCATGTGTCAATTCACGAGTTTGCTCACAGAGCACTTTGATTTTTTTCTTTTTGCTTCTTTTCGCCCGTTCATTTGACGCAACATTCGCTTCGGCCACTTACCTTGGAGGAAATGGAACGCAATCACATGTGAGAGTTGAGTTATCAGAACTAGCTTCAACCAAACACTTAAACAATTACAGTAGAACCTCACATATGTTTTTTTTATTTTTAAGCTCACCGTCCACTGTCCAGCGCCCTCGCTATTTCATTGACTGCCCAACGTAGTTAAAAATTGTACTCTCTTAGGAGATGGCCAGCGCTGCAGAGGCTCCGCGAGAACGGACTGACACCATTAACACGCGTGAACGGCCTTCGTGCAGGACTTCTCGCTCGCGCGTTTTAATCCGAATCACCCGCCCACGGTCAAACTGAGCCCCTGGAACGCAGGCTAATCTGGGAGAGCCGTTCCCACTAAGTGGTTGACTTATTGTAACCTATCGCTACAAAAATAGAAATTGATCAATTACACTTTGATTGGTCTTCAGAAGTAGTTGATCTCTTAGAAAGAGGGGTGAGTTGAGAAATACACAGAATTCTTCTTTGTTAAAAAAAATTGCAGTTTATTTTGTCTTTTAACCCTTTAACTCACTGAAGTGATTAAAATATATCTTCTTCTAACAATATCCATACATTTATACAGTAAACAGGTAATGAGAATACTCAAAATAATCAGGTAGAACTCATAATCTTGATTGAACAACAAATTCTTGTTGATAATTTACAAGGAAAGGTGTAACTGCTACAGGGGAGAATTAACAAACAGATCTTGAGAGTTAAAGGGCTAAAAGGCCTATCAGCTCAATGCTACTCTGATTACAACAAACCTACACGTATAGTAAGGCCTGATAAACAAATGAATTAAATAAACCTTTACCACAACAAAATGGAAATAAACTTCATCAATCGGGCCTCCATAAAACGGAAACAAGAGACAAGTTTACAAAAGAACCAAAAAATAATTTAGGAGAAAAACAAATATTTGATTACACACTTAAAAAATATTCTTATGAAACCATTCCTAATAAAGTTCATAACACCCTATCCTGAGGCAATTTACTACAACATCCAAACTGTGAATGAAATTGCAAAGAAAACTCTCAGAGCAAGCTGACCATCTAAGTTATGAAATATTCAATTTGCACTGGCATTAACACTAGTGCTTAATATTTATCCCTAAATTCACACTACTAATAAAGCAGCAAATTATTCTTAATTTTCCCTGACAAATTTTCTTCATGTGTACAAAATGTTGTTTATATTTCCTGCCTCACTATCATTAGTCACTGACTAGAATATCTTCATCCCCAGGTCCTCTCTCTTCCCACCAGAAATAAGAGAGAAGACCCAGGAACAAGTTTGAGTGGACTTTTCACCAGCAGTTTCTATATGAAAACTGAATGATGCAATTGAAAAAACCTAAAGAGCCAAGGAAAATGGCCCTTGATTTTGTTACAGTTTTGTTGAGTGCTGCACAATGAAAACCACAGTTCTACCACAATGACTGATAATAAATATATAAGAGTAAACACCACAAAACAAAACATGCAAATATCAGTACCCTACCTCAAGCAGCTTTCAATAACTTTGGTTTTACTTTTGATGTCATGTTTCACATGACAGTATAAATTAATTCTCTACTTCAATCATACTGCTTTGCTGAATGGAAATATGCAATCCTGGATCCTTTTAATTCTTCCCCTAAAGATCTCATTAGTAATTCTCCTTAGTGTCAGCCATACAATTCTTGTGTTGTTAGTTCAAAGAATTCGATAGTAGATCAACTAACAATCTCCTTATTGATATTTTTCTCTATTCTCATAACTTGTCGGCTTGATATTGTATTGATATTGTAAGGAGAAATTCTAGTGTGATCACTAATAGGAGTTAAGGGTTAAGAACTCAAGTCAATGCTAGTCTAAAAACAATTCAGTGCATGAGGTGTGGGCAGGAAGTGCAGTTTGAGTCTTATTACCTTCTATCTTAAGTTTGACTGGTGGAAATGTGTGTTATTTCTTAACAAATTACAATGCCTGTACACAGCAAAACTAACCCTGACACAGAATTGTTTGCAACAGTTATTTTCAACTGAGGCAAAACTACACAATAGGAAAAAAATACAGACTATTAGCTTTCTTTTATATTACAAAAATTGTGACTTTAAAGTCATTATTTGTCAAGATGGTATGGTGCCATTTTGACTCTGTAGCCGGGCAACATGGACGTAAATCTTTAATGCAGGACCTAACTTGATTGACATACCAGTCAACACATCATTCCTTGACATCAGAAGCAATGCTTTTCCATCAATTTCCTGCAAAAGAGAGGAGAAGTTTTAACCCTTTAACCTCTCAGAGTGATGAGCATCTAATTTCCCTAAAGAGTTTCACCACCAAATCTCTTGACTATCCATACAATTCAGCCCAATCCCTGCAAGTCCAGATTACAGAGGTTCAACTGTGCAAGTTAAATACTGAGTGCAGTCACCTGATTTTGAAAGGACTTTGCCTCTTCTGGAAATCCTAAAGAGCTGAAAAATGACACAACCTCTGTAACAGTCCAAAGTGACGTGTCTGGTGGTAAATTGCTTTTGCTTTTTTCTGTATCTTTAGCCGAATCATGAGCTCCACCTGCTCCTTTGATAGGGGTATCTGTCAAAGTCAAGAGGAAAAACACTCAATTGCATAGTAAACATACAATCAAAGGATTATTGAAGCAACCTCATGGTTTTTCTTTATTGTTCAAGTGTCATGAGTAACCCTCCTTGTTTCCAGTAGTACACAAATGTATCCAAAAATCTCAAAAGCTATGCAATGCCTACTGTCAAATATCAAAGCCCACCAAAAGAGGTCAACCACATGTTACCCTGGGAAAATGAGCCAGTTGCTCATGACAACAACATGATTTAACATCAAGACCAAAACTTCTATTGCACTTCATGCAACTGAAATCATGGCAAAATTTTCAAAGCATTAACTTATATACGACTGAATGAGGGGGGGAGGGAGGGGAAAGTAATGCCCCTTGGTTATTTTGGCTGTGTGCTATGCACAAATACAGACTTAACCTTTCTACCTCAGTTTAAAGTCCATCATGTAAATCACTTACTGGGCAAACCATTAACAATGCCCTTTGTTCCTGGATTTGCAGATGAATGAACTCCATTGGATTGACTGTGACCTGTCTGCAAATCACCATTTGATCCTCTTGCAGGTACCAATGAGTTTGTTTTGTTGTCACTTGAAGCTTCAGATTGGCTCAGCATTTCAAGTTCTCTCTGAACATTTTCAGCATCAACTATCAGAGGAAAAGTTAATAAGTCAACGATCAGTGTAAGTGATTAACATGTAACTTCTCCCTGTGATTTCCGTACATTATCCAGCAAACAGGCGATGAGAATACTCAAATTTATTGGGTAGAAGTTGTTATCTTGATCTTACAACAAAACCTTGTAACTAATTTACAAGGAAAGGGGTAGGGAAGAATTAACAGTCAGACCTTGGGAGTTAAAGGGTTAACTTTCAGACACAACAACATTTCCAGTGTTCCTTAACATTATCCACTTTGATTTTCCTCACCTTGGATATGAATATCTTTCACTTCAACAGTACATTCCCCCATTTCTTCATCGCACTGAAGAGGTATGTCATCACCCATCACGTTGTTGCCAGCTTCTGACTTTGAAATTGCCTCATGAGTTACAAAATCACTGGATTCGGAAAGACGTACTGGATTTATTGGATGATTCTGGCAATTATAACAAACCCATTTTCCTGTTGAAAGGAAACCAAAGATAAAATGATGGCAATGTGGAATGGTAAGCATAATGAAACATCTCTAACATTTCTTTCAAAAATTGTTTATTTTCAAAATCAGATTTTTTCATTTCTACTGTAGCTTTATTTTTTTTCTTGTTGTATAGAAGTTGGCAAAATATGATTCTAAATTAGATTAATGTTTTCCTCTTTTGTGTAAGGATTATCATAATTATAGTGATATAACTGGATTGAAAAAAAATAAATCAAAATAGGTTTTTTAATATCATGTTCACTTAGATTCATTTTAGAGTACAAATTTAAAAAGCTTCTATACATTATTTCAAACCTCTTTTTCTTTCTTAACACTTTTATTGTGCATTTTGGAGGAATTATTGGTACTCAGCATTAGATTTCTAAATTTGTGCAAAATCATATAGTGAAAATCTTACCAATAGGCATAGTTTCAAGTGGAGGGACATGACATTGCATGTGATAACCCTTGTCACAGGCATCACAGAATAATAAACTACCCTGAAAAAAATAATACAAAAGAATAAGCGATACTTTAATGAGGAATTCAAAGATTGGTCCTGCACAAGAGCTGGATAGGCCATGCAACCACAGCTTAAAGTACTCTCCACCTCTTAGAAGGCATGCTAATACACACCAGGTTTTGCCATGCACTTCCCTGTGTGTTCCTGGGAGCTTGCCTGAACTTTCTCACATTTCCTAAATGGTTTGGCAGAAGTTACTCACAGGAGTACTCCTCCGAGTGGAGAGGCATGTTTGGGGTAAATTTTATCACCACGCAAAAAAACTTTTTGATTCAGGATCCACAGTCTATACATATGTATGTACACCATAATTCAAGAAAATTATGGCCAAAGGGTGTTTTCCTTCAGAGTTTTGCACCATTGGTGTATTCAGCATACCAAATGTGTAAGTTACCATGTTGTTCTGAACTTTTCCAGTAGCCAGGCAGGTAAAATTTATCTCAGATACAGACAAATGTGTTACTGCTTTGTCTAATTATAGTAGCTGGTGTTTCAAAAATAGGTGGTCAGAAAAATTGGTGCCTGCCAATGCTCCAGGAAAATACTGGGGTTAACATCCCACATTTTTCATAAAAATGACACAGCTACATCAAATACAATGTTCCACTTTACACAACCTCACTGTATAACAATGAAGACTCACGGGATCTCCACTGTCGTTACATATAATACAAGCTTTACAGTCGATGCACTGCCATGCACTGGCATCTGAGGTAATTCTAAGAACTAATTCAGGTGTGTAGTTCATACAACTTGGATGGGCTGCCAAAAAAATATTTAAAAACAAATCCAAATTAGTGACAAGAAATTCCTTCAAATTATCCACAGGTGAAACTATTCACTAACTTAACCCTTTCACTCCCAAGATCTAATTAGTAATTCTCCTTACTATCTGCCATACTATTCTTATAATGTTAGTTCAGAGAATTTGGTATTGGATCAACTAATAATCCCATGATTGATATTCTTCTCTATTCTCATCACCTGCCTGCTTGATATTGTATTGATATTGTAAGGAGAAATTCTGTCTTGGTCACTTATGGGAGTGAAAGGGTTAAGGGAACAATTAAGTTTTTCTGAAGATAACAGCGCTAAGCCTTACCTTGGCTCAAACAAAGATTTTTTTCATCTAAGTCCAAAAATTTAGATGTAAGAACAGTCAAATCTATTTTAAGCATTCAACCACAGGGATTTCAGTACAGATTGACCACTTGCATGTAATGCAGGTTTCAAAATTGGATTATCAAAACAAAATGATAAAAAAACTACCATTTTATGCCACAATTAACCACTAATTGTACAAAAACTCCCTCTAAAATTCTACTAACATTGATTTCAGGCGAGAAATATGGATCAAATTCTACTTGAAAGGTTATTCTTAGTTTTATTTGAGGATTTTTGCTTTAAGGAACCACTCAATTCTAGTAAAAGAAAGTTCAAACGGGCCATTAGGACTCACTCTGAGGTAACCAACAGTGTTTAACCCTTTAACTTCCAGAGGTGATTAACATGAAACTTCTCCTACAATATCCATACATTTTTCAGCAAACAGGTAATGAGAATATTCAAACTTATTAGGTAGAAGCTACTATCTTGATCTAACACCATGTTCTCATAACCAATTTACAAGGAAATGGGTAGCAGCTAGAGAGGAGATTTAACAATCAGATCTTGGGAGTTAAATGGTCAATAGAGGTAACTGCTTCAAAGAGGTGAAAATTATTGCGATTAAGGGAAAGCAACTGACAGCTAAATACAGGTTAGACTATATTACAATGATAAAGAAATCTCCTACTATCACAAATAAAAAGTTTTGTACATCTGTTTTGACAGTTTCACCCAAAAGAGTGACCACCATCTAATCTCTCTTCACAACAACAACAACTCTGAATCAAACATTAACATCACATAAAAAAAAATTGATCACTAACTTAAGAAGTTCTTAATTGTTAACCAAATTCTCCTTGTCAGCGCTTAAAAAAATGTATCAAGAACAGTATGGAAAATGTGCATACTGATGTAAGGGTAAAATAGTTTATCCCCAAATACCTTTGTTGCCACAGTCCCTACAAATTAGTAAAGCTTCTGGCTCTCCTTTCCTATTTGCTGCTGCAGATTGTAGACAGAAATCGCAAACTTGGTCACATGCTGGAATTTCTCTTTCAGGACTCTGAAAATCACAAAGAGAAGAAAAACAAAATTATGATTAAAGTGCATCCTTATACCCTTAACCTTTTAAACCCTTAGAGTGACTAGCATCTAATTTCTCCTTACAACATCAACCCTGAATCACACATAAAGGTCATGAGAATAAAGAGGTTTAACCCCAACTCTTGATTGTTCTATTAACCCTTTAATTCCCAAAAGTGATCAACCTGTAACTTCTCTCTCTAATATCCACACATTAGCCAGCAAACAGGTGATGAGAATAATCAAACTTGTCAGGTAGAAGTTGTTATCTTGGTCTGACATCAAATTCTTGAAACTAACTTGCAGGGAAATGTGTATTAGCCAGAGGGGAGAATTAACAGTCAGATCTTGGGAGTTTAAGGGTTAGCAAATTCTCCTTATCAGCACTTTTGGAAATGTGTAGAGAGCAGTGCTCTCCGTCATACATTTCTCATATTGTTACTGATTTACGAGGAAATGTTTACCAGCTGGAAAGGGGAATTAACAATCAAATCTTGGGAGTTAAAAACCAAGCCTTGGCCCCACCTCCTTTAAATTGCCAAGAATGAAGATCAATTTGATTTTTGAAATATCACCACAAAACAAAAGTAATAGTCAAAGGATTACAGTACAGTATCTGTTATTTTAACTAATATCAGTAAATTGATGATTATCATTTCTTTAAAAGAAATAACATTAATTTGGTTGTTTTCGCCTTCGATTCCTATCACACACGTCTACGCTAGCATAAAAGTTGTCTTTGTTATTTTTCTCCTACGTCTAGAAGGGTTAACTTTTGCTTTAAAATTTGACCAAAAAGTAAAAAAAGGAAAAAGCAAAGGATGATTATAATTGATGCGTGACGCGGAAATACTTGTCTACTTTACGAACGACTGTAAATGGCAAACAAACTCCGTGTAAGTATTAAGGACACGCGTAACGACTCTGCCTTGTAATACGGATTGCGAAGAGAAATCAGAAATGCCACATACACTAAGTAAGAGGAGTAAATTAGAATTGAGCAATGACTATGTTTCAAGAGAATGCCGAGTCTTATGCAAACGTGTTACACATGATGTATCGATTCTCTGCTGTTGTAGATGCACGCCTGATCTAATGATATTTCAACCGCGAATATTGCCCCTAGTTAACATCTGGCGACTTACCTCAGCTGATTCGAGTAACCGATACATGCCCTCGCTTATCGACCAGATTCTTCCATGATCTAAGTCTTCCTTTAGTGCGATCTTGATCCTTGCTTTCAAATTATGGTAATAAGGATGCCGAGCGGTGATGAATTTCTCAATATCTACTGCGCTGACGCCGTAACCACGATCTAGCGCTCGAATTGCTTCGCTTACCCATCGGGCGGCTCTCGAAACTTTGCCGGAACCTATTACTCTGTGCCAGCCAGATGCATTTCGATAAGAAATTGCCCCTTTAAAAGACCTCTTTGTCACTATGCCACTAGCGATGAGCGCTGCTAAATCTTCTTCGGTATCTCTCTGATCAATTCCGTGACACTTGTGCATCGTCCGGCAAATTCGCTCCAAGTCGGGCCTGGATTTCCGACTGCGAAGCAAGTTGATGCATTCCAGAATCCAGTTCATATACTTCGGACGTTTTTCGGCCATATTAGGAACAGTGGGTTGGGATAGGACAGCAGGTGGAAGATTATTTTGGTTGCAGTGGACCGGAGGAGGTTTCGTTCTGCTAGAGAAACGACGAAAGCCCTTCTCGTTTACATACCGCAAGTGAAATGGTAATTTTCACGCAAAAACAAACCAAGCGCGCCGCCGCTAAAACAAGCGCCCGCGATCTTGGCGTTGATTGGGATACCCAACAAAACAAATGCGTTGACAGAATTTGTAATGGCGGCTCGCAGACTGGTAATGCGTACTTGCGATTTGCTTTTCTAGCTCTTTCCATCAACTTTCAAGCCTCCCAAAGCCTTCTACTTCATGGTTATGGATGCCAAACGGAGGGAGTGATTGGTTCCTTTGTGTCTCCTCGAAGATAATGTTAACAAATTTCGATAGATGTCAACATTGTTTTGAACGATGAATTATGCATATTCGGGCTAAAGTTTACCCCCGAACAGGAAATAGAGAATTTTCTATTTTTTAAAGAATGGATTTGATAAATGAATTAAAGTAATAGACTCATTGGGAAATGGAAAATTCTGACATTGCTCCAGAGTCGTCCGGAGAGAATCCAAATAGAACCTCTAACGGGAGACATCCAGACTTGCATCAGAAAGAAGAATCGCCAGTTGGTTCCCAAACTGAAGCGACAAGGGAACAAGAGATAACAAATATTCCCCACAAGAACAGATCTAAGAAGGAGAAAAAGGAGGTGAGATTTTACTTATCCCTTTAACCCTTAAGAGTGAGTTGCATCTAAGTTTCCAAGCAGTATCACCCCTGAATCGCACATGAAGGTCACGGTAATAACGGAAATGTTCATCAACTTAAAAAGCTCTTGATTGTTAATAAAATTCTCTTTGTCAAGACTTTGGAAAATGTATAGAATTTATTGAGGAGAATATTCCTACTGATGTTTAGTAAGGGTGTAAGGGGTAATCATTCAATTTATACCCACTGTTTGAATGCATGAAGATATCAAGTTTAATGATATGTAACTTGTAAGGATTGAATAATACATTAAGAGAATTCTCAATTCTTGATGGTTATCAAAAGTTCCATCTAGATATCACCTTGAAATATATGAGATATGTGTAATTCACCAGCCAGGAGGTCTGTATTAGGGAAAACTCTGCCTGAGACCTTGAAATTGAACTTTTAAAATGTCACTTAAGAAATTGAACTCTACAATGTTGAGATACAGTACTGCTTATGTATATGTTAACTGAAAAACGCAAATTAAGCACGCCAAAAATCGCATGTAATTGCGTCCAATCTTAAAACATCTGCCTCATTAGTATGTATGAGGTAGTCCTTTTGTTTTTCTATTGTTGGCAGTTTATTGTTTTAAAGAATAGGCCTCAATGTAGTAGCACTAAAATAGTACACGGCTACGAACAACAGGCACTTGTTCATTGCAATCGCCGTTCAAACCGACCTTCCCAATTTGCTGTTACCAATGCAACTTCATAATTAAAATACATAAATGATTTATCATTTTCCTACAGAATTCATTTATCAAAATAGCTATTTCTCACTTCATATATAGAAACATCTGTCGCAACGGCTTAGGAATTTGTTCAAAATAAATTTAGTCTCAGTGTAATATATTGGCTGACCTAACTTCTAGTATAAGGCTAAAACAAATTTCCAACCAGTTTTTCAAGCAAGTAAATTTCTCACTCATGACAATACTTTCTTGCATTTCAATCTGACCCTGCAAGGAGAGCTGGGATTTTAGAGGTTTCTCTGACATTTTTGTGTATAAAGTGACTCATTTTTGGGTGGAATGTCTAGGTATTTGTTTGCATGTCTTTATATGTGATAATGATTGTTGTCTTGCAGGAGAGTGGAACATCAAATGAAAATCAAAGAAGTCCAGAAGATTTGCTAAAGATAATAAAAGAACTGGAGTTTAAACATTTTGTTGTGCAACATGATAAAATGAAGGTGTGTAGCAATTATTGGGTTTGATATGATACAGAAGGAATTCTGTCATATTGTACAGTACCAACTTAAGCTGTACTGGAAAAGACCTTTAGTTCTCCCATGGGTCAGTTTATTTTCCTGTGTCATACCATTGAGAAAAGGAAAGTGTGTCAGTGAATTTCTTGAACTGATTCCCCTTATGTCACTAATCCTCATTATGCTTTGTGACTCTGTGAGACTTCTCTTGACTTAAGCCCTGTTGCCAGATGCAGTATGTAGTCAAATCCAGATAACTTGAACCTTCAAGGGAAATAAAAAGAGGTTTGAGTCATTGGGAGTTTGAACTACTGGGAGTTGAAAAAAAAAAGTACTGGAAATTGGAGGGAAAAGGTGTTTCTCTGTATTTTTCTATTCAGTCAGGTCACATTTTATTGAAATATAATTATTAAGAAGTTAAACAAGAATGGAATAATAAATTATTGCAGAAATGGCAAAGTAATGTAAATGTTTTGGACTGCAGTGAACTGTTTGTTTTGATTTGTCACATGTTGACAGACATGGTTTGAGTTATGGACATTTAAGTGTATAGAGAATGACTTGAAGGGACAAAAGAAAAAATCTTGGAGTTAGAGAGAGGTTTGAGTTATCAGGGGGTTAAGTTATTGAGATTCAACTGTGTTTAGCTGGTTGATGCATGATGTAGATGTCTTTTAGAGTGTCAATGATAAGGGCTCATTGATGGGAGATGGTATATTTGTATAGTATTCAAATGTATTTAAAATAATGTATGATAATCAGCATACAAGGTCTTAGAGAAAAATCATTTTTTAAAATTGTTGCCAAAATTAGTGTGTTTGAGGTAAAAGCAAACTAGGATGCTCCTGACTACAATCAAACTAAGATTACAATAAGGATAAAATACTAAGGCTGAAATAAAAATTGAACAAGTTTGAAAACATTTGAACCACACCAGTGAAAGTGAACTGTTCAAGAAAAATATATCTTTTTTTTGTTCCTACTCGACACATTTTAGCAACCAAATAAGGATGCAGAAGGTCCCTTTTACTGTGAGCTTTGTGAACTAAAATTGGCAGATTTGAAAAGATGTCAAGAACATGTGAAAACCAAGGGTCACAAGAGAGCAAACAGGGTGAGGAACTTGTCTTCTCTGACCAGATACATATACACAGTTGGTTGAGTATATTATTATGAATCAAACCTGTTTAAGATGACAAGATCTGATTGTAAAATCTGAAGTTTTTAGGTTTGAATCCTGTCTAAGACAGTCCTCAACACACCACAGAAGGAGCATTTGAACTTCTCTCCACTTTATGAGAAAGCTCAGAATTTGCCATCTTTTTTCCTCCATTCCTTTTCAGGACAGTTTCCATGTCACTGATTTTAGAAGTATACAGGTCATATAAACTAGATACTTGTACCTCATCAGCTACATGACTGTGCAGCTTAGTGTCAGTAAAGTGGTCAATCAAGAAAAGCCAGTAACTTGAAGTCTACTTCCACTTGTAAGACTTCTCACCATCAGCTGTTTAGCCTATTTCCCTCAAAAAACAGCCTCCCATTTTTTCAGAGTTTCAAGTTTTGACTGGAGATTAATTTGTTCCATACTCACACCAAACATTGGACATCTTCCTTGACCACTGAAATTTTAAACACATTTGTTTTTGCTCATAGACCAAAGGAGAGTCTTTGTCGCTCACACGGATTACCCCACCTTCCAAAAATCAAACCTTAGCTCTGAGCAAGCTTCTTGACTCTGTTTTCTTGGATCATGGATTATCCCCTGAAAAAGATCTACCTTTGAGGGGCAAGGTTACAAAAGATGTCCATAAGGTTGTGTGCACCAAGTTTCCAGGTAATGTTGATGTTGATCATAACTTTGTTACACTGTTTGTTTCTTTTTGTTAACTTTATTCACTACCTTTCAAAGTTTTGCTAGAACAAGTTTCTCTGAAACTTTTGTGGCATCCAAACAGCCTACAAATTTTAAAGGGGGTAAGTTTCTAAAGAAACTGTGGTGCTGCATCAGTGGGAGAGTATAACAGGGTAATTAAGTGTAATCAACTGATTTGATATTGTAAGTTGGCCATCATAAAGAGTTTTAAAGCTTAGCGTTAGCCCTTCATCAGAGTGAATGACAAAGGACTAACACTCAAAACATTAGCTTTAAAACTTAAAAATAAACTGAGTTGATAATACTAAATTTTTACTTTGCATAGGCAGGTATGTGAAGCCATGTTAAAGATTGTGCATTGTTTAACAGCTGGGAAAAGCTTTCAGAGTATTGTTGTGCATGTGCGTCTTTCATTATTTCATTATCTTTACAGAGTAGGTTAGAGTAGTTTTGGCTCTGGATCAGCAGAGGTGTTGATCCCTTACATTTTTATTAAATTTTTTATGTTAAAATGTACCATATTTTGAACTCTTTTTTTAATAGAATGTGCAGTGTTCCTTTATGGATCCTCCGCCACTGGATTTGGTCTGAAGGACAGTGATGTTAACCTTGATCTTGTCATTCCAGATGAGGTAGCATTAGTTGCTCATGGTTATGCATAAGAGGTGGCAGTGACCAAACTTTTCCAATTACTTTGTAAGGTTTTATCAGCTAAAATGTTTTTCACTCAAAATCAAGATGTATGAAGACATTTCATAGGATAAGCTGAATTATACGCCCGTTTCTGTGGGTCTATACAGTAATAGATCTCAGAAGCTGTCAGGCTGAGTCTCAAGTGTAACTCTTTTCCTTGTACCACATTTCAAATGATGTAATTTGTGATATACTAGGGAACAGATGCACAGCAACAAGGAATCTATTTGTAAAATAAAACACAATGAATGTAAAAGTTAATCCATGCACATTACCTCATCTCATTGTCATCAGCATTTGCTGGGGTCTGGAATTGAACAATGAACACTCTGCCTCTCAAGATACAACAATTACCAAATCTATCTTCTGAATCAAATATTTCTATGTAGATAAGTGGTGTTTCATCAAGGTGACACCCTTTAGCTGATAAATCTGTCAGTTCTCACTATCTCATTACTGATTAATGTATTGAAATTGTAAGGAGAATTTACAGTTAAAATCAATACTGGGAGCTACTAACTCTACCTGGGTAAAAGAAAGCCCTTATTGCTACATGCACATAATATTCCTCTTGACTGTAAGTTTCAGGAAAAAGCAGTGATGAGTCAATCACATCT